AACCCTGGATGTTGGCTTTATTTATTGGCTTGTTTCACTTTCGGGCCAAAACCGCTGTGAGGGCGGCTCGTTGTAAATGTTGCCTGACAATTGCAGGCGCCGCGGCATGCAACTCAATTTGTTTGCCCCGCTGAATGGTATTTATGTGACGAACTAAATTTAAGTTCAGCCAGACAGCTTTGTCATATATTATTGTTAAAATGCAGAGACTGATGGCTTTGGCCAGGTCTGTCAGTGACTCATCAACTAGGGGGTTTTTGAATATGAGTCAAGAATAAATTACAAATCAAAACCAAACATAAAGATAGTTGAATGACAAACATCAAGGATTAATAAAGTTTAGCCTCTAAACAAAAGGTATGTTGAAAAATTGATTTTTAAATACAAATTTGCTTAGGAATGTGAAACTGTATACAAATTCCGTTATAACTATTTCAAGGAGAATGAAACTTAACTTTTTATCAATGAAATCGAAAACATCTCCCTGCCTGAACACCACAAAGTAAACAAACTTGCTTGTCCAAGCAAACATAGCCTCTCTTTATGTTTACTGTTGATTCAGCCTATGCTTGCTAATTAAAAACTCCAATATTTACCACCGATTCAAAGCCAAGTGCAAGTGTTAAAGCTAACGGTTTCGAGATGATTAACAGCCGAAAAATTTATAATTTTCGTATTTTTTTAGAGCGTCATAAATATCGAAGACATCTGCGGATGAAAACTTTCGCAAAATTAGCTTTCAACTTTTCCGTTTTCGTTGGCCAAGTTGGATGTTACACAAGTTGGGTATAAAATTGCACATTACGCATACGCGCCGTATGCATATTACGCATACGCACTGGATGGCTAGATGACTTATGTGTGTTTGTGTTTTGGGGTGCAGGTAGCGGAAAATTGATCGCACGGGCTGGGTTGTGGGCGTCAGCAGGAAATCATAAAATTACAATTTTCATTCGACGGAACAAGTATATATATCATTATAGTTACGGGTATATCTATGATATGTCTGTACATTTAGAGACACGGCAAATGCAAAATAACAACGACCGCAATTACCTGTTTCGTGGGCAGAGTGTGAATGGCTTTAGAGGCTGGAACCTGTCTCTGCTTTTGGCACTTTGGCCAGCCCAGTCTATAATTATGTAATTTTGTAATCTGAGTGAAATGCTCGAAGGAATACTCTCGACAAATATCAACTCAACTTACAGTAGACCTGCTCATTTGCCTAATTAAATAAGAAATGAGAGAGAGAAAACAAATGCGGGTGCTGCTAATTGGCTAGAATCGTTATTCCATCGTCTATATAATTAACCGATTTGCGCATTTGTCTATGGCTCAGCATGTAGCATACGGAAGTCAGACAAAGACTCGAAGATTATTTTGCGTGTGACTAATAACGACTGCTAAACGAAAGCCTGCCCCTATCCAAGTTCAGTTTGAAATTAGCAAAATCTGAAACAAAAATATATTATATATGTGAATTATTTTCCAAGCTTTATCCAGTCATAGCAAACTAAAGTATTATAGACCCAGCCCAGGTATTAAAAGACGGAAGCCAGCCTCCATTGTGGTTTCTTTCATATGTAGATAAATATATTTGTGCTTAGATATATCAATAGACTCAAAGAGGCGTTGCTGTTCAATTGTGGCGGCAATCAAAAAGTTTTTTATATTCTCATAATTGAATTGTAGCAAAGCAAAAAAAATGTTGAAAAATGAAGCAGACATCAAAAGGCGATTGAGACACACAAATCATGAGGTTAAAGATTGCTGTTGAAAGGTAAAAAGAGATAAGTTAAAAATAGAAATAATAATGAGAAAAGAAGTCAATGTATGGCAGAATCAGAACAAGGGAAGCATTTAATTGAAAAAAAACCAAGAAAGAACTGGAAGTGATGGAATATCAGAATCAGCTTAGAGAACTCCAAATTTTTCCATGACTTTTGGCTACTTCTTAATACAAAATACTAGTTTGGTGTATAAAACATAAACTGATATTGCATTAACTTACCTTGCAGCTGTCTTAACACCTTTGCCAGACAGAGTTTGTAAAACTAAAACTGACAATTTATTGTTGTGCCAAGTTTTCTGTTCACACTTGCTGCTGGCCAAGCGTGCTGCCGTGGCTTCTGTTTTTGTGTGTCGCACAAATCAAATTCAAATTAGAACACACGAAAAACACGCAAGTCCAAGCCAATTATGCAAATTCCCAACTGTCTGTCAGCCTGTCCCATACTCTGCCTCTCTGAAAATAACAAGAACGATTTGCATATCGGTCAATTGTTGCACGATTTTCGTGCTCTCCGCACGCGTTGCAAATACACAAAAGTGTGAATTCGAATTCCTCCAAAACTCGTTAAAATTATTTAAGCCAAATATTTTTACTGTAACGCACATTCAATGCCAATTGCTGCCACTTTTTAGGCTTGAATTTGTTGTGTTTATTAATAAACATGGACCTATTGTTTTTTATATTTCAGCCCACTCAAGTTTTGACTATTTTTAAATTGAATGGCAAGTGGGCGGAGGGTAATGCAAAACCAAAAATGAGGGATTAACCTACATAGGGACACTTAAGCTGCGAAGAAATAACAATTTCAATCGAATTTGTGGCGAATTACGCATCCGATTGATATTGAAAAATAACTCGAAACCAATACGAAATCAACCGCAGAAACCTCAAGCAAAATGACTTTCGTTTTGGCCAAGTATTGTAACAAAAATAACCGTTGTGAACGTAGGTATTTCCTTACTGCGGTTGGGTGACAGTCAAACTGTAAAAAGAGTACATATAATAGTAATAATTACACTGACCTTCATCGTCACTTCATTGTTGGTTGGTATGGACTAAAGTCAGTCGCCCAGTGCACGTTGGAAAATGTATTTCTGTGGTTAGGTTAACCTGCAGCTAGAACGCGACTTCTAGATAACAGAACAAGGAAAGTTCTCTTCCTAAAAACTATAAATTTTTAAACCAAAAACTAGCCACTCAAAACAAAAGACTTAAGCAACGAACTTGCTTATCTCATTACCAACATCCCCCGCAGCTTTAATGAATTCAATTTGCGTTTTTTATTCGCAATCAGCATAACCTTTTGGCCAGTCGCCAAAGAGTATAAATCAAGCGATAGGATAGCATTAATAAATTGGCCATACTTACGCCCCAGTGCCCGCGGTGCCCAGTTCCATGTCATTAAATTTATGCCACTGCTTAATTACACTAAATTACGCCTAATTAAATTTTAATTAACACAATCAACTAGTATTCGCACACTGGGAGATGCATAGGCACAAAGTCACCTCACCGTAGAAAACCGGCAAAACGTGTCCGAAATACGAATCCAATTTGTGAATGTGGAGTAAGTCTGCGTGCCGAAGAAATAAAATCACAAAAAAATGGAAAAAGAAAAAAAAGGAAAGAGTGCTGCTTGGCCACAATTTCGAGCAACTTTTATTTCTAGCCAAAGTGCTAAAAGATTCAACGCAACGCACTCGCCAAAACCGAAACCAAAACCAAAACCAAAAACCAAAACGAGTGCAAGTTCAACGGGGAAAACGGGTTTCCACATCGCCTGGCTCTTTGGGCATATGAGGAAGTTAATGCCTGAGCAGCTTGGCTAACCAAAGTGCGGCTAACAGCGAGCCAAGTGTAGCTGTGGAAAACTTAGTAACAGTTACTATTTAGCGGTCGACCAAAGCCGCATAAAATATTCAGAAAATTGCTTTTCTCTCTCCTTTGTGGGTGTTGTTGTTGTTGCAATTTCTCGCCCAGGTTGGTGGGGGGGTGCCCACCCAATTGCATCCGCTGGTCTGCTTTCGACTTGGGTCTGCGGGACTTGGATTGTGCTAAATTTGGTTTGTGTTTTTCCTTAGTTTTTTTCCAAAAGCCATAAGACAGAAGTATTTCAGTGTTAATGCCGACTGGCACTTATTTGGACAGCCTTAATGGGCGTAACAGTGGGGCGAAAGGTGATATTTTGGGGTATAAAAAGATCTTAAATTGAATGCTGTTTCTAAGTCAATCTACTGCTATAGTTTATTGGTAAAATATTGCCAACTTGACAAACAAAAACAAAAGACTTAGGCAACAAACTTGAAAAATATGAAAACCTTCTGAAACTCATAGAAGTCCTTCAAGACTTAAGCTGACACTCAAGAGCATTTGCTTACTCTATCTTAGAGGAGATAAAAACAGAAAATAACTTTAAAAACTATTTGAAAAACTAATTCATTTATGAAATATAAAAAACATCCATAAGAAGACATAATATTTGTAGAAGTAAAACCATTAAATCCACCATTTCATCACCAAAAACTCCATTAAGCCAAGCAACCTCACAGCTCTAACAGAAACTTAAATCATTAATTTAGCCTAATAACTTTTTGGGGGAACCTTAAACCTTAACCTTAAATTGAAGACCAACCACTGTGCCCCCAAACAAATGAAGTTCTTGCATAACTTTGACAATTACAAATGATGTGTCAGGCATATGATGACAAGCTCCCAAAAAAAAGCAGGCACCACGCATTGGAGATGCGGACTTTTCGCCCGACTACCTGAAATAATAACGAAACAACAGATTAAATTAAATTAAATTTAATAAAAAAAGAAAAAGAGAAACAACAAGTGGACACACATGTCCGCGAATTGTTTGAGGGGCCTCTGAGGCGGAAATAGACTGTGACATCCGCTGACAGCGCCAGAAAGAGAGAGAGAGAAATCAAAAGAATCCATGGCTCTGCCGCCCGAGGGGCTATCAGTCTCTCAGAGCATCTATATAGGAGTAGATAGACCCGTCTCTCATATCCGCTGGACGTTGGCCACAAATTTAATTAGAAATCTGCACGACGGCAGTTCAAAGCACTTTTCGCTTCCGCCATACATCAGCAAAAAGATACTATATATACTATATAACTTGTATATTTTCCCTATATCTCTTCACACTTTGCAACATAATTAACTAACGAAATTTCTATACACTCTGCTCTTGTCATTTCAGGCAGCTCAAACACACACACTCACAGCTAGGCAAAGGCAATACAGACAGTGAGGTCTCAAATTAGACCGTGAAAGCCGCAAAGTAAATAACCAGCAAAGCGTGCAAAAGGAAAAACCAGGGAAATTATATTAGATAGAGTTGAAGAGTAGAGGGGGCAGTGCCCCACGTGCACACAGTAGCAGGCCTAGAAAAGCTAGAAAATTATTATTATGATAATAAATTAAAGTTGCCATTAATTTAGCCAAAACGGAACGCGAACGAGGCCTGGGAAGACGGCCACAAAGACTTGGATGGTAGACGGTAGCATAATAACAATAAATAATAATTTGAAATAGGCGAGCACCAGAAAGCAGAAAGACAGAAGACAGAATACACAAGAAGACCACAAAGAAGTGGCCAAGTGCAGCCTCCCGTTCCAGAGGAGCAGCTAGAAAACAAAACAAAAAACAAAACAACAAAGCGAGGAAAAACGGAAAAGGCAGCTCGAGCGCATCGAGCGTGCAAATTAAAAGCGCACCACAGTAGCCCCAGTGCTCCAGCTTCTTCTCGACATGGAAGTGGCCACAACAAACAATCACAGTCAGAGCCATCATCATCACAATCATCATCATCATCATCAGCTGCAGCCATCATTGGGGGGCCAAGGCAGCGGCTCTCGGTCCCCCTTCCAGCGGGAGGTGCGTGAATGGCAACGCATCGATCCCAATACCGGAGCCCTCTTCACCGGACGCTTGGAGGCTGACCGCTGGATAAATGGACCGCTGAACAGCTATGGCAAGGTGAGTGGAAAATGGACTAAAGGTGGTAGCGTGATCTGCCTATCAGGGGTTATGTTTCCGGGAAAAGAGTAAGCTCTTTGTTATAGCAATTTCTCTGTTTTCTACATCATTTAACTTTATATATACTCGAATATATATTTCAAATAGTTCTAAGTTATAATATAAACCACTCATTAGTAAGCTGGTGTAAGCCTTAAAAAAGCCTCTTAAGTTTCTACAAACACCAGTAGCCGTTCTTCCACTCACGAGCTAAACACTCATCCCTGAGACATGGCCCAAGACCACAATGCGATTACTTTTGGCTCTGATTGATGGAACCAGTGGCTCCAGACCATGATGCTGCTGGTAGTGGCTCTAGTCTGCTGAGTTCCCCTCGGGTCTAGACCTAATTGCTGGGCTCTGTGTTTGTCCATCGTATTTTAAATGAAATTGAAAGGTCCAGACTCTCTAAATGGGAAGGCGTTCACTAATTTAGTGCAGAGTCTGCGGCAATTGCGGCTTGATTGCTAGTTTCGGTTTCCTTGCTTTTCGATTTTAATCAGTTAATAGTTTATTTAGCTGAATACCCGAAGCTAAGCTGCATGAGTTGGCCAGAAGAAACAGAAGTTGATCGATTAAGGTTCATAAAATCAATTGGAGTTTACGTTGGAATTAAGTTATATATAAACCTAAGAGCTTTTTTACTAGCTGTCAAGAAAACTTAAACTAAGAAAGTTAAATTGCAATTAAATTCAGCACAAATTCCCGTGATGGAAACTCAAACATCTGGCTTTTAATAATTCGGCAAGAACGGAACGCTAACTACGCATAGCCAAGTTAATCGCTGGAGAACCAGTCAGCTGCTCATTGGTGGTTACTGACTACAGAATACCGCAATTCCTATCGTTTTGTGTGTCAGTTGGCTTTTCACCGAATGCCTATCAAACTGCAGACATCGACATGGACATGGACATGGACATGGACATGAACGGAGATACTCGTACGTTGACCGTTTTTACTCAACCATAATTAACAGGTCACACGCACGGCTCTGATAAGTTGGATGCAAGTCCCAATTGCTAGTTAACGAAAATAAAAATCAAATAAATTAAAGTGAAAGAAAAACTAAACACGCTGCTGTGCCACTTGTGATTCGAGAGCTCAGCAGAGAGAGAGGTATATGGCCATATACCTTAATTAATTCGTGATATTCCTCTTCAGATTTTAGATTTCAGATTTCACTTGTCTTTGGGCTATGCCTTAGCATTGATTGCTCTAGAATTTGTCGGTTAATTATAAATGCCTTTTGGCTGGATGGCACAGCAGCACTTGGGGGCCTATCGTTAATTTTATGCTGGTTCATCCACTGGCAGCCGTCATCAACCTGGCCCATCATCATCATCATCATCTAGTCTGTTGGCCATCTAGTTTGTGTGTGTGTGGTCAAGTTGGAGTTCGCGCCTCAAGTGCTCAAGTTTCTGGCTGCCCAGAACCAAATCGAAATAGAATCTTGAAAGTTAGTTCGTGGTCTCAGTTCGTGTTGGGGCCAAAAACAAAAAAAAAAACTTAAATAGCACCACATACTTAACGAGATCTGGACTTTAAGATACTCTAGCCATTCGCTTTGGTCTGCCCCGGGAACGTCCATCAAATGCAATGACATCATGGCTTTGGTATTGCCGCACTCAAACTGAAGAGATTGATCCAAATAATTAAGCGATTTTTTGCCATTGAATACTGATCGGCTTACGAAACAATAGAATATCCTATTGCCACGTCGATGAGATCATGGTAAAATATCTAAAGACTGTTGACCTTACGATTTTTCAGCCAACTAAAAGATTTTTATGACATTTTTCGGCCATTTAGAAGTTGTCTTTAATCTGTTTTGGGGGGAGCACTAAGATAACATATTGATTCCCTTTCAGTTTTTAACTATTTACTAAAAGTTGACATTTGAAATGCCTTCTTCCTGAAGCAAAATTCGAGATCATTTAATGACCGAACAGTCACTCAATTTGGCAACTGTTACATTCACCCGTTCAGTGTCGATATGCCCTTTTTTAAAGCCATACTTTTATGGCTGCAGGGTATTCGATGGAGAAACACCGAAAACCGAAAAATGAAACTAAAAAAAAAGCAAAAATACCATTGAAAGTTGTTTCATTCCGCTGACTTTGTATCTTATCGCGATTGAACTTTGTTGCCACTGCGGCTGACGATGCTGAGAGCCTGGCCAAAAGATGAAAGGGTAATAGAGTGGTGGGGGGTTGGCTAGGGAAGCGATCAATACAATCAATTGGAAACGATCAGCGGAAAGAAGACACCAGGTCCTTGCCAGTGATGAGAAAAGTTAACTTTCATAGCGAAGAGAGGGAGATATGCCTTCTGCTGCTTGGGATTTTATGCTATCATTTTTCATTTATTTTATTAACAATAAATAATAAAAATAACGTTTAATCTTTGTATATATATTATAAGGATTATAAAATGCTAAGGTTAATTCATTGACCAAGAAGCTAGGGGAAAAATGCGGCAAGAGTGTCTCCAAAAATGTTCTTAAAATTCTTTAAAAAATTCTTTTGATTAACAAGCAATCTAAGAACCTAATTCATCGACTATATATAGATCTGTGCTTATAGTTATGATACATAAAACGGTCTCCTAACTTCTTAAAAAAGCACAAGTAAGCTAATAACTTGCCATCTCTAGTCCTAGTCCGCATTAGTTTCAGTTTAAAGAGCTCGACACGGCTTGTTTTGATGGCCAAGTCCGGGATTTATATCACCGACATCCCGCTGTTCGTCCAAAGTACTTTTGCCGACAAAGGCAAAGTCAAAGGCAGCGCCAGCCGCCACGGATCGCAGGAAAATCAATTTGGCAATACCCATTATGGCCAATATCGAATCCGGTCGGGTTCAGGACAGGGCAGAACCAACGCACCCCAGACACCGTTAGGCAACCAGACGGCGGATAGATCCCTGACAACTTCTTCATTAGCATTATGGATTGCGGATGGCGGATGGTGGATTGTGCAGAATGAAAGGCAAAGCAGAAATTTACATTTTGCAAAATCTTTTTTTTCTCTTTTCGCCGCATGCAAGCGCAGCAGCATTTGAATTATTCGCAGATGCAGTTGCAGTTGCAGTGTTTCTGTTTCTGTTTCTGTGGCGATGTTGCCACAATGTTGCCGCCTAACGGTACCAAGCTGCTGGCAATGCCACCGCCTTTGTGGGTCACTGGGTTGCCACAAGTCTAACCAGAAAAAAAAAAAAACTACAAATAAAATAAAAAGCAGAGATGCTGCCCGCAGAGAAGATGCAGCCGGCCAAAGAGATTTACCTCTGGTCAACAGCTTTTCATTTGTCTTCAGTTTTTTCTTTTCCCCGAGTGCTCTTCAAGCCATTTGGCCGACACACGTAAATTACTTGCAACTAATTGAGGATGTCAACGTGACGTGTCTTGCCTCAATTAAGTGTTTCCTCTGCCGCTAATGAACTCCACACCCAAAGTGAGATTGCGAGAGGCAGAGGGGATTCACATGATCTACTGCCTGCACTACGAAGCTCAAGCATATAGAGATATAGAGCCAACAAGATCGTGGCAGAAATAATGCATAAAAAATATATGTTATTATATAGCCTTAAAGCACAGATCGCAATAAGTGAAAAGGTTTATAAAATGGCCAAAAGCAACTTTGGGCAATGTGCTCTTACAGTGGCTAAGATATCTAAGGCAACATAAACCATTTCGTCAGTTACTAATTTTCTTGGAAATAATTATTTTCTTTTATAATAACAAACAGTTTCCGGACCAAAAGTCTCTAAAGTTACCAAGAAAAAAGCAAACTCACATAAAAGAAAACCCCTAAGTTAGTTAACCAAATTGCCGATTTATGATCGCTAAGCCGTCATTTCCTTTTGGCCAGAAACTGCATCCCACTGTGCAGTGCTCTACTGCAAAGTACCAAAGTCAAAGCCAGCTAAAAATAAAAAAGAGTCAACGCTTCGGCATGTCTATGCCGTCGATCTGTGTGAGCTGTCAGCCAAAAGAGCCAGAAGAGGTAGGAAAAAGGCGACATGCATGCCACGAACGGAGGGACAGAAGGACAGAGGGTCAGACTGGATGCCGGATAGACATGGATGTACATGGAGCATATGGCAGAGTCACCGAGTCACACACAGCAGAAGTCGGAGAAGTTGGTAGATAGACAGTCAATCTTATGGCCACAGACAGACGACCACGACCAGGCAGACGACTGCGACGACCGTGATGATGATGGTGCAGCATCATTAAATTCGTTTCAAGCGCAGGCAACGAAATATTTTGGCATATTCATAAACGGTGAAAAATTCTTAACGATTTCTTAACGTTAATAAACAAAAATTCTTAACATAACTTGCAATCAAAAAGTTATAAAAGTTAGAAGTTATAAAATAAGTCATATAACTTTATTTTGCCAGTTAAAAGCATTTAAAACTGTAAGCTTTAGGTAAATATTCTCCCATTTTTCTAAGTGTAGAGCCAAAAGCAAAGTCTTCCTCTACATCATCACGACTTCGGCTGGCTATAATATATGCGAGTGCTGGGCTCTGTGGAAGTCGTGGCAAGTCTCTGCATTTCATTGAACCTTCAACTTGACTTTGCGCTTCGGTTCGGTTTTTGGATTCAGCGTTTTCAATTTTTTCAATGTTTTTTTCCTTTTTTTTTTTTTTTTTAAGCTGAGTGTTAGTTTTTATCGGCATCAGCTGGCCGGCGGAGGCTGTACAAGATCATGACACTGATCGCTGGCTGGCTGATTTTGGCCAGGTTGAAATAATTCATTTACAGTTGGCTTTCTATCCTCGCCAGCTGTGTGCTCGCTGAGCCAGTTGCTCCATGATTGAGCCACCCCCTGGGCCATGCAGATTGCCAAAGCCAGCGCAGGCACTGAAACAGCTTAATAAGCCTGGCCAAGATCAAGACCAGCCAACAAGCCAAACAACAGCCTACACATAAGCTAGCTTGAACTTAAAATGGCGCAGCTAGACGGAAAAATCAGCAACTAAGCTGGAAAAGAGGTCATCGATAGATACACATACACATAGCAGGCACATTGTAAATTGCCAGGCATTACGGAAAAGCGGACCCAGATAGCCAAGAGCCTCCTCCTGACCATCGTGAGAAACTACGGCAGAACGTGCATGGCCCGCGGGTGCCAAACTGGGCTTGTAATTTATGTCTGCCACGCTATTCTGCACTCCTTTTCTCAGTCACTCAGTCCCAGTCCCAAGGATGAGTGTGACTTTAGGGAGCCGCTGAAATTATTATGCATTGTCCATATGCCCTACGGGGTCAATGGGAAGCTCAAAGAGACGGACGTTGAATTAAAATCACAAGCTGACCAAAACCAGACAGAAACTAAAATGTACAGAGAAGTGAAGGAAATAGCCCGACTGAGAACTTTGGAAGGGATAACCCTGAACTCAAAGACAGTGCATTGCATAAGTATAAGGCTTTGGATGTTACCTCTCGTAATAGCATAATTTTAAGTTGAAAGTAAATTCAAGGAAAAAAGAAGGTTAAAAATATGACACAGAAACTATAAGATAGTGAAGATTGGGGCTTTATCTAGTATCAATTTTATATTAATTGAGTCTCAAAATGGTTTCAAAAATCACTTCTTTTGGTGTTTATATAATTTTTGAAGTGTTTTATCCATCAACTACTTTAAAATTCATCCTCATCTTAAGTTTTTATAAATATTTTCAATTTTATCTTTAGTATTCCAGAGAATTCGCCATAATAATCCGTCACATATCTGCAGAATTTCCAAAACTTCTTAGAATGCCTTCTTATTACCAAGTCAAATCCAACTGACTTACCTCATTCTTAGCTAACCCCTAGAATATTATATTCTTTGTTCAGCAACCCGAAAAAACTCCCATCTAATGAAGCTAATTACAGAGGTTAAACCACAGACATTAGTTTTGCGCCATTCGCCGAGTTATGAGTTGCAGCTCAGAACAAAAAAAACCAAAGACTAGACTTCCCAGAGAGAACCAAGAACATTGAGGTGACTCAACTTGCATACAATATGCATATTTTTCTTTGTTTCTGCCTTGGCTTGGAGAACATTCAAATTTTTATATTCTAATATAAACAATGCTCAACTTTGACTCATAGACCAAATGTGCGGCTGGTTTTTGGTCATTGACACGAATACCCCGCGAGTACTGGACACCGGCGGGTTAAAGGCTTTCATTTCGGAGCATATTATGCATTTTTAGCACTATAAATCATCAATGCAATCGATTGCCACAATCGATCTTTGGGCCAGTTCGAGTGTGTTTCTTATTCCCAATTCGGTTTCTTTCCTTCGATGGTGTGTCATGGCACGATCCATTGAACGGATCTGCTAATTGTTCGAGTTAATTCACGGAAAACAAAAATTTGACTTCTTTTGGTATTTAAAATAAAATATATTTACTTAAGGTCAGATATAAGGGTGCCATAACAGGAATAAACCTTCCTCTAGCATCGTATTTTCCAAAATTATTGATTTTTAGGGATTTTTTAGGAAACTTACTCAGATTTTCATACTTTTTAAGCAACTTTATAACCTACCAACACATTTTCCAACTTATCCTACATAATTTCCCTTTTTCTTATATAGTAAGTCTTTATTTTTCCCAGTGTATGACAACAAAAGGGTGCAGTTGCTATTACAGTTGCCGTTGCAATTGCAGTTGCTCTCGAGAGTCTTTTGATTTGTGGCTGGCGTTTGGTCACGTGTGCCGAGCGGGCGAACTAAGCACGCCCAGCTGCCAAGATAAGAGACATCTAAACATTTTGGTAAGGGGGATAGTTGAACGGGGGGGAACGGGGGAAGGGAATGGCTTGACGGTCAAGTGTTTCGTCTGGCAACTTTCATACGCCCCGTTGCCAACGGCCGAATGCCATGCGACAAAGCACTTTTACGCCCAGCACACACGAGAGAGACACACCCACATCCGTACAGAAAATTTAGACAATCACATTGCGATCGCTTGTTTAATGTTTTATTTATCTGTTTTTTAACAGATTTGAATGTTATTATAGCCAAGAAATCGATATGGCAAGGTAGCTGTTGATGTATTAATTAGATCGGGCAGGGTTACGAGTACTTGAGATCAAAGGAAGTTGAAGAATGGTGTTGTGAAGGTTATAAATCTTAGGAATATCATCAGATATCAAAGGTCACCAAGATAGAGGAAATGAATCCTTTAAGATAAGCTAACAATCTCCAACTAAACATGCAATAAGTCGTACTAAAAGTCCTAATACTAACCCAAAGATTATCATTACATAACAAATATTGAACCCTTGACATCCCACATCATTATCCTGCCACCACTGAATCCCACTCTCTCTCTCTCTCTCTCCGATCTCTCCCCAGATATCCGACTCCCAAAACATCTCACAGCCGAATGGCACACAGCACACGCAGCGCAAACAGTTGGAGGTGCTGAAGGCCCGCACCGCCAACGGCGCCATGCAGGTGATCCGCACCCAGACAGTACAAAAGAGCTCGTCCTCGTGGTCCACCTCCACATCCACAACCACCACATCCACCACCCACCGCACGAGTAACAGTAATGGCCACGTTCCACCATCAATGCCCACAATCCTATCCCCCATTGATCAGGGTGGTGTTGACATTTGCGAACTTAGCGACGATTGCAGTCTAAGCGGCAGCGATGCTGGCATCGTTCGTACTGCATCTGCATCTGCCTTAACATCCGCCTCAGCCTCCGCATCCGCATCCGCACTGAGCCAGGAGCTCATAGACGATCATGTTGATTTTGTTGTGATTAATGGCGAGGCGAGCGATCAAGAGGACGCTGCCGACGATCATTTGCACAAAGGCGGCCACAATTTGTTACCCGATACGGCTCCGAGTCTGAAATTGAGCAATCTAATGGTAAGTTGCCTGCATCAGGCTCAAATGCAGTAGTCCAGAGTCAGGGTTTTGCTTCTATTGACTTGGCAACACTGAGAAAAAATAGGGTGGAAACATCTATTATTATCTTAATGAAATAAGTACTAAGTTAATTCCACAAAACTTGCAATTTAATAACTTGTAACTTTTTGCAACTTAATGTGACTCATATTACCCCTTATTTATTGACTTAAAATTAGTTCAAGTTAAGCCTACTATTTACTCAGTGTAGTTCGCTTTGTTTAGTTAGCTCATTAGCATGAACCAATGTTTGCTTTCTTCCATCTCGTTTCGTACTCGGTGGCTTTCGAGGAGTAATCTTTTGACCATGGCCATGGCAATGACCGAAAATGGCCAGTTGTTAACGGACGACGATTGTCGTGTTTTTGCGGGGAAAATGTTTCGCTTTTAGCCGCTGGGAAAATCATGGAAAACATGTAATGAACAGGGTTCGGAAAATTACTTACTAAAATCCTAAGATGGTTGTTAGCTTTACAACTTCAAATAAAGATTTTATCTGAGTGCTTATAATAAGCATTAATGACACTAAATATTTTATATAAATTTCTTGTAAAAACAGATATTAAAAGTAAAAGCTAACTCTATAACCCGTAAATATTCTCTTTGGGTTTCTCTACTTTACTCAAATGGATTAGTCTTGGCCATAAAATTAAGATTTTAATAAATGGAAGTGTCATTAAGGAACATCATCTAGCTACCAAAAAATATCTGAGTTTCTACAATTGGCCAGAAGTCATATATCAGACTAAACCTCTCTAGACAATCTACAAAGTGTCTGGTTCTTTGACTCATCGATCGAATCGAAATCGAATTTAATAATAACCCAACTCAATTAGGCGTTGCTTAGCACTTCAGCTGGACATTTAGGTCATGACCACAAAGGAAATTTCTACGCCAACTCTCTCTAAGAGAAAAAGTATCTAATTATTGGGCAGCAGCGAAAAAAAAAGAGATGCGAAAGTGACTTGAGACAAGAGCAACGCCCACAAACACCTGAAGGTTCTGGTCATCAATCTTGCCACGAAAATATCGACGGCTTAAATCGTTTTGTTTCAGCTAAGCTTGGAAATCAAAAAAATAACTTTATATTAAAGGGGTGGAAAATATTCATATATGTTTTATGTTATGTTTATTATCAGAAAGTTAAATGGCTTTCTGTGATTATATGGTTTCTGTTATTTATTGCATTTCACAAACTACTTTTATTATCTTTTGCGGATCTTTAAAGTTTTTAGCTAATGTCCTGCGCATGTCCAGCTGATTTAACAGAAATTTAACACCTGAGCTTAAAACTATCGATTCTGTAACTTCGGCGTTGCCAGATGCCGCGAGAGCAGTTTACTATTTATCGCAACACTATCTATAATCTAAATCATTGTATATTCCTTATTTTTCATATGAAAATTTGCACTGCAGACTGAATGTACTTAATCTAGCCATAAATCTATATTAGCATCAACTTTATCATTCAATCAAAATCACTTTATATCTTATAAAAGCTTATCTAAACAAAATTTATTTCTCTATTAGTTGTTAATTTATTCTAGGACTTAATTCTATTTTAAAACCATTTGCTACCAATACGGAAATTCATTAGCCATGGCTTATTTAGACACTCAAGCTGCTGCTGTCTGCAATTTATATGCGACTTAAGTGCCCAGCTTCCTTAAGCAGTTCCTGTCAAACACTGCACCCACTCCAACGATATAGCATAACAATTTCAATAACAACGGCATCAATAACGATAACCATACAAAAGACTCCCGCACTCGCGCTCGAGATCGGTATATAGCTTGGCTATATAATGCGCTCAGTCGGACTGAGCTCTTCTTTGTGCTTGATTTTCATTTTGATTTTGTTGATTTGGTTGATTTTTATTTAATTTTGTTTTTAACTTAGCGCCTTTCATTGTTGTTTTTGTGTGTTGCCATTTACAGAAAAGCAGTTCGAGCATTTCCAGCCAGAGCAGCAACAATTCGAACTTAACAACTGCAACACAAGCGAGCAACACCCACAAAAGTGCGGGCAAAATAAGCCTACATGCAATTGTGGGACCAGAATCATCATCATCATCATCATTATCATCATCGTCAGCGGTTTGGGCCAAGCAGCCTGACTTATATGGCCAACTCCCCGGTGGCGTGGGTGGTTCTGGTGCTGCTGCTGCTGGTGGTGATGCTGACGTAGCTGTTGCCACGCCAACGCAACGTCGTGATTTGGAAAGTTTCCGGCATTATAACGATGACGACGACGACGATCTGCGGTAAGTCACATACAGAAATTTCTGTCCATTAGCCGATCGGCCCTGAATCCAGTACCACATCTCTATCTCCAACTCCAATACAGACTTACCGCTCGTCACCAGCGTCGTCAGCAGGTGTCCCAGTCGGTCTACGCCCCACCATTGCCCTCGTTAGGATCCACTTTGCTCCAGCGCTCCCGCTCCATTTCCACGGATGATCTCAGCAACGACTGGGAGCGTGAGGATCCCGCCGAACAGCCGGTTGGTGAGTGGCGACGAGTCAGCAAGCTGCGACGATCTTTTCAGTCGCAAGATCACTACAAGAGCCCGGTATCCGTGAATCGACCTCGACCCTTGGATCTGCCGGCAAGTTCAGTGAGTGTGGCTCGTTTACGGGCGGAACTGGAGAACGGACGTCGCCTGCATACGGCCATGCGGAATAACCACGTGGATCTGGCAGCCCTGGACAATATACTTAACACTCCTACAGCCAAACCCACGGTGGCCAAGAGGAACACCTTCCTCACGGCCGAGTCCCTGCAAGAGATACGCGGCAAACTGAAGAAACTCTCAGACGAAAGTCTCTACAAGGAGGACTTCCTGGCCTACCACCAAAAAAATCCTGCGGTAGTGCGGGAAATCAGCGTGGAGAAGGTAGATCCTACACCACCAGCTCTATCGACTCCATCGGCCTTTCGACCCGTTCACAATACCCACAGTCTGGAGTCCCGTCAGAGGCAGAAGGACACCAGTTCCAGTGAATGGCATTTGCGGCGCAAGTCATACGGCTTTGAGAAGATGTCACCGCCCGAGGACAAGAGCATCTTCCGGGTAGACGCCTCCACAGATAGTGGCCTAGGCAGATCTGGTGAGCAACTAGGCAACTGGTCACCCACGGAAAGAGAGCGTGAGAGAAACGAAAAGGAATGCCGCTGGTGGACATCAGAACAATGGCGGTGGAACCATTGTCCATTTCGGCAGATCCCCGAGACCCATCATCCCATCATCCAGCCCCACAGAAGGAGAGTTGAGTAAACGCCATTCGATAGCCGTAGAGGAAACCTGGCGTGATATTCGCAAAACCTCGCAGGTGCATGTGAATGGAGGAAGCGCTGTCCCCAGCACCTCGAACACCACCAGTCACCTGCACAAGGGCAGCGCTCAGAAGCGAGTGGAGTTCTGCAAGACAGAGGTGCACTTTGCCGCGGAATCGGGTCGCGTTAATATCGTGGAGACCGACGGCAAGCCGCCGCCCACGCAAAACTTTCGCCGACGCCGTCGCACCACCACAGCCAGCGGTCCATTGCAGAGTCTGGTTAAGTCAGCCAGTGCCAGCGGTGGAAGTGGCACTGCCACCACGCAGAGCAGCGAGGTGACCCACTTTGGGGACGATTCACAGCGTCGCAAGACGATAGCCACCAGTACTGTGGCCTACCGAGCCACGCTCATGGATCCGCCAGAGGTGGTTAGCCAGCCAGTGAGTATTCTTTTAGGGAAACTTTTCCTTAAATTGGTTTTATAAAGATTTCTTTCTGTTCTTTCATGTCCAGATTTCCAGTAGCCACAGCAACACCTCCACCAGCACCCAAGTGACCGTAACCACAGTGGCTAAGCCTGTGCACGAACCACGATACAGCCTGATGGAGTCCACTTCGAGGAACAGTTACACCTCCACTAGTGGAGTGGATACCACGGATAACGAGACAGATGAGCTATCAAATATTAGGGGAATCCTGAAGAACAAACCGGTGAAACCGAAGCCCTATCACCTGGGCGAGAACATAGAGAGCGCCGATGTACTCTGGAGTGTGCCAGCTATGAAAGTCGATCGAGAAAGTCCCTCGGCAAGAGATAGCGGTAAGAAACTAATTAGATACTGGATAACTTACAGAAGTAGTAGTACTTATTTCACCCTTAGGAGTGACTAGCGATTCACCCATTAGTCCCAAGTCGGTGGCCGAGAGAATCCGCATTGTGGAGCAGCGCCAACAGCAGCAGCAACCTTCTCCAGCTGGAAATGGATACTCGACCAAGATCAATGTGAGCCTGGGCTCCGAGGATTGGGCAGAACCAGGTTTGCATTTTTACTATATTCCTAAGCATAATTAGTTGTACATTTGATTAGATAGTTGGAATGCCTGTAGTTTGTAGTACCTTGTCCACTGAAAAAAAAAACCAAAACGTTGTATGATTTAGTCTATCTGGGTTTTAGCCATGGACTCCTCTACTTGACTCGAACTCTCTGTACTCTGATTTGTATTTCTAATGCATGTTGTGAACTCTGACTGCCGCTTCTCTAAACCACATCTAATGCTACATCTAACACCACTCGCTAAGCTCAGCTCGATAACCACGCTCTAAAAAAACCATTTAAAAGAAAATCGAAAGAAAACATGAATTGCCAAACCCACCAACGACACTTTCCGCACATTTCCCACACAGGCACAGCCATGCATCATCATCCCAGCTCGAAATACCGCCAGTATCGACGTCCAAGTGCCCAAGAGCTATTGTTGGAGGATCTGCGCCAGCATCAGCGCATCCTGGACGAGGGTTTGAAGTCCACGTCCCTGATAATGAGGACCATGCGATCGGCCAGCGAATTCGATGAGGCCATGCGACGCCTGAGCATAGCTTCGATTGAGTCCGCCTTAGTTCAACCGACTATTGTGGTGCCCACGCCCATGTTGCGATCGCACAGCTACCAGGAGGAGGGATCCTACTCCTCCAACCGCCGCCCTTCCACCATATCCACCACCTCCATAACAAGCAGTGATCTCTTCGGCAGTGCCTTGTATGATTCCCTGCCGCGGACACCTTTGGCTCCACCGCGCTTGAAATTACTGGGAAACACTCAGATCCCGGTGAGCCAGCAGTTAACCCAACTGAGAAGGCTCTACGATGCTGCCGAACAGGATCAGGAAGATAGTGCCGATGAGGAGGTGAAGCGGTACTTCCGGGACAGCAATAGTGACAGCGGTGGAGGAACTCAGGGAAGCTCCTCGCCAGATCATCAGCCGGCGGAGTTGTTCAAGGGCAGCGAGTATTCCAGCAGCTGGAGTCGCCTTAAGGCCAAGCGAACCATCTGGAAAATCGAGGCACAAGATCAGATACTGAAGAGAGCAGGTAAAGCCTGTTCAATTCACAGAGAGGGTTGAGTTAGGAGGAGTTCATTTGGGGCATCAGATCAGGCAGAAAAAACAAGAAAGTTTGTTAACAGGTTTTTGAAGAAGGATTTTGGGCAAGGAACCTAAGCCATTTTCATTGACGTCTATCAGCTTTTTACCAAACATTATTAATTTAATATTTAAAGACTATTTAAAAAGAGTTATAATAGTTAAAAAACTTGTAATCCTGACTTCCTAATAACTTCCTGATCACCTTTTCAGATCTACCCAAATCGAATGTGATGAACATAGCTCTGCACGCTCCCCGAATTGAGAAGCCCAAGGCTACACCACCTACCCTTCGAATTGGCCAACTGATACCTGTGGCCAAGCCCAGGACCCTCTTTATTCAGCCGCAAATCCAAACACAGACTACACAAGCAGACAACGGTGACGAGTCCGGAAGTGAGTCCTTGAAGATTGTCAAGGAAGCACGCGGAGCTCGCAAGCTGCGTGAACACGAACTCTCTTACTTTGGAGTGCAACAGAAGCAGCAGCAGGCGAAACTATCGACAACAACCACGAATCCCAGAAGAACACTGCCCAGTCGCAGCAAAATGAGCCACAGTGATGAGATCAAGGCCAACACCACGACCACCACCAAGTGGCAATTGCTCAACGATCGACCCGACCTGCTGAGGCACAGTAGTCCCCAGCAAAACGATAATGGCACGACCAACGACTACGACCAGGATGATAATGATCTGGATGAGGACGAGGAACACTGTTATGAGAACATTGCCACCGAACTGACTACCACTTTTAGGGTCAAATCTCCATCCCACTCCCCGGATCGATCACGATCACCGGGTAGCTATGAAAGGAAGACCGACCTGCAGAGGGACGCTCAGATCCTGAGCGAAATGACCCGAAACGCTGATCAGACTTTGAAGGTATGTGATAGTTCAAGTACTTCTAGTCAAGACATAAATCTACTTCTTCCTTAACAGGCTCTCTCCGATGAGGCAGCCATCAAGGATCAGCGGCGCAGATCCTGTTCCCTGCAGCGTCGCAGCGCCAAGCCCTTGGAGACCATTGATGAGAAGGTGAAGATATACCCCCAAACGATCGGGGTGGCCCGTGGCACTTTCGCCTCGGAGGCACGTCGTAATTCCCGGCAGTCGACTCCTTCGCCTACGCGGGCACGCAGCTCGTCGCAGTCCTCCATCGAATGCTGTCCACGGGATCGATCCCGCTCCAGTTCGCGGGAGTCGATGACCCACGGTGGTGGCTCATCCGATGACCAAGTGGCCCAGAAACAGCGAGCCGAGCGCCTTCGCATGCGCACTCCAAAACGAGAGAAGTCCCGTCATGAACCGATCGAAGTTCGTGTCAACCGCCACAGCAGTAAGCCAAGGAGCAGTTCAAATGCCACGGCACAGGGGTCATCTTCTCTGGAGTCCAAGCGTAGCTCTCGTCACAGTTCACGCCACAGCCGGGAGGTTGATCACTCCACGGAGACCAAGACCTCCTCTTCCAGCCGCTTGATAAGATCTTCTCGGGTGGCTGATGAAAGTCGCTCGAGACAGAGCAGCCATCGGGATCGGGAGAAGGAAGGCGATCGAGAACGCTCTCGAGGCACCGATAAACATCGCGATGAACTCACACGTTCCAGGGGTAGGTTATAACAAGATATAGAAAGATATTCTAGATATTTTTCAGGAAGGATTAAATGGAGATATAATACTTTCCGGTTAATCTTGCAGAACTTCTTGTTTTGGGCTTGCTCATTATGGGTGCCACACAGCCGCAGAGGCTGAACAAACGTTTTAGGTTTGCCAGATGAGTTTCAGTTGCGATCAGATTAGTTAACACTAAAAGCGCACACTTTTACAGAAATATTAGCTGACACTGTTTAAATTATTTTCAGTCTTCTCAGCACACACTGTCTTAAACGAAATACACACACAAATTGTCAGAAAAATGATAATCTTCTTATACCTTCTTTGCATCATTCACACATAGTCTTATACAACACACTGACACTTTTTCTATATTTTATTATTTGAAACCGAAGTCTTAGCATCCTAAAAAGTTTTAAAAATGGTAAATTGTTATATTCAAGAAAAACCTTCGTAATGCTGTGATATTCAAAGCTAAAATCACAATGGACTTAAAAACAAGAGAAGAGCCTAAACTGATTTAAATTGAGAGGAGTAAATGGAAAATTTCTGTAAAAACAGTACATAAGAACACCAAAAGATATCGCACAGAGTTTTATATATTAGCTCAGCATGATTTTTAACTTTCTTAACTAAACTAAAACCTTTAAGGAAAAACAGTTTTGTAAGATGTTCTAATCCTAAACTTAATAAGCCACTTAACCATTTTAGATTCCTTTAAAGCTTAATCTAATAATCTTATATTATCCCTCGCATAGGTCACTCCAGTCGCTCTAGGCACAGTGAGCACCCATCGTCGGGAACCCGGGAGAGCAGTCGCCCAAGTAAGACGAGATCGAGTCGCAGTAGCCACGACTCGACGACGGCACACAAAAAGTCAACAACGACGACCACGAGCACAACAGGCAGTTCGAAAACATCGAAAACCACAACGCATAAACCATCTGCATCAGCCAGCACCACCAACACCACCACAGTAGCACCACCCACGCACCACGAACTGACGTACGTATACGTAACGAATTTAGCCAATACACAAACCAACGAGGAGTCACCAGGAATCACTATGAGTGATAGTGCCGAAGAGCCAGCAAAAGAGGCGGACTATGCGAGTATTGATGAGGTGGAGGTATCGAATACTCCTCAGCCACCGCCGCGTAGCAGACGCAAGAGATCGATGATCCCAGTGCCCATAAATCAGCCCGCCAGCTATGAGTATCGCACCAAATTGCAGATGATACCGCCCAGCTATTCGAATCAGTCCACCCTGAGGTGTCGCAGTGTGGCCCGCAAGAAACCCTCCCTGAAAGCCACCCAATCGACTAGCTCCAGTTTTGCCTTTCTGCCCTACTTACCGGCCAAGCGAAACTCGAGCGTTAGCCATGTTTACGACAATTACCTGCTGTATGCCACCAGTGAAGATCCGATAAAAACGGAAAAACTGCGTCCCTATCAAAACAATCTGAGCAATGACCATGCGCAGCTTTTTGGTGCTGCTGCAGCAGGGGCTGGGCATAGGGAGGGGCGTGGTCGCCTGGGCGGCTGGCCAAAGAGGCTGAAAATGCGACAAGTTCGAAGCAGTGTGTCAACCCATCAGCCCTTTGGCATCTGCACATGTTCATAGTCAGCGCTGGAGACACAAGATATTAAGCCCACAAGAAACCAAAAATCAGAATAAATATATTACATAATCTTGGGATGCAAGGATCTCGTCACAGAAATATCACACACACACACACACCCCCCAAAAAAAGAAACCCAAATAATCCCAAATGCACGATTACGTTTGATTTTCCAAAAGCGAACTGCATTTCCCTAACCACCCAACCACTGTGTTCCCCATACTAATACTAAAACCTCCCTCAAAAAGTTACTACTCAAGTGTGAGAGATTTTCGTTTGTTAATTTTGATTATTATTTATTTCGGAGCGCACACAAACAATCAAAAACTTGGCCAAAAGCACACAAGCACAAGCACAAAAAGAAAGGGCCTGTCTCTGGGTTCTGTTTTTACTTTTCACAGCGTAAGCGTTTTTTCCAAATTTTGTTTTCCTTTTTTGTTTAACCCCCAAGTAGTGCATGTTTTATTGGGTAAAACGAAAAGTGGTTTGGAAATGGGTATAACTTTCCAACTACCAAATGTAGCATTGAAAAACAAACTCAACTAATATATTTACTAGACTATTTTAACCATAACATTGCATGTTTGACTACTATTAACTAACTGACAACACTTAAATTTCTAACCTCATGCACAACACTCGGCTCTATCAGTAGAATCAACTCTAAAAACTGACTATGAACATGTTGCTGGAAACCAGAAAACCAAGAAATCATCAATGAAATTGGAATTAAAAACAAAAAAACCGAACACACAACATAAAACAGCCTCTATTCTATTTCTCTTTAGCAACTGGAACTACGTAGTTGAAGTAGCAATTTGGAAACACTATCCTAAGAAACAAAAACCAAAAAAACAGTAGAAAAATTATTAAAAAATATATTAACTTTCAGAGAAGAAGGTTTAATCTAACAGGTTATTATCTATCTCCACAGACACGGTAAAAGCACACTGAATGGACACCAGCATCATCATCAGCACCAGCACAGCAGCGGCGGCAAGCATCAAGGATCCGGACATGGTCATCGGGAGCAGCAGCCACATCATGTCCACAGCCTGACCACTTCGTCGATCGCCAATAGCAGACATCAGCGCGATCGTCACGGCAAGGATAGGAAATAGAATTTATGGGAACTCTCCAGCGAGCAAGCAACGAACTACTAAAAAAAAAAAAAACCTACTTTAATAGATATATAAATATATATACTTATATATATATATTTTAACATTTGTAATATGTACTAACACATGAACGACGACCAGCCCAAATTCGATGAGACTTTTTTTTGGTAATTTGCGAAATTTTCTGGCATTGTGAAAAAATTTCAAACAAATTACTTTGAGGTTTATGGGACAAAAGAACTAACCGATTTACTAATGTTTCGATATTGCAAAATGTGACTTTGAAAATGTTCCAGTTCCCAGTTCCTGTTCGCATTTCCACAACCACACACATTTTCACACCCCCTCCGCTTTGGCATTGCACTCGAAATTCAAGTATTAAAACAAAAAATGATGCCACCAATTCCCCAAAATGAAACTAAAAACTAAACATATAAAATAACAAATGATACTCATAAATATTCTTCGATAGCATTTAGTTTACGACAAGCAAAAGTGAATGAAAATAAATATAATACATTTTTCAATTATAAATGATTTTAGTTTGATCTGAGGAGGGAATGGGAACTTTTGATATTAACCAAATTAATTATATATCTACAGAAATGATATATTTTCAATCTGCAGTTAGCAACCAATTGATTTCAACACAAAGTAGATCTCTCGTGGAACTCGTAAAACAACGCGAAGGTTTTCTTTTCGCAGAACGGTGCTAACTGTGTGAAAAGCTTTTTCGCAGCTTTTCAGCCAAGTATTTCATTATATATTTAACTTTTTATCACTAAACTCACACCAAGCAACGCCGTGATAGGTAGCAAAGCTTATGGTTACTCGTAATTGTAATCCTCTGTGAGCGTTCCGGCAAATGGAAGAGGCTCTCAGTTGTTGTCCAACTGCCGTCACGTCAAACTACTAAAATTGTTCACATTCAGTGCCGGTGCCAGTGTCGTGAGTATAATCAAAAAGAAAAAAAGATAATTTCAAGTGTGACTGCATTATGTTTTAACTGGGTCTGTGATAAGCGAAAGAGCTTCCATAAAATCGGCACTATCAATGCTCCACATAATTATTAATTCGATTACACTCAGAGCCATTGCCACACTGAAATGAGTCATCGATCTGATAGGCAGATCAACCCTTGGCATTTCGTTCTACTATCTCATGATAATCTATTAATATCAAACGAACAGAAGCAACGTATTTGTGTCTTCCATCAAGTTCAACTGTGATAACACCTGTATTTCGCAGTGTTTAGATTTCTTTTGTTAACGAAATGAGTCAGAAACACTTTTGGCGCAAAGTTCAAGCCTAATTTTTAGGTTTCTTTGGAAATATATGCTGTCAGTTTTTAAACTCTTAACATAACAAATTTCTGCAACAAATTATTTACATTTTTCTTACTTGCTGTGTCATAGTGAAAAAGCAAATTTACTTTTTGTTTCAATAAAAATATTATTAAAAAGTTGATTTTTTATGTTTCAGTAAAAAAGGAGAACTTTTTGCACTCCATACCCTTTGTCCCGATATATTACTATTTATTTAGTAACACTGATCAATATTAGTTATATATTTAGTTTTGTTTTTGCCACAATATAAACTGCAGGCCTATTCTATCATATTATATCTTATCGGATTCAAAGCGAGCGGTTATCTTGTCTGAAATGGCGGTCTAGGCAACATCAGTACATTGAAAATACAGCAGGTAGTTGACCACATTTGGCTTAAACAAAAGCAATGTCCCCTATCAGTTACTGATAACTAAATATATATATAAATACATATAGGTTTTTGTTGATTAGAAGTGAGACCTTCCTTGGTGTCTAAGTTTGGTCTGCAATCCACTTTATTTAACTTTCGGAATCGAATCGCAACAGTTGAGTTTAAATTTTCGGCCCATCGAAGAAGTTGACCAAGCTTTCCCTCGCTCTCTCGACATTTTAATATTTCATTAAGAGCTTAAAAACTATCGATTTTTTAGGTTACAAACTAAATAATAAACGATGTCGCTTTTAACGGGCAGCGCCAATGCGGTGAAATACACGCTCTTTGGATTTAACTTGATCTTTTTGGTAAGTAAACTAATTAAGTTTTCGGCTTGGATGAGTCACCAGTCAGAGTCACATTGATAACAGAGTATCGAGATTAGATTGATAAAGCGATTGGTTGTCATTGGTTAAAGGGGAACCACAAAGACGATTAATGGTTTATAAATCAATAAAATAATAATGGAGACCCATTCCATTACTTTTCTTAAAAAATGAACTCTCTTTTACTTTATATTATATAATGATATTCAAAATAGGTTTGCAATTTTGTATAAAATTCTTAAAAACACGTCACTTAAGCCTATTTAGTTTCACAATGCCCGAAGAATCTTTAAACCATTATCTTATCTCATTTGCAAAAGACATGTCAACATGATACAAATTTATTTATCTAGTTTAATGAGTAATGAATAAGAAAGATTCCTGAAATTTTTTAATAACAACTTTAAATACGAAATCAAAAATATTATTAATTACCTAAAAGACTAGTCAAAGCAATTAATATCGATCATTATTATAAACCAACTAGATCACTGGCATTATTCTGATTGCCGTTGGAGCCGGAGTCGGTGCCGTTTACACGGGCTATGAACTCTTCTTGGCCGGCAAGTTCTTCTCGATCCCCACATTCCTGATCGTGATCGGATCGTTCATCATTCTGATCTCGTTCTTTGGCTGCTGGGGAGCCCTCAAGGAGAACTACTGTCTGGTGCTCAGCTTCTCGATCATGCTGGCCATCATCTTCATCCTGGAACTGGCTGCTGGCATTAGTGGCTATGTCCTGCGCAACGATGCCTCCACATTGATCAAAACGTCGCTTACTGATTCCCTGCACGAGTACAATGTAGTTGGTAAAAATTCGACCACCAAACTTTGGGATGACGTGCAGCGGGAATTCGACTGTTGTGGAGTTACCTCCTATACCGACTGGAACGTCACCTTGACCGAAGGCCAGCTGCCCATCTCCTGCTGCGACATTCCAGCGGGTACGGTGGGAACCTTCAGTTGCTCGGCCAATGCGACCACCGATACAACCCGCCATGACAACGGCTGCCTCGACGGATTCTCCAACTATATTTCCGCCCATGCGGTCAGTCTTGGAGCTGCGGGTGTGGTCATTGCAGTTCTTCAGGTGAGTTTCGCTGATCTTCAGAAGAGCCCATTAAGGTGTCTCTTTACAGAATGGTTCTCCATTGATAAATACATTTAATGTACTTAATAATGATTTTCTTCCTTTCAGTTCTTTGGAGTCATCTTTGCCTGCTATATAGCCCGAGAGATCAAGATCCGAAATGGCATCACTGGCTTCATGTAAGTCCAAGATGACATCGATACCTGATCTGTGAGGTGGGGAACAGGAACTGGAGAGGATCAAAAACCCGCCTTTTAATTTTAAGAAACTTCTAAATTCGATGGATGTTCTATAGTTCTATATTGACTTTTCCTTCTGCTTGTGTGAATAAAAAAAAATATATATAATTCTAAACAAAAATTTCTGCGAATTTCTTTTGTTTCTTTGAGTTATTAAATCTTATCTGACGTGTAGGTTTTATATTGGGCGGCCTTTGGGAATCCAATCTTATCACTCATATATTGTGGCCTATAAAAATTCAATTGTGTAGACCGCACCTCTAAATATTTGGATGTTATATATATTCGAAGTACTTATTTCATCAGTAATGGTAAAGAATCATAAGTTTATCCCAAAAGATATAATTTCTAGGTTTGCTTAACTGCTGATAAACTTGTCAAGTGCAAGTTAGTTTTAAGTTTCTTAGGTTTTTACAAAATATATATAAATGTGTATTCTAAGATGAAAAAAGTATGAAAGAATTATACCACGAAAATTATTGAAGGTTCATATACTGTTAGTAAATGTGTCCAATTACTCTAAAACTGTTTTGCATTTCAGAGAACGATGAAGATCCAACACTTCTAAAACTGCTGTGAGCCATTTTAAGAGATTGATGATAACTTAAGTAGCAGATCATGTTAATAAGTTCATCCAATATCCCTAAAACCTTAGTAAGCTATTTTCAGAGCATCTGACATTCAAATTAACTTAAAATAACAGCCGTCATCTAGTCTAAGCCCCATTTAAAACATGTTCAAAAATAATAACCAGTCAAAACAAATACAATTATTATTTCCCAGCCGAGTAAGACAATCAGCCAACACACTTATGAGCAAGCACACCTGTGTTTACCTCTGAATAATTTAAGCAGTGCAGTGCGATTAAAAAATCGATAGACCATAAAAGTTGACTCACTTAAAACTGAATTTAAATCGATAATATACTCGATATGGCATGCGACATTGACTTGTGAACTTGACCAGCAAAGTATATGACAATGTTGGGGGGTTGTGATATGAAGACATAAAAGTAGTTCCTAGTAATTTAAATAATTTCCCGAAGGACATGGCATACAGGATAGACGATTTCCAATATTCGATTGCACCATTTCCGTTGTATTGCGAAAACTCGCCTAATGAGAATAAAGCGATCGTTATCTTATCAACTATTTGTCTAACGGAAAGACTATGAACAATAACTGCCTGATAAGCGTCGCTGGAAAAGCTCTCTGGAGAGAAGGTGCACTGGAAAAAAAAATGGCTGTATTTATGATAAAATATTTTTCATAATTATTAAAAAGTGAAAGAAAGAATAAAGGCTAATTTATAAAGTTAAACATTTTAAAAGTGTTTTTTCTTATTATTTAGATAATTTTTCTTCCCTATAACTGTTTTTAAGATGGGGTAAAGAATATCTAAAAAATAGGTAAAAAATATATTAAATTTTGATTTTTAAAATGTATCTAAAATTTTGTAGAAAGAATGGTAATGTTTCTAAAATTTTGGTTAAGCTTATAAAAAATGTTAAAATAAAAAAGAAAACCAAACCATTTTCTCTCAGTGTTGAAGCCAGTAGAAGGGGGAGGGTGACAATGCCGGACGGCCTCTTTTCAGAGCGTGGGAGAGGGAATGACGACTCGCAATTGAGTTCGTCGATTGCGTTTACCGTTTTGCCACTCAGTTCACGTGTGACTAGCAAAAGTTAAAGTACGTTCACTGTCGAGTCGGTCGGCGAGACAACATTAAAGCGAGCGATATATATACTATATATCGGAATTGGCCTGTTATTAGCACTTTTACAAATTGCAGCTGACATCCCAGCGAGAATTCTAAACTGCATTATGGCGAATCGGGAACTGCAACTGGATTCGGGCATGCGGTGCGCCAAGTACATGCTCATCATCGTGAGCTTTATGTTTGCGGTGAGTTGATCCCTGAAGTCGAAATCCTCTAGAAATTCCATCCATGAATCACTACTGCGCCGCCATCTTGATTTATTTTTTATCAAATGGAACACTCACTCTTATCAGCTTTTCAGGTAATAGAGTGTGTGGGTGTTGGGTTATTGTTTTTTTTTTTTTGTTAACTTTTTTGCGCCTACGTAAGACGTTGTTAGGAAAATAAACATGAGCAAACTGGGAAATTAGGGGAAAAGAGAAACGGGTCAAGAACAAGCTGGAGTTCTCTCTTAGGAACTGTTCTCTGTTAGCTTTTGGAATAATTATACTATCAAGGTCAGAAGCTATTGAGATGATATCGTATTTATGGTTGATAACCATAGATAAGATCTTTTACAGTCAGAAGAGATGTTTAGGCAAATTTAAATTAGAATTTCTCAAAATACTTAAGATTAGTATATGATCAAGATATAAAAAGCTATGTTTGAAAAATCCTTTCAACATACGTTATTGATTTTCCCTTCCTTTTATTACATCTTAATTCCTTTGATCTTCTTTCCCATATTTCACCATTCTAGCAACAGCTCAGTTGCTTTCAAACTGTACAAAAATTACTCATTTTGATAAGATAAAAACGAATAACATTCCTTTTTTACTTTGTGTTTGTGTATTGGTAAAACAATATACATTTTTATTTCCGGGAAAGTTAATAACATTTTTTCTTAATTTAATGTAGAGTTAAAGTTGTTAAACAACAATTTCTAAATATTTACAAACTTGTTTTTAAACAAACAAATATTGAGGATTGTATGTAAAAGTATCAGGTTTGCAGTGGAAGCAGCTATGCCATAATGAGTTAACAAACATTATAAGCAAACATAAATAAGATAAGGTAAATAAATGTCGAAGCTAACATTGTTGTTGGTTACTTTTGTTAGTAAAAGATAAAAAAGTGAATTTATTTAATTTTTATTCTTTATATAAAGACAAAGTTTAAAGAGTTTTACAAAACCCCAACTGTTTCATAATGGCAGATCATTCGTAAATGGCTTAATAACCACTCGACATAATTTTACCTGGAATACCCAACTGCATGCTATTACCCATTACCCCGTCATCACAAAGCCACTGCCTTTCGTGTGCTCACAAAGTCACACTGAAAATCTCGCCGCAAATGGGTTTTGACATGCAATTCGCAACTATATCTAACCCTGATTCTAATTTCCCCGCAGCTCACCGCCATCCTTTTGATAATGGTGGGAACTACGATCCAGGCGGTCTTCGGTGACTTCAGCCTGTTCCTCGATGGACACTTCTCATCACCTCCGGCTCTCCTAATCGCCATTGGATTCATCCTGATCGCAGTGGCCACTTTGGGAGCTTACGGAGCCGTCAAGGAGAGTGTGATGGTCATTAACCTGGTAAGTTCAAGGATCTTAGATCCATACTATTCTTTGTCATAAAAAGTATATTATAATCTCCTTCATTTGTAGTACGGAGTCTGCCTGTTCCTGGTGTTCATCCTCGAGGTCTCTGCTGCCATCGCCGCCTTCGTGATGCAATCGCAGGTGAGGGAGATGCTGACTCGTACAATGCGCAATGCCTTGGCCGAGTACGAATCTGATCCCTATGTGACTGCTGGAGTGGATTTCATGCAATCTGGGGTAAGCTAAAGCCAGGAAATAAAACATCCTTCCAATAATTTACTCTCGAATCATTTGAAATTTCTAAAAATCGTATTTTCTTACAGCTTCAGTGCTGCGGCGTCAATGAGCCGGAGGACTGGAAAGAATACTACAGTCCCAACAAGAACCTCACACTTGGATCCGATGACGTGGTGGTGCCCATCTCCTGCTGCGGCGATTCGGGCCGGGACTTCTATGATGCCACCCAGGTGACCTGCACGGAGACCTTTGAACTCGGTTGCTTCCGCAAGATGAACTTCATTGTTTCGCAGAGCGCCATGTTAATTGCCACAGGGGCAACAACGGTGGCCTTTGTCCAGCTGCTTGGAGTCCTCTGTGCCTTTATGTTGGCCAAGACACTCCGCCGGAACAAGTCCATTCGAGAGGCCCGCCGCTGGCAGCTGCAGCAAAGCCTCGGCGTCCTCATCTCCGGTGGAAAGATGGGTTTGCCCCAGAACTCGGCGGTTGCTGGCTACCAGCAGCTGGGCAACGGCGAACAGGGATCTAACGAACCCTACACCTACACGCCCCAGAGTCCCAGCGTTAACTAGACTTTGGCACAGATCGAAGCTCTATATTTATACCATATAGAATACCCAAAGAGATCCACTTGTAAATGTACATTTTTAATTTGTTAACAACCAAACTTAGTAAAACGAAATAAACGCGGTGGTCCTTGGACTATGCGCTGAAAATATTGGTCAGTTAATTGGGAAAGGAAAGCTAATTCTGTAAGATTCAGAAAGCCAAAAAGACATAAGAGAAAGTAAACTATTCTCAGAACTTTTTTTCTGGGAAAGCCCACTCGGACAGCAAAAACCGAAATTTACATTTACGATTCCTCATAGATTTTTATAGCGATTGGTACACCTAATAGCCACAATAAGTGTCCTCTTTTTTAATAACTTAAAAGTCTGAAGTATCAATCTTTTTAATTTGTTACAAAAATGAGTCAACAGAAAAAGGAAGTCCTAAGATTGCTTGCGCAAATCCTTGGCAACTTTCTTGAGTAATCTCAGCTGCTCAACGACGCTGCTACTGGCGGTTCCACCGATCGCATTATACTGCTGCACGTTGTTAGAGTAATCAGCCACTCCAACGATATCCGATCCAAAAACAGGGCTAAAGGTCTGAAGATCACCTAATGGTAGGTCGGTGATGTCCACACCTCGACGTTCGGCCTCGGAAACCAGGCGACCGATAATGTGGTGAGCCTGGCGGAAAGGAATGCCCTTCCTTACCAAATAATAAGCCTGAAAGAAACAGGAAAGTTATTCGAAATAGTAATTATTATCAACAACTGGAGAAGTAAACTTACCCAATCAGTGGCCAACATATCTGTGCTGAGAGCAGCCTCCATGGATTCCTGCTTCACCTGCATTGTCTGCAGAACACCATCGGCAACATCCAGAACCTGAGAAAGTTTGTCAAACGACTTAAAGCAAAACTCTTTGTCGTACTGCAAGTCCTTGTTGTATGTAGATGGAGTCCCCTTGATAGTCATCATAATGCCCGTCAGATTTGCGGTGATCACTCCGGCCATGCCGCGTATCAGCTCCAAGCTGTCCGGGTTCCGCTTCTGAGGCATTAGGCTGCTGCCACTGGAAAAGCCATCGGCCAGTCGGATGAAGTCGAACTCCTTGGTGCTGTAGATGATCAGATCCTCGGCCAAACGGGACAAATGCAAGCTCACCATGGAGCAGCAGTAGATAAAGTCAACTAAGAGGGTGAGAAAGATAATTTTAATAAAAATTACTCATACGACACGTATTTAAGCTAAAATTCTGATACAAGTCGTACTGCCCTTCCTAACTTTCTGGCCGTGTTCTAATGAGTCCACAAATAGAAAAGAAAATAAAAACAAGCCTACACCTTCAATATACAAACCAAATAGAATACTTCATCAAAGGCAACAGTACGTATGAGTAATAAGCCATGAGGAGATCCTCAATTGCAAACGATATGCTATGCCTTAAATGTCTAAAGACGGATGAGAGTAAGACCTTAATATTACCCGTGCAAATGTCTATATACCAAATCTATTGATAATTTCAAAAACTTTCCTCTAAGACACCGCTGAGAATTCAAGATAATGACTTGAAAGAAAATCCAAAAATAAACCTAATTGCCTTAGACTTTGTGTTGACTGACTTGCATTAGTTGAGCGCAATGAGAAACCAAAATTCAAAATACAATTTAGATTATAACAATATTAGCTCAAGCCAGTATTATGGGAAATAAAAGTAATAAACGTAATCAATGATTCTTCGATTCTTGAGTAATTCCACCAGACCTCCTTATCAGCTTCTCCCCCGAACAATCTAGTGTCGAGGAGTGCTCAGATAAGAAATCAATCGAACCAAAAATGCAGTATCAACGACTTTGAAATGACTTAAGTGGTCTGCTCACCCACGAAATCCCGATCTCCCACGGCGTGCATGCTGTTGGCTGTAATGCCGGAGAATCCCAGCCTTTCGGCTAGCCACAAACGATCGATGCCGAGGGGATTGCCAGCAAGAGTGCGCCACTTCCCAGGGGCAGGACATTAGAACGATCCCTCAGTTCCACCAACCGCTGGCCATCTTCCTTCAAGGCAAAGGCATGTGAGAGCAGCCAATGGGAGAACTGGACTGGCTGCGCCCTCTGCAGATGAGTGTATCCTGGCATAAGGACGCCCAGATTAAGTTCCGCCTGACGGGCGGCAGTTTCGATGACGGCACTCAGACGGCCCAAGGTCTCACGAATGGCCTTGCGAAGCCATAGCTTCATGTCGGTGACCACCTGGTCATTCCTGCTCCTTCCCGTATGCAGCCGTTGGCCCAGCTCACCGGTGATCTCCACCAGCAATCGTTCGTTGACCGTGTGCACATCCTCATCACCAGGCTGGAACTTTACGGATGCTTCGATCCAATCGAATCGCAACAGCTCCAGATTTTTCACCAACTTATCCGTTTCGGCTTCATTCAGGTGACCAGCTCTATGGAGCGCCTCTGCATATGCCTTGCTGGCATCCAGATCATCTGCGTACAGACGATAATCGTAGGGAAGGCTATTGTTTAGAGACTGAAGCGCTTCATGGGGCTTGTCGGTGAAGCGTCCACCCCACATTTTATAGCAAGTCTCGGGGATCTGGGTCATTATGGATCCGATTGGCGTAACAGTGCGATGTCTACTGAGAGTATTTGCTCTGCAGCTCAGCTCACGAATACAATTCTTTATTGTGCCATATAACAGTGTTATCTTTGAAAATAATATGTTGCTCGGCTTTTTTATATGATTAGGGCACGTCAAACGCGAAATTCTCTCTGTGCGAACAGTGGTTTAGCTTAAAATAAAATTTGAAATAGTTAATTAAGTTCTAAACTAATCGAACCTAATCAAAGTTGGTTGAAAATTGAAATGCTTTTGGAATGAATTTGCTTTTTGGTTTAATGCGTTTAACAATTTAAGTCAATTATTTCTGAATATCAAATTCATTTACAGTAACCAACAAATTAATTTCTGAACTTATATTTCTTTGGAAATAACTAACAGCATTGCGACCACGGTGCCCTGTTCTCTCTCTAGTTAGCAATATGATTTTTATTTTTAATTGACTTGGCTAAAAAAAAACAAAACAAATAAGCCCAGAGTGTCGGACAGATACAACCGCTTATCAGCCAAGATTAAAATCACAAGAGCGTAGCCTCTGACGCTTGTTGCCGCATAGCCCTCAGATATCTTGGTTGTGATGAGCAAGACAATGGCACTTCTCTTACGCTGATAGATCTTCAAGGAACAGTTTATTTAGTTCACAGCACAGTCGATGCAGAGGTAGTCCCATCACGCAGTAAAAGTCTCCATCGATTCGGTGAATAAGGGCTCCTCCAGGTCCTTGGACGCCATAGGCTCCAGCTTTATCTCTGTGAGTAAGTAAAAATACTTTAAGTTAGTTACTAAGATTATCTTTAATAAATATACAGCTTACAGAGGATCTCCGGAATCCACATAGCTTTGAATTTGTTCTGGCAGCAGGTCACCAAAGTAAACGTCTGCGGTGTCTGTAAATTTGCGAATTCCTTGGGCATGTTTCAGTACAACGCCGCTAAAAACGCGATTGGAGGTTCCAGATAAACTAGAAGATGATGTGAAGGGTTTATAATACATCTTTTGACATTTTTTAAGAAGTAAGAAAAACTTTAAAAAATAGATAAATGTACTGATGAATATAAAAATAATGTTATTCAAAATATTATTCTTATTATGTAATTTAATATTTACTTGGTTAGCATTCGAATTGCATCTGCCGAGTCCTTTGGTTTTCCGTAGATCTCCTTTCCCAAAGTCACCATCGTATCTGCAGCTATTACTATCAAATCCTTTGAATCCCCAGAGGAACTCAATCTTTCAAAGACTTCCTCGGCTTTTCCCAAAGCGGTGGCCTCTATATAATCAGAGAATTCCTTAAAATCCTCCAGCTTCAAGTTCTCTTCAAAAGTTGAAGGACAAAGTTCTGCATTTAAGCCCTAGAAATAAAGATTCTTATAAGATTGTTAAAGAGTTTCAATTACTCTGCCAACTTACCAACATTTTAACCAGTTCCTGCCTTCTTGGCGAGCCGCTGGCCAAAACAATGCGATAATTGCCCAATAAATGCTTAATTGGCGCCAACATTATAACCAAATTTTATTTATAAACAAACTTTAGCCAAAACATGTGTTATTGTGATGGCAAAGCGACGATTACTGTGGTCAACGATTAATCGAAAAGCAAGAGACACGAATCAGCAAACACACGCACCAACTTTAATTTGTTGATCTAAAAATCTTGATAGCTAACTAATTAAAATATATTAGTTAAATTTAAAATTATATTTTCCTTTCTTTTGTAATAAATTTGAATTTTTATATATATAAAATATAGATATAAAGACTCATACCATTCTAAGAATATCGACTTATCGAACTTTTAGGCCATGCAATAGGCGGGTGAATTCAAAAGTCACTTTTGCCTTCTTCTGTAATACATTTGCATTTTATTCAATACACGTAGAAGATTAAGATCAATAATACGTAATAATCTCAATCACAAAAGAGATTAAATATAGCTACATATAAAGGTGATACTTAGGCGACTTATAAATATTTAGCGACTAATTCAGTATTGGAAAACCGGAATAGAATAGTTAGTGCGCCCTACTATGATTATTAGTGATGATTTGAAACAATTGTACAACCGAGATTTAATTACAAACTATAGTAACAGATCTAAATTATAACTAGGTTCGGTGTTTGTACAAAAGGAACGAGCTCTGCGAATGGAACCCCAAAACGAAACCTTTTTTGATTTAATTGAAATGGAACTAGTACTAAGTCGAAGGACCAACGGCTAATGGAAATGGTAATGGCAATGCTAGAATAGCTTATAGTGACTCAATATGTGTGACAACACAATTATCTATAAATATATACAAAAGCTATCTATATACAATTAAGAGTCTATATCCGTCTGTCTCTAAACTATTGCGTCTTTGTATCGGTGGATCTCTTCGAGACGCCATCGCTCGAACTCTCTGTCTGTTGATCCTTGATCTCCGGCATTAGTTCGCCCACGGCCAACTTATTGGGCAATGCCTCGGGAGTGTTGATGATACCATAGGGTCTCAGATGATAGATCAGATAGTCCAGCACGTACATTTGATTTGGGGAGACATAATGGAAGGATATGGCATTGTCCGAACAACAGTCAAGACCCTGAAATTATAGGATTTAATTAGTAACCGCAAGTATATATATACTATGTATGTAAACCCACCTCATCGGTCTTGTAGAAGATGTACTGCCAGTACCAGAACTTTTTGTCCGTGTGCGAGGGAATTAGATGATGCTCCGGAACGAAGGGGAAAAAGCGACCCCGTCCGTTTGAATCCCGAGAATCCCCTGCCAGCACATTCACATTCTGCAGGCACTTCCCTATCTCAACGTCCTCGGCTCCTGTATTATCCGACTTGCATAGCTTGGAATTGGGCAAAGCTTCGACCACAAAGCGACGAACTGCCTCTCGGCTGAGGACATATCCGGCACCGCCGGACATATAGCCTTGCTTAACATATGGCTTGAACTTACAGCCAAAGTAGACGGGGGTCTCCGGACTGTAAGGGTACAACATGTACCTCATATTCTCCACTATCGTGTAGGTGTCATCATCGGCCTTCAGGAACCAATCGGCGTCGTTGATATGATGCTCGTAGATATACTTGTAGGCCTCCTTAGTCTTGCCCCACAGATTGTTGCGACCCTCTCCCACCGGCAAAGCCACAGAGTCCAGCTCTTCATCCTTCTCCGAGCTCATGAAGATCAACTTGTTGCAACGCTTGCCCCAGGTGCGCTTCACATGGCGCGCCTTCTTTTGGTGATTACTCGGATTGGTCATGATCCAGCAGAGGACCCGAACCTCGCTGTACAGACGCTCCGCAATGGTGGAGTTCTCATGGACGTGCTCGTGTCCGCCCACATCCTGCTCTGGCCCGGACATCTCCATCATGTCATGGCTGTGATGGGCATCGTTGACATCGCCATGCCGATGGCCATCATATGGCATATATTCACTGCGTTCCGGCGTGGAGTACACAAACAGCTCCGCCAGACAGAAGCCCACGACAAGGCCCACAATCAAAGACACGAACGATCGCTTATTCGAGCGGCCTGTGAAGAGAAAAAGTCAATATTTAGTTAATAAAACAGCAGGTGGTGTAATAATCATAAGATAAAGTAAACATTCTTAGTGCAATATAAAGAGAGTTTCCCTTTTGTTTTCTAGAATCTTAATTATTACGCTGGCATATCATTTAAATGATAAATTATTAGGTAACCCGTTTGATGTTTAAAATATTTAACGTTTTAACAACGTGGATTTGAAAGTACTTAGACATCTGGGCAGTTATCTTTGATATAAGTTGCTACAAAGAGTTATATTAAAAAAAAAAAAACGTTGATTCCGTAGCTAAAGTTATATAATATTAAGCTGAAGAAAAGTTTAGCTAGTTTCTAAATCAACATTTTAGTCCCTTTTATTTGTAATTTAAACATTTCTTTATAATTTTTAAGATGTATTAGTTGATTAAATCTTAAACTAAGAACTTAAAAATAAACAGTTTGAAACATAGAACCCCGATTCTACTCACCCTCATTGAGTATGGACCTTCCCAGCAAACTGTTGGCAGTCATTGGGACTAAGTTTTGGTCTAATTACTGGCTTAAAGATGGAAGGAACTTGAACACTGAGTACTGGCGAGGAGCCTTTTCCCTTGAGGACTGGCAGCTTCTTTGGTTGCGTTTCTTCAGCTGGTAAATCCACCAAGGCTGCTCCTTACATTTTCTGCAAGTAAGTAAAGTAGAATTTAAAGTTAAAGCCACGTTTAAGCATCTGCACTTGGTGATTAGTGTCAAGCATCTGAACATTGAGATGGTTCTGCTCGGATTGGCTTGCCTCCGCCGGGCTAAGTCGAACTGTGTTAATCTCATGCAAAACGTGACAATTGCCACTGTTGGCGAGTTGCATTCTGTGCAACCGTCGTAGCTGATAAATATTTATTTCAAAAAACATTTTAATTTCTTTTCTTCTCTCAATTATGCACGTGGCTGTGTGTGTTTTTACCCCTGTTTTTTTTTTTTTTTAATGTGTTTCCCTTGCAAGATAACCGCAGAACGTTGGCATTTTGGCATAAGTAAATATATTATTTATATGGCTAAAATCGCGCTGAGTTTTTGCCCATTCTCGAGTTTGTGTCATAAAACTAGCAAGAAGACAAGATGAAGAATATTATGAGATTTGGCTAGGCCAAGGATTTGCCTATTTTGTTGCGCAAAACGCAAATAGAAAAGCAATTACACCTTTGGCTCCGTAATAAAGATAACATATTTCGACATGGCTTTGTTTTAGTTTCAGTTTTCACACTTTTGTTCAGTTTGGGAACGAGCTTAACGAGTACTAAACCCATTTAATAGATTATTTCGGCGGGTGTCGTTGAACTGACTGCTCACTTAGTGTTGCTGGCATAATTAATGTTAATTAATAAACTATATTTTAAATAGAAGCCGTTTATACACTTTGGAAATTAGCAATAATTTTGGGATTTCTATGTGTAAAAAGCTGGGAATATTTTATGTCTATTTTTTAAACCGAAAAACTATTAAGTTTAATATGAAAAATTGTTTTCACTTCATGTCTGTCATAAAATGTATTTTATTTTTATATATTTTTATTAGGCACTGTCATCACATTTCTTAGAACAATTAAATCTTCGATTTGATTACGAAAATCTCTTTGTCTCGCAGTCATTGTTTAGCAAATCTTTTGCCATTAGCACTTACTTAATAATTTTTTGTTTGCATGGATAAAACAATAATATTGGTAATAATAATAGCAGGAGGATGCAAAACAGCTGCGTCAACCGTTTGTGGCTGAAAACAAATCAGAGACTGCTGCTCTGAACCCGAACGAGTCGCCAGTTGGTTAATAAATGCAGTCAGAATACCAAAAACCAGAGCTATTTTAAGCAATTTCCAACTGCATTTTTTCCATTCTGTTCTCTTTTGTTTTTAGTACTTACTGGTAGGTAGTAAGTAGTTTTCAGCTTATCAGTGAGTGTAAGGAAAGACAAATGAACACGAAAAATGCAAATGAATATTGGAATTTTGTTAATTGATTTTTGGTGAATCATATGGGTTTGTCCACTATCAAAGACGGGACTTATCATTACTACTTAGCCTTATCGAAAGCCAATAATTGTTCTTTATCATACATAACTTCCCCAGCCGATAACTAGTGTGGTATATTATACCATTTTGTGGGTCAGCTTTCAGCACTATGATAGGTTTTCTGTACCAATGATTTACTATCTAAATCGATTTCAAGGAATTGCCATTATCAATAGCAAAGCACTACAAACTCTTAATGGTAAAAATATATATCTTATCTTAAGCTATTTGAAGCCTTTCCTATCTTATAGTTCCCTACGATCAAAAGTCTATATTTTACAAGAGTTTTTAATTGTTTAAAGCTATTAAGCTATCTTAACCTATTTTAAGCCTTTCCTATCTCATTGTTCCTTACGATCAAAAGTCTATATTTTACAAGAGTTTTTAATTGTTTAAAGAAAGAAAAACCAAAAGGTGGCATGCGTGTTAACTTATCACTTCCTTGTCTTCTGTTCACTTGTTCCCTTTATTACCAGAGATCACTGTATGTTGGGATATTGTAGACGTAATTCCTGTTTGATCAGCTGCTTGTTTTTTAGATCACAATGTTTCAATGTTCAACTTCATTTCTCATTTTGAAGTCAGTCAGTGAGGTGTGAAGTGGGCCGAAAAATGATAACTTCTAAGATTCAGCTGCCTTGGTCTGCTACCAAAGGTTTTTATACCTTACATACCTTTATAAAATTAATTAATTAATATAAAATCTGTATTTTAGTGCCAGCTAGTCAATTGATTTTGACTATATTTTTGTGCCTAATTGTGTTCTATGGCCTGACTAAGCTCGTAGCCATTCCTCTGCGCATCGATGACTTTGATAGCTTCAGATTGAGGCCCATTCAGGAGGATGTCCAATTAGCAGGTCAAGTATTTGGAAAATCTAAAGCAAACCCCTGAGACCAACCAATTATCCAATGCAAACTGTTGTTGTTTTCTGGGAATGCAATTTACCGCATTTGTGGGTGGAACACCCACAGAGACTTCAAAATTGCAATTGTAATTGCAAATTAATTAAATTTTAGCATGAACAACATGTCAGACCTACGACTCAGCCGTTCCAATTCAATCTACAATTGCAATTAAACGCAATTTAACAACATATTTGCTTATCATTGCAGCCCACTGAGGAGATTCCACTGCATTCGCGTGGAGAGTATACAAACAAGAACGATTTGCGATTCTAGACAAATATTAGAACAAAAAATGTTCTAATATTAGACTCAAAGCCAACCAAAAACCTATTTACATGCACTGCACAGCTTCCAATTGAAAAATTAGTGACTGAACAAAAAAAAAAAAAAGAAAATTATATAATCACATGTCGGTTGAAGTAACACGAATGGGAACGTGACTATAGTTCATCCTGTGTCTAGCATTCTATTTCGCTGTTTTATTTGCTATCTATGGTGATTAGCTTTATTTAAACAATTATATGTTATCATTGAAAATTTGGACTTAATGAGTTACTCAGATAACGTAATAGATAGTAAAACCTCATAGCAAAGCCTTTATGTGGAGCAAAAGTATAAAAATAAACCTTGAATAACGTAGATAACAAAAATGGGTATTCTCAACGTGTCTCAAAGTCAGGGTGTCTTAGGTCATAGAATAAGATTTACAATCTAACAAAAAATAATTTAGATATGAATTATTTTCTTAGGCAAGAATCTTGTTTAACAGTCAAGAAATGATAATAAAAATGTAATTGATTATAAAAATATAAAATATATGACGATGATGAATATGTTTTCTTGTGGATTTATAATTAAGCACAGGGACACGACATTACCTTTAAAATTGCAAATAATTTACCTACTGGTTTATCTAGATTAAGTTATTGTGTTTCTTTCTAAGATGCCAGCGACATTAATTAAACGATTAAGAAGTTTAAAGGACGTCTAAAAAATATTTCATAATCATATTTAAGCAGTTAATAAACATAAATAATTACTTTGCTTAATCATTGATAGTTTTCTATTCACTGTCTGATAATGAATCATTTGTTAATAGAAACTTGGTTAAAATTAATTTATTATTATGTCATTCGGTTAATGGCCGTTGATTTAATTCCTGCCCTATACTCAAACTAGCGTGACATCCCCATTTTCATTCCATTCAAAAAAGAGCAAAAAGAAAAAACAAAACCCGAAACCAGAAAGCCAAAACCAAACCAATTGTAAAATTGTTTTGTTAGGCCGCTGTTCATCTGCGGTCAATAAAAATCAGCCACGCTCTGCGATTCCGCAAATATTTCAATTCAGTTGGCGCATTTTCTATATACTCGTACTTTTATTTTTGGAACCATTCAAATAACTAAATTTACTCTATGACTGTGGTTTTATATTAATTCACTTTCAGTACAACTTCCCCTCTCAGATAAACAATACAGTACACACTCGTCCAACAAATGGGCTCTGCTTATCAATGTGGAACTGGTCGGGGCGGGAATTGTTATCAAGCATAAAGAAAACATATGACATCCGTTCAACAAACTCAAACTGCTTTGTTCCATTGATTAACTATACAGTAAGTGACAAATAAGTACATATATTTATGCAAATACATATATATTTTTTATATCCTCTACGTGTTGAGTTTAGGAGTATGATGTATCCGTTGAAAAGTATGTAACAGGAAGTACCAAGCCCACTATAAAGTATATGTATTCTTGAGATCTCAAGAACTATAAAAACTAGAAAATTCTTATTTAACAAGCAAGCTCCTTCCCTAGTCTAGAAACCACGGAAAAAATTGGTTTCTATAATATTAAGGCTTCGGTTTTGATTTGAACTTAAGTAATATTTATTTGTTAATGCCTATCGATTGATCAATAACTCTTTATATCAAAACATTAATTCATAATTTGTTAACACACTTAGTTAACAAGGTCTTGCATAGTTCTATCAACAAATGCCGTTGGTAAGACTATACACAGCGTCTATTGCTGCTATCAAAATTATTTTAAAATTTGCTAACAGGGGGAAAGGTATCTAATAGTCGTAGCACTGGACAAAACATGACTTATGTCAGATAACAAAGTATGCGTTATGTATGAATTAAAAATGTCTTGACTGTGTTATTTTATTTTTTGATAAATAAATAAATTTTTTTTTTTTATAAAATGCCCGATAATTCAGAGTACCATTAATTTAATACCAAATATAACAAAAAATCCTATAAATTATTCTACCTAATAGGAAGCTAATCTATCACCCAATCAAAACAACATATTTTCTGTCTCAATTAACTTACAACACTTTTCTTATCTTTTCTGTGCACAATCAATATAAAAACGGCGAAGGAAAGTTTCCCAATAAAATATTGATTAAAAATAGTTGCCAATAGATAATTGATTGCTGATTGATGAAAGAGGTCTAGGTCTATTCACTGGAACCTTATGTGAATGGGTACCATTGAACAATGTTCTACAGGCTAGCCCTTGGGGTATAACAGCCGATTTAAGATTAATGGGTCATCCTATTCAAATACAAATTTGTATCTTAGCAAGCGAAGTGACCCAAATGGGAATTAGTATATGGAATATTTGTATTTTATGTACTTTAAGAAATGTTTATTAGTCAACAGTTTAGGCTGATTAATGTACTTTTGATATCGAGTTTGAAAATGTACTTTATGATTTTATTAAAATATTAAATGATAAATTTTAAGAGCTTAGAAAATAAATAAAACGAAACAAGCAAAGAATGCAAGAGATCTCTAAAGCTACTTCTCTCTTTTATTTATAAAGTGATCTATCTTTAATAGAAGTATATAAAGAAATGTAGATTATTTATATTCTCAATGTATGTATGTGTTTAAAACTAGAAAAGAAACAGATTTCCAGATGTTAAGGATCTTTGAAGTGTTCTAGTTTTTAGTTATTATATTAGAATTCCTATTTTTTAACAAACATTAACTCAACTTATCTTTCTAAAATCTGTTCTTTTAAGCCATAGAAGTTCAACTGCATTTCTGCTAGATACACCATAAACAAAATCCAGTAGCTTTCTGTGTAAAGTTGAAGCTTCTCTTATCAGTTGCAGTTGCATTTTAATGGCAATCACTATGTGCAATCTGCAAACGAATTATCCCAACAACAATAACAACAGGGGGCTAATCAATTCCATGTGCTGCCCTCTCACGAGAGTAAGAGACAGAGGGAGAGAGAGCGACGCCCACATGGAATTGGAACCACAAATAAATTAAAGTAAATGCATTTTGGCTGCAGGCAATTCCACCCCCCGAGTGTAAATATAATGGGGAGGGGCAAACAGAGGAAATGACAACCGAAGAGAGACAGAGACTGAGAGCGCTAAAAGAGAGAGCAAAGTGCAGCTGCTCGAGGGAATGTCATCGCATTAAAAATAACAACAACCACTAGGATAAGGCACTACGAATTAGGAAGACACTTCTCAAGTTTTTATCAATGTTTTGTTTCCACTTGACAATTACTAGAATAACACATTACTACTTCGCACTCCGCTGATAAAATTTTACATTTGAATGTGTCGTCATTGAGAAAACCCTTGAAACTTAACATTCAATGCATTAAACAAATTAATTCTTTTAAGAAAGTTTAGCTATGTTGTATGCTAAAAAAAATGTATTTTTACAGGGAGTTCAATAGACTTGATGGAGGGAAAAAGTATCTGGCACCATTAAAATGAATGCCATAAATAAACGATATAGTCTTTAATGTCGATATACTCGTACACATATGAACAAAGTTCAACTAAATTTAAAATGAGTCATAAAAGAAATATTTTTATGTGTTGCACAATTTATTTTGGCTTTAAAATTTTAAAACGTTTTTTGAGATTTTTCAAATGAATGTGTTATTGATCAAAAATAGCTTGTTTTTCGGTTTTAAATAAATAAAAAAAAATCTTTCATTTTAACATTTGAAATCGAAATTCTCAAGGGTTTAATAAATATAGTTATATTTTTCTGCACTTTGTTAGCACCGAAAATAATTAATAAAATATTTTTTGTATAAATATTTTGCAACTACTTTTTTTTAACTTTTCCGAAACCGAATCACTTGATTTATTTTATTCTCCTTCAATCCTAAAGCAAAGGGGCTTAGAAAGTGAGAGTGGCTGAACTGGAAGAAGGGCCTTAAGCGGAGGTTCTTCCTTCCACTTCCTTCGGCTCATTTTTAGTTGGCATCCAGTTGGAAACCAATATATATATGTACATACATATATATTTTTTCGTGCGTTACCCGCCGTTACGGCTGTCTCAAAACTTGTTTGTTCTTATTGGTTTTGTTTTTATTCGCACTTTTTACCTTCCGCTGGTTTGTTAAGCACTCGCACGTTGTTCTTGCATTTTTTTACAATTTCGTTGCACTTTTTGTTTTGACATAAAATGCCATTTTGTGCTGAGCAAATGGTATTTCGTTCCAGGTAAATTCCATTTGCGTTTCATTTTGACTGATTTTAATCATCTTTCGACGCGGCATCCATTTACTTACGAATTGATTTTTTGCACAATTCCTCACGCGCTTCTCCATCGCAGGACGCTCCAAAAAAGCATTTATTGTGTATTAGTTTGACTATTGACAATTGCTCTCACGTTTTGCACATTCACTTAATTGCTGTGCTAGTCGAGGCAATCGAAATATTTAATTAAACTTATTTTCCGCCCCTTTTCCTGATTTTCGACAAGCGCATAAATGAAACGAGCGAACGCGTCGGCCAAACAAAAAAAACTGCCGCGAATTCTAAAACTGAGCAGGAACTGCCCCCATGAATTCGACAAGAGAGTAGCAGCAAGATGAAAAGATAGTCGGGAGTCTCGGTTATGTGACACCTCTTACTATGTTTCCAAATTTTAAAATTTAAGGAACTTTCGAAACAAGGATGATCTGCTTTGTAACCCTTGTTGGAATTTGATTCTACTTTCTTTCTACTTTTTACTTCTTTGGTGTTAAAACCAATAATAATTGCTAGTTTCCAAATTTGCGGCATCACTAAAATATGTTCTTATAATTTAAACACTTTTACATTTATAGTATTTAAGATCTTGGCCTTTACCAGCCATGCCATGGACTTCATAAGGACGTTCCTGATCCTAAATTTATATGCGTTTTAAAGCGACTAGACAGCTACCTTACATAACTTTGAAGGAACGTAAAATACCCTTATAATCTGTAAGCAATGGGTATACAACAAATCAAGAGAGTGCTAAGAGCGCTTTCACTCTCTCTTTTTCTCTGTTCTTTTCGTTGGTTGAGGGTGGTGAAGAGGGTTTTGTTACAAAATTGCCGGCAATTCTTAGTGAGAACCGGCTGCAGCTTTTTCAGAGAGCGAGCAAATAAAGAGCGGCGAATTAAAGAGAGCATTGATAAAGTAACTGATTAAAAAAACTACTACTATAAATGTGTGCATAAAGATTATTACAAATGGTATGTATTTGGGATCTGACTTTTGATTTATTAATCGCTTATCTCCGTTATTATTCGCTGTTTGCTACTCTATATGAGGAGAGAGAAACAGCTGTTGGGAGCTATTATCTATGTTAAGGGTTTGTTTTCGGGGGTGAAAATTCCAAGCCGGAGCGATCTCTTAAAATGTAACTATCTCAGAATTTTTTCAAAAATGTTGAAAGAGATATTTTTAAAGTTCTATAATTCAATGACTTTAACATTTTGTTTTTATAAATAATTAATGAAAACGTCATTAAAAAATTGCACGCCAACCGTTATTGATATAATCACAAAAAACATGTTTTTGTCAACCTTTTTATTTACTGCCAAAAAACGGTAAATGCAAGTCGAAAAGTCTTAAATTTTAAACAGGTAAAATTCGCTATCTACAACCTAGGCATTCGTTTTCATATTATCAAAATTAGTTTTATATTCAAAATATGTTTTATTTTACGAATCTTTTTACTTCCTCACTAAATGTTATTTTAAAATTAAACAATCTTTGTATCTTAAGATTCCCCGAAGGGTTTAATTCATCGAGTTAGTACTCACATTAAAGAAGTTCGACTGTACTTTCTAAATGACTAATTATTGACCTTTTCAAACATCGTATTAATTGTTGTGATTGGACTGTAATTAAACAAGTTATAAGCGCTAACTCGTTAGAAGATGTTTTTGTTTGATTTCTTATCTACATCAACAACTAACTGGCTTCTGTGATGCTATATTGTAGACTCTAATAATTTCATAATTCACATTAAACCGGAATGGTTAACATGTCTTAAAAAACACTTCTTGCAAATACTTAAAAATAACTCGTTGATGTCAAGTTTTTACTTTTTCAAGTTCAGAATACATTATCGGTAAATTAGTGACTGTTGCTGAACTGCAGTAATGTTTATTGAATTTGTTAGTTGCGCGTTTCAAATTAAGATAAGATAAGATATTAAGTGCATAACTACTTTCATACAAACCAATATGACAAATATGATAACACAGAATGTGCACTTTTAATTAGTGCGTTCTACCCACAGAAGTTACCTGAAAAAGGATTTAATCCTGGAAATTTCGAAGATTTCATAATAAAACACTTTATTACTAGTTTATTGCTTGTTTTAACTTTAGTACTAGAGTAGTTAAAACTCGCATTAACCGTTTTTTTAAACTTCAAAAAGAACTCAAAAATACTTTACCTTATTTTGTTATCTTACATAATTTCTACACCTTTCTACATGGCGTAGATCAGTCGATGCGACAACCTTACTTTCATAGCACTTAGCTTTTGTTTGTTCCGCTCATAACGATCCACAAAATTCAAAAATGTTTTCACTTTTATTCTGCCCCTTAATAAAAAAAATTAATATCATTCAAGACTTGACATCGTTATTTATTTATTTTGTTGATTTTTTAATCATAAGCTTACCCTAATGAAACTATGTTTAACGGATAATCCAAGGCACTTTGTTTGCGCTGCCCAATTGAGCGCAAGAAACCAAAAGACTGCAAAGTAAATGAATTTATTTTTGATGACAATGTTATTTTCCATTCATTGCAGGCATACAATTTGTGTAAATATTGGCATTACTCCCGTGGCCAATTTGAGAAATAAGTACCAAGTCACACTCAAACGAGCCACCGACTTGTGTGTGAATTAATCTAAAATAAGTAAAATCAACAAAATTGCTTTCTGTCCTGAAATTATAGCCAATGGAAAATATTCTGGCCATGATTGCGCCACTGGCAAAGTATGTGCTTTGAAAATAACAAGCAGAAGGTTGCTTTACGTTCTTTGAAGTTGTTTTTATTCAAAACTAAAACTCTGAAACTAAAGTTAAACATAAATGAAATGTCTCAGTAAGAAATGTCTTTTAAATTGGATTTAACTTAACTTTTAGCTTGACCTTATCAACAGAAGTCGCTAATTTCCACATTATAAATGAGAATTATTGTTAAGTACTATTGCTTACTCTTAAAACTACTCGTTATCTACAATTATTTGTACACAATATACAATTTATATATATCCTTAAGCCTAACATTCACAAAATAAACCATAGACTTTTAAAATGCTTGCATCTTAGGCTATCTACATTGATATTACAGACTACGAATATTGATAACGAATTGTTCAGACTGTTCATTCCGTGTGTGTGTATATATAATCGATATTGGATATAGCCATAATGGCTACTCGAAAAGCTCTAGGTTTTGGGGGCCAGACATTCTTACTCACATTGCGAGTTTATCACTCAGTAGTAGTCGTTACCTCACAATGAGTATCACAATAGTATCTAATAATATTATTGGATTGAAGAGAGGACTACAGGAAGGAGCAGCACAGGATCAGGACTAGCACAGTGATGGGAAATATGGCATATATCTCGCTGCGAGGATGACACGTTGATATCAGATTCGTTATATCATCCGCCTCGTGCTCAATGCCATCCCGTGTGGGTACCTCCACTACGACGATCTCGTCCGAAAGGAAACTAATGTTGAAAGTACAATTTGTGGTATTCATACAGCTTTGGGTGTCGCTCATGTTTGAGTACTGATACGTCGGTTTGTATAAGTCGAATATGGCATGTATCTCGTTTCTATATTCATCATTGTCACTGTAGAAGATATAGTAGTAGTAACCATCCTCGATCACATTGTGCACCAAAAATGAACTCATGTTGGATGAACTCTCCATTGTATGGGGATTTGAGCATTCATTTTTTGGATTGAAGGACTCCTGCAGAAGTATCATTCCATGAAAGCAACCAAGAAGTCCTGTCTCAAAACTGGACACTGAATTTGATTCGTCGATTTGGGTAAAGTTCGCGGCGTTACCGCCATGGATGGTCTTCCGATCATAGACGTTCTCACGTTTTGATCTCTTATAAAGTGTCTCGTAGAGTTCCTGCCTCTTCTGATGTCTATGGGTTCCCTTATTATGCCTCTTCAGCCGTTCCTTGTGGGGTGCACTATTTGAGTTATGATGAATCTCACTCGTATTTGAATTGGGTCCTCTGAACTCATCAATTGTGATATTCGAACTTTGATCTTGAAGATAGGGGGCATCAGTCAAGGAGTGATTATGATGATGATGGTGACCAGAAGAATTTGAGCTGTGATTATTATGATTTAATATGTGCTCGGTGTGATGTGATCCTTGCAAGTCTGTAAGTGCATATAGACTGGAATCACCATGAAATTTGCCATTCTGTAGTTTCTTTTTTATCATTTTGGGTTGCAACTGTGGCCCATCGTCGCTCAGGTCCTCGCCACCATGATTCTCATGCTCCATTAACCGATCCTGGTTATACTTTTCCTCTGTGATCTCTACATTGTCTTCGAAGAATACTTGAACCTGGTCATGACCTTTGGCATAACCTTTGGCGTCCACCTTGTTCTTATTATGATCGGTTAGACCGCAGAGATTTAGCTCCCTGTGACCATGGACGATCAGGATTCGTGATCCATAATAGCGGGAACAGAACTTCACCTGGACTCTGGCACCTTTTAGTAAAAAGAAGCCCCAATATTCCAGGGTATCATCCGGCAGTATCATAGACTTCTTTAGCCTAATATGTTTGCGATTTGTTGCGATCTCTGGCTTATTCCGAAGTTGAAAGGCATTGAAATTGGAATTCATTCGCAGGGTGTGCTTTGCGCAGAAGATAGACGAGATTCCTGCACGAATCTCAATGATATCGGACTCGGCCATGGGATAGATGACATCCGCAAACACGGTCTTTCGCAGGTGCAGTGGCATTATGATGAGTATGGCCGGCAGTATCACAATCATCAGGCAGAAGATCAGCACCCTCTTCACTCCGTGCATTTTGCGGGTTTCTGGAAAAGTAAATAGAAAAAAAATGATAAAAATTACTATCTCGTTACTATATATTTCTGTTTATTTATTTTATATGGCCTGACAAGGCACCTTCAAAGTGATATTCCGTTAAGGGCTGCATCTTGGTGACTTAAGTTTTTCTTTATTTTTTCTTCCTGCAAAATAACTTTTCCGGCGACTACGTCTGATTGCCAGGCAGGTTTGTTGTACACTGTCTGATTTCGCGATTATCAAAATTAGTCTGGCCGTCGGGGACCGGCATGTTTTCACGCCTTCTTATGGCCAAGTTAATGTATGTGTGAGAGGAGGCGGCGAGATTGTATCAACAATCTGACACGATTATTGATATTGGCCCAGTGTATAACTAAGCTATTCACAAGATTCTATTGGCAGACTCAGATCGATGGCCAGCCAAGTGACAGCCGATGTTTGATCGATACTTAGCGACCCGAGACTCTGGATCAATCACTCAGCGGACTTAATTTTGCGGAAAAAGATGAGGTTATATTTTGTTAGCTTGGGAAATATTTAGAACAGGAGCGGTTTCGGGAAGTAAGGTATCTAGTTAACTATACTGCAGCTTTGCAACTAACAAGATGGTAATAATATTTTTGTATTATTTAAATAGTATTTTATATCAGTATCTTATTTTTGTTGTTTTTGGGTTCAAGTTGTAAGGTAAAAATACTACATTTTATTCTTTCTTTTTACTAAGTTCGTTTAAGGTTTAGCTCTCTCTCTATCTTCTAATGATATTTTCCTAGCCTCTCCCTTTCTTCATTTACTCTCCAATCTCACATGATTACGAATAGTTTTTACTACCTTATCAGGTGCCTTGGCTAATTACCGCCGGCCTATAGATGCCAGCTTTGATAAGCCCATTTTTGCCCTCATGAAAGTGATGTTAGTCGGCTGATATTAGTCGGCTCTTATCAACATCGAGCGAGTTGTGATCAGAAATATATGTGAATAATTTCATATGTGCGATACTTCTCTGACATAAATATAGTATTTATGGCGTACACGAGTCATTTTTTTATTTGTCACGTTTTTGTCGAGTGCTTTTTGAACTCGCCTGAAATGTGCTTTTCAGCTAAAAACAATACCATAAACAATTTTAACCTTTATCGCTTGCCATGGTAACATGTTATGAAAGGAAAATTGAAAACGTTTATAAAGAAAGAAAAGCCACATAAGATAAACAAATGGGAGATTAAATTATTCATTGTATAAAAACACAAGAATGGTTGACAATCTTTAACCAGTAAAGTTATTAAGAAAGCAGAAAAAGAAATTGCAAAAATCAAAAAAAATGTTAACTAAGCCAAGTTGTCCTAACTTAAACAGTTGATAACATAATCTTTATAAATAAATTATAGTCAGTTTAAATTCATTTTGGGTGATAAGACCCTAATAAACGAATTTAGTAAAGTGACTTTGCTTTGATTCTATAGACTCTTTGCCTCCGACTAAAATAAAAGCTAAAAGAATTAGTATTTTGATGTTACTAACCATATGGCCTACTTTTAGTTAGTTTTTGGCTTTATCACCAATACTATCAGTAGCCTTGCTTTCGATAACAACATAAACGGCCCCCTTATAAATTGAGCCCAATAAAATTTCTTTCTTTCCATTTCTCTATATACATTTGCCGGTTTTGCTGTTTCTTTGTCAGGTTTTCCCAGGGCTTTCCCATGACAAAGAAACACATACAATGTGGCCTCAAAAAATGGCATAGGTCGTGTATTATTAAGAATTTATTTTTGTTTACATATCTTTTTTGCATTTTCGACAATGTTCTTTTTATTTCCGTTGCTAAGGTGTCAAAAAAAAAACCTGTTGTGACTACACTGAAAACAACTTAAAGGGAGTCAGTTTTATGATCAATAAAAATGGATTTTTTAATAACAATTTAGGGAAAGATTTTGGCGGTTAAGAAGAAAAATTTGTGTTATTTAAATATAAGTATAAATCGTAACAAGTATTTTTTAAGAATACATATTTGTTAGTTTTTTAAAACTGAAAAAACTTGAAAACTCATCTTTGTTTGACTTAAAAAATGAAGTGAAAAACTTTTATATTTTTTAAAGATTTTTAAATTTTGTGTTACAAATCAACACAGTTTTCCGATTATTAAACAAAAGTCTTATATTTATTTTAAAGTGTAATATGGAAATACGGATTTTTTCTGGTTTTGAAAAACATTTGCAGCCGCAACGAAAATTTGAATTTGAATTACAAAACCCGCTGCAAGCACCTGTGGAAATGTTTGTCTTGTTTGTTTATTTTAGCGTGGGACTCGAATCAAATTTACACTCTTGTTTTAGTTTTGTTGCTGCACTTACATGTATCTGTATCTTTCCTATATTTGATCTGTACCTTTGGGATTAGCGTAGAGTTAAGAAGTGGTGACAAGTGCGATTTTCGAGCGAATTTCACATTTACTTGTCGATTTGTCTTTTCTTTTGTTTGGGTTTCTATTTTGTTGTTTAAAAACTAAGTGGCTTGGATGAGCATATATCCAAAATTAGATTTGTATATTATAGATATATTTAATTTAAGAGACCCGAAACACACGTGCCGCTTCCCATGACTTATTATCAAAAACAACTGTTTTTTCCATCGGTTTGTTGTCTTTTTTTGACACACATTTTAATCAACAACTAGCTCTCTCTTCTTCTCTGGCTCTCCCGCTTATCGCGACACACTCTCTCTTTGTCTCTCTTTTGCTTAACACTTTGTTTTTAGCTTCCGCATATCTTTGTTTGTTTTTAGAGTCACGTCGTGGAATATTTTTAAATTAAGATCAACTTTTTATTGCTATTTTTGGTTATAGTTCAGCATTTTTCTCTCTTCACAAGTCAGTTAAATATTTATCAACCGATATTATTACGAAATTTTCACAAGACTCGCCAGAGGAAAAACAAAACGCTTCAACTCACTCACAAAGCAGACCAACAAATGAGACGGAAACTGCACCAGTGGAAATTTTAACCCCAAAGAAATCTAGACGACGCGATAGCGCAATGCAATGCGCTCTCTGCGCTCTTTGTTTTAATATTACACTGGCAAAACTTTTAGTTTAGTTTAGATTTAAGAAAGATATTAAGAAATGTAAAATACATATCAAAGAAAAAACATGATTAAAAATATATATATAAACCAAAATGAAATATAAATACAATATTTGATTTTAATTATTTAAATTTATTATATTTTAACAATCTGTCAACTGTAAATTACAAATTAGATTAGAAAAATGAAAATGAAATATTTTTTAGTAATAATTTTATTTTTTGTTAACAAAATTATTTCTCAGTGTATCCTCTCAGTTCTGAGAGCAAGACTCCGTGTATGAGCGGAGGGAGACTACTGCTCGGAAAAATCTTGTTTGGGCCAGAAAATTTGAAGAGAAACGAATTTTGTTTTGAAGTGAAGTTGGCTGCGCTACAAAATTGGGTTGAAAACTAGGATAAATTCGAAATTTGATTGAAGTAAATATTGAAGAAGAAGAGAAGGTAAAGAGTATAAAAATTTATTTTTATTTATTTTAAGAAATTTAAACATTTAGTAAATTAGAAATAAATTTTTATTTTAGTTGATTTTTATTTAGCAAGAAAATATACAAATATATACTTTTTGTTTGCATTAAAAATTTATTACAATTTTATTGTTTTATGAAGCCAGATGGTTAAAAATGCAAAAAGTGGAATAAAGAAGAAGGCAGATATTATCTTATCAAGAATATATACATATATATATATGGACATATGTGAAAAAGATAATATCTTTGTGTACATCTATAATCTTTGTTGTCAAAATAAGAAATAAAAGAGATTGAACGGAAATAATAAATAAGGAAAAACTTAATCTGACAGCGACATTTCTAAATGATAAAATATTTAATAGTCTCGAAAAACTAAACCACACTAACCCAAAAACCAATCCAATTTGTGTTTAATTTTACTTTTGATTTCCTTTAACTTTTTCCACATTTTTATTTGCACTTTGACTTATTGATTTGAAGAATAGAAAAATGTAATTTTCCTTTGTAATCATAAGAAAGTTTGAACTGTAATCCACTTTTCCCTAATACTTACTATTCAAATCCGGCATGGAGTAGTAAAAATCCGTGTGATAATAATGCAATTGTCCAGGACTAACTGAGTTAGTCCTGTTGAACACCTTTTTGTTGGGCATCCTAGCTATTAAGGGTGATTTCTAGAAGGATTTAAACCGAAGCCAGAGCAGAACCGAAGCCTATGAATTATTGCAGCGAACTAACATCAAGAATATAATCCGAATCGTGCGAGAGTCGAGTGTGGACAATGTTTGGGATAACGATGACGCTTAATCCAAACAGTCGTCGGGGGTGTCTGTCCTCATCTGAACTGATACTGATACTGATACTGATACTGATACTGATAGTCGCTGACGGCCTATTATCATAATGAATTAGTAAACAATGTTAATAAGTAGACAGAACATAAACCCAGACGCAGCCTTTCAATTGATAAGCGGCTAATTATGATTGTTTTGCTAGCTCTGAACTAGGTTATATATCTATCAAACGATTTGATATATTTTCCTTGGAAACAGGGGAACTTTTTGAAAATTGGCAAGAGCTACACACCCACACCTGATTAATTGCTTGTTTAGTTGGTAAACCAACACAGCGAGCGGCAATATCCGGTTAGAAAATCATTTTAGAAAATGAGAAAATTATTTAATTTCCGCTTTTTAAAGAAATATGAAGGGCTTGTAGAAATGCAAGAACGTATTGGCCGTTAATCTATTGTCGCTATCTATCGGATGCTCAGCAAGCAAAAAAGCAAAAGATAAAACTACTTATTGCCCCCTTCTCAACAGTTCTAGACATCAAATAAATTAAGGATTTACGGCACGGCACAGTTTATCTTAAATCTTATCAAGTTACTTTATTAGCAATGTGGAAAGTTTTGCATCAGTAATGCATCATCAGGCTAGATTCGATGTTTTCATGAGATTCTTGACTCTCCGGTGGCTCTGTGATGGCTGATCTCTGCTGGTCAGGATTATGTGCTAAAATATCCTTTAAACTGATTAAATCTCTTCGTAGGCCCTCTATTTTCTTTATAAGTTTATTAAACAATAAATTTATATTTTTTGTAGAACTTTCCTTTGGCTTGTTGTTATTTAGTTTGGCTTTGCATAGACAAAACTTCTTGAGCTTTTCTTCTTTCAGACATTTAGATTCTATGGCATGTCTGTAAAGTCGGTCGAAAGTTTGTATGGAGGCACTTTCAATATTGCCACTAGCTGGGTTATACTGTATGGTAGCAAAAAAGTGGGTTAGTTTTGGTTTGGCTATAATTTGAATTCTATATTTTTCGAGTATGGTTCTTGATTCGGTTCTGATTCTGTAAATAGAATCAACTTTTTGTAAAGTAAACTCTTCACAACGATTCAACAGGTGATTACTTAGAAGAAACTTGTTAATACTTTTAACCAAATACCTTCCAAGGGGAATATTTAAAGGATCCGTTTGAGGAAGTCTAATTAGATTGCCACACTCGCAGTTACTATCCTTTAAACCCGTTTCTTCACAGCTGCGATTGATTGGCAACTCTTTAAAAAGTGAATGACATTTTGGACAACCCAAAGATCTGCTTAGCTTTTCGTTTTTATCTCTTTCTAGGTCCAGTATATGTTGTAGGGTAAGAAAAAGATCAAATGGTGATGTCAGGAGATTTCCATTCTTAGTAAGTTCCTGAATAATTTTAGGGTTTCTCTTACGAAATGAGTTAGGCAGCCATATAAAAAGCATTGGCTTGCATATATGATCACTGAAAAAGATCACAATAGATTCGTTGAACAAACCCAGCTGCTTAAATCGTTTTATATAGTCCAGAAAGCTATCTTTTCTTTGTTCTATTTCGGAAGCATTAGTCCAGAACAAACCAAACATTGGCTGCGAACTGTAAAGATAATGCTTCATGAACTGCTCAGCATAGTCGTAAACAAGGTTGGATGTAAGTATGGTTTGATTGCGTAATTTTGGACTATCTGAGATTGCTTTCAGCAGGGGTCTCAGGTAGAAGTCGGCAGGTTGTTCCCCCATCTCAAAGGAAAACTTCTTTATGACTGCAATATCCTCAGCAAAGGCAGTCACATAACCTTCCTTTTTGTAATTTTGGAATATAGTAGGCAACGATTGTTTTGAATTCAGATTGTCAATATCATTTGGACTATAACCAGTGAGCAATGCCATTAAATTCAGATATTCATTTTCACTGATGGTTAGGTATCTTTTTATTTCATAGAAATTTTCCATACTTTTAGATCCACGAACTTCTTTTTGTACTGATTGGAAAGCTGTTGCCGTCATTCCATTAAATCCAAATAGCAAGACATTCGTATGTCGCCGTTGTGTTCTTTTGAGGATTGCCTGGTATTTAGGGCTCACAAATAAAATGGGTTTAACCTGTAGAAGATCATTCATTTTACTCTTGCAGGTGGCGATGATAGCTTCCACACTTTTGGGTAAAACATCTCCATTTTTTATAGGGATTTCAACAGCTTTTTTCTAATAAAACAACCTTAAAGATGTTTATTTCTATATTTTAATTCCAAAACTTACTTGATATTAGTCTTCTTATATAAACCCAAAGCTATACTTTGATAGGTACAGTTAAAAGACTTATCCCTTGGCCTATTCTTAAGTTTAAGTAAACTTTTATGGGCTGCAGATCGGTCCAAATATAGCTCATATTGTTGTTTATGATCATTGTATTTATAACTAATGATATCTTTTACATTTTCATCCGTTTTCACCTTCCATTTGGGTACTGTACTCTTTTTTATAAAAGGTGTTTTCGTAGTTTCTAACTTTTTGCTTGTTAACTGTCCAATAATTTGAAAAATTATTAACATTACTAGAAAGCCTCTTCTAAACACCTTCATTATTAGTTATAAACTAAAACATTTGGTAGGTTTTAACTTTATTGAAGTTATAATATATTTATACCGATATAATTTCAATGTTTTGGTTGTTTTCTGGTTGCATATCTGGCAATTTATATAAACTATCATCTACTTTCTTCCAGATTTTGTTTTTCAGCTCCCACTCCTTGTTAAGTTTGATTTTTTTTAGTATTTCTCTATAGGCCTTGTTTTTGGCGACCAGCTTTTCCTTGACTTTAACTTTAGATTTAGTTTTAGCCTTAACTATTCGTTTTTTGCAAACACAGAACTTTCGGCCTCGCAATCTTCGCATGCAGTTGGAATCATTTTGATAGTTATTAAGGCGGTTTATGGACTCTACATTTAGGTATTCCAAAACTTGGTTTTTATGATTATAAGCGTGTGGTGGCCGAAAACCTTAAGTTATTTGGCTTGGCAGTAAATTCGACTCGATAAGTACTGCCATTTGTAAACTTCACATCCTTACGTTGTAGCACAGTTTTGATGGAGTTCAAACTTAGTTTGGAGCAGAGTTCCCGCAAATTGTTATGGTTGAGAAAACTATTAATACTGCGAATGAGAAGCTTTCCCAAGGGCAATTGCTTGACCTGCTTGTTATTGAGCATCTTATAGCTATCACAAGGGCAGTAGGTCTCTCCTATTCCAGCATCTGAGCAGGTGCGGTTCTCGGGGATTGGAGCAAAAAGTGTTTGACAGGTGGGGCAATCCACCAGCTTATCCACAGCTCGAGGCCAACGTTCTCCCAGTTCCAAAAGATGTTGCAGTGTCAGGTGAAGATCGTAGGGGGAAGTCAGGCGTTTGCTATTGATCCTTAAGGCTTGAACTATTTCGGGATGTCTTAGCCTAAACCATGTTGGCAACCAAATATATAAAATTGGCAGACTTTTCTCTATAAAGTCCTTATTTTTTCCCTTTTCTAATGATCCCTGATCACTGAAAAGTATCACAATATACTGGGAAAGCACATTCATTTTCTTAAATTTCTCCAGTTTTTCCAAGAGTTCAGTTTGCATTCTGTCATTGGCATAGGACCTTTCAGGGCTTATACTAATGCTAAAGCAAAGTCCGAACAAAGGCCGAGAGATGTTTTTGTGTTGCTTAACAAAATCCTCACAAAAGTCTAGGATATATCTCATATTTAACCGCCTGTCAATGCAATCTTGTCTTTTCTTTAACTCAAGATAAGGTCGAGCATAAAAGTCAATGGAATTTTCAGAAAATCCAAATCTTATCCACATTAAACATTGTCAAGTCGGACATGCCCTCACCATAGGCAGTGATATAACCCTTTTTCTTAAAACGCTTCCATAACAAAGGTATTGTCTTAAGGCATCCCAATTGTCTTTCCGATTGGCACTTCAGATTAGACCAAGTATGAGGACTATAACCTGTTAGCATAGCCATTAGATTGGGTAGAGTATCTTTACCCACCCTGGTGTAACCATCCATACTGAACCAGCCATTCGTTTTTAGATAATTGAATATTCTGGGCATATTGCTGTGAAAGTTGTTTTGAGATATTCCATCGATGCCAATCATTAGAACACTGGGTCTGCGATGCCATGAGCTTAGAGGGGTATATGACTTTTTAGGCTGCACAAGGGCAAAGGTATCTGTTTGAAGTTCCTCAGCCAGCTCATTTCGACAGGCAGCTGTCATGCCCTGGACATTACGAGGTACCAAATAGCCATCCCAAAAGGCCACTTCTTCACCCAAGCTGCTTAAAAGTAAATTACAAATTAAGATTTTTATCTAAGAAACTAAAATGTACTTACACAACAGGTTCTTTAGCTTTATATGTTTGATTTACCCTTTGGATCTCTTGGTAGCTGCAATTATATCCCCCCAAGCTGAGGGGTATATCCTCCAAAGCCCTTAGTCTCAATTGGGCAACAGAATCGTTAACATGTAAAACATATTGCTGGGTTTTCTCATCGAAACTAATGCTGATCAAACTCTCATCTGGGGAGCAAACTTTTTCATTTCTAGATATACTTTTTATATTTTTTATTTCCCTTGGGATATAGGGTATATGGCACTCTGATGTCTTGATATAATGTTCATGTTTGGTTTGTTGCAAAGAGTTTTGCTTTATTTTATGCCTTTTAACTGTGTCCGTCAAATGGCTTAAAAGGAGTAAATTAAGTACTAGAAGCAGCAAGCTGATAGGTGACATGTTTACTCTTAACTGGTCTTAATATGTAGTATTTCTCATGAGCTAAGTTAGCTTTTTCATGGTAAATTTCCATTTTTCATGGTGTTTATTCCTATATCACTGTGAAAAGTAAAATAAACATAGAAATGGTTAATAAGAACATACATACATACGTACATACGTACATACGTACATAACGGCGAAACACCAGGAACGAAGAGATAGAGAGTGGCCATCTGGCGAAGGAGGTGGAAACAACGTGGACAATGAAGACGAGGACGAGAAGATTGAAGCGAACGACGAGAGAAGTGACGAGAGGAACGAGGAGTGTTCGAGAAAAGTTGACGCCGATAAGACGTGCTCAAGAAGAGCAAATAAGGCGGAGAGACGACATTCAATTTAAATAAAATAAAAAAAAAAATAAGTGTAATTAAGTAATATAATATAAAAATAATTTAATTTAAATCAAACCCCACTTATATAAAATTTTAAAAAAGTAAATTTTAAAAATATATTATTTTACGAGTACACTTTTTGTTCTTAGAGCTAAACATTTCAAATAAATGTTAACTTTATTTTCTTTATTACTTTGCAGAGGATATGCTTATCATATCACTTAAGTCATTCTGTAATCGAACATTTTTATTATGATTCTTTATTAAAAAACCAAACATTTTGTTAAAGTGTTTCCCTCAATCCCTAGTTAAGAAGCGAAGAATATTAAATTAGACAGTGAAATTTATGTTTTCCCTTAACTTTTTTGTAGTAAAATTAAAAATACATGCAAAATATTACTTAATTGGCACATTAAAAATGGTGCGGATTCTTTCGAGCCCTTTTAAAAAACTTTTTTTAAATCCTTCTCATTATATCCTTCATAACACTATGGAATAAACTTAACTCAAAAACGACAGAAAAGTTCAAAATTATTGTGCGTGAGTTCCATGAAGGGGAAAAACTTTTCTATGTAAATTCAGAAAAGTGTAAAATGCCATATGTAAATCCCTTTAATGCTGAGTTCATGAAAATCAACAAACCCAAGATATTTATGCCCTGCACCAACGAGAGTGATCTTATTACAGTGAACTTTGATAAAGTTTATAATCAGTATGTACTACACATTAATGAGGAAGTTCTACATAAGCTTTCCCAGTCGAAAAGTAATGAGTTTTCCTGCTTTTACCAGAAAATTATTTACGGTCAGTCAGCGGAGCGCTACGATAAGTAATGCTAAATGATCAGTAATCTCAACATTCTATGAAATCACATTTTTTATTTACAGGAAAGGAAACAGAACGAAATTTACTCAAGACTATTTGGTACCCTTGGATGTCGAAGGGATGTTGGTGGAGTGTCGATCAGCGGACAACATTTTGCTCCTGCAAAAGGATGCTTTTACGTTTGTACAAAACAAAAAGATTCCCCATAGTTCCCAGAAAGATCGTAAAGCCAGTGTTATTATGTACGGCATAGATACGGTATCTCGAACTAATCTACGCCGGATGATGCCCTTGTTATACGAGTACCTTAGGTCACCAGGATGGTACGAAATGATGGGCTACAATAAGGTAAGAAGAATACCCCAGAAATTGCCCCAGAAATATCCCTAATGGATACTAAGCAGATCATTCCTGAAAATACTACCACTCCGATCAACTTGGATCTGAACTAACAACCTATTTCTCATTATAGGTGGCTGATAATTCATTTCCCAACATATTCGCTCTGTTAACTGGATATTCCCCGGAGACAGCAGAAACCGAAATTTGTGATACGGATCTTGATGGATGTCTAGATAAAATACCATTCATATGGCAGGACTTCAAGAAAAACGGCTATTTGACAGCCTATGCTGAGGATGAGGAGGTCTCCAATACATTCAGCTATAAGAAACCAGGCTTTGCCGTGAAACCCACCGATTACTATTTTCGCCCTTTTCTAAATGCCCTTGAAAAAGAGACTCACGTACAGTATTGCCCGGATTGTCGGAAGAAGTATTGTCTGGGTCGTCGATTGGCCAACAGCTATATCTTTGATTACTGCCGCCAGTTTATGCAACGATTTGTTGCCGATCGCCCTATCTGGGGAATGTTTTGGACGAATCACTTCAGCCACGACGACGTCTTCATGCTGTCCGCAATGCAGCATAAGATCTTAAATGATCTCCTGAATTTTGAGAAAGATGGAGCCTTCGAGCATACGATAATGATCTTCTTCTCGGATCACGGAGCCAGGTTCGGTCCAATGATGCACATGAAGGAATCTTTTCTGGAGGAGCGTCTACCCATGATGTTCATTTACTTGCCGCCTTGGTTTCGAGAGAAGTATCCTCTCTATGCGGAAGCTCTTTTCCAGAATCAGAATCGCCTTAGTTCTAACTTCGACGTCTACAATACATTAAGGCACATCCTAAACATTGATGAAGGAGTAGATGATACACAATGGGCATTTGACTGCCCACAGTGCCAGTCGCTCTTTCATCCGCTGCCAGAGAATCGCGGCTGTTCGGAGGCTGCCATAGTGGAGGCCTACTGTACGTGCCACAACTACGAGGTAGTCAAGGAGGAGCCATGGACCTGGCGCATGGCCGAATTGGTGGTGGATCGTATAAATCAGTACCTCCAGCTCAAGAACCTGAATAGCCTATGCAGTAATCTCACTCTGAAGTTTAGAAGTACTGAACAGAGAGTGGACAAGATCGAAGAGGATGAAAGCCTACCGAAAAGAATGCAGTATTATCATACGAGGATTCAGGTTCATCAGAATATGGCAGAGTTTTATGCCACCGTCCTATACAATAGGGAAACAGAAGAGCTCAAGATCAATGTGGAACATATCAGCCGTATTAATATATACGGTTCGGATTCAGAATGCATTAACAATAAGATCACCAAGTTGTTCTGCATATGCAGTTCAAAATTGCAACAAAGTAACTAAAACTTAAAAATGGAAAAGTCTGGTCAGGAAAATATTGAGAAAAAATGGAAACAAACAAATAGGTAGAAATAGTTCGCTCGATAATTAAAGTTGTGTTTAGCGAAGTTATTGTTATGTTACACCAATAATGAGTATCAGTAAATAATATTGTCAGTTCACACACTGTTGACCTTATTTCCTCGCTTCCAGCTGCTTATCGAAGTCAGTTGTTAGTGATAGCTTTACCAATAAAGATCAATTTTTTCAACTTAATAACTATCATTAACAGATCATTGACTGTTTTAACTAAGTTTTATAAATTAAAAATAAATATTTTGCTGTTTTTAAAAGTCATATTATTAAAGGTCTTTAGTTTAGACTCAAAGTTATCTATTTCTGATTTCCTTTTTGTATAGATATGGTACTCATCTATATTCATATTATCATATATCCTTAACCGTTTATTTTAGTAACATATTAATAATGAAGGAGAAAGTAGTCCTCACCCAAAAGGGATTTTTATGGTTTATTCCGATTTTCTGCCTTTTAATACTGTGGAACATAATGCCACTAGAAGAAAATGAAAATTTTATAATATATAAAAAGGAAAGTGAAAAACGTTTTTATGTGCAAAATTCAAAATGTGAAATACCATACGTAGAGCTCTTCAGTGCAGACTTCATGAAAACCTACAAGCCAAGAAATTTTACGCGCTGCTCCAATCAAAGTGATCTCATTACAGTGCATTTTGATAAAGTTTTCAATCAATATACACTTCATGTTAATGAGGAAGTGCTCCACAAACTGTCGCAGTCGAAAAGTAATGACTTTTCCTGCTTTTACCAGAAAATTATTTACGGCCAATCAGCGGATCGCTACGATAAGTAATGTGGAGAAATAAACGATCTTAACTTTCAAGAAAAACTTATTTTTTTTGAGTACAGGAAAGGAAACAGAACGAAGTTTACTCAAGACTTTTTGGTACCTTTGGATGTCGAAGGGATGTTGGTGGACTGCAGGACAGCGGACGAAAGGAGACTTCTGCAAAAGGATGCTTTTGTGTTTGTACAGGACAAAAAGATTCCCCACAGCGCTCAGAAAGATCGGAAAGCCAGTGTTATTATGTACGGCATAGATACTGTTTCACGAACTAATCTACGCCGGATGATGCCCATGATCTATGAGTTCCTGAAGTCCCCAGGATGGTTCGAAATGATGGGCTATAATAAGGTAGAATACGAGGAGTTTTAGTACTAGTATAATAATATAAATATAATAATTTAACTTTAAGGTGGCCGATAACACCTTCCCTAACATATTCGCTATGCTAACTGGCTTTTCACCAGAGACGGCAGAGGCTCGAGTTTGCAATACAAGTAAAACAGGATGCTTAGATGAAATACCCTTCATATGGAAGGACTTTAAGAAAGATGGCTATTTGACAGCCTATGCTGAGGATTCGCTGAGTATAAATACATTTAACTATTTGAAGCCAGGATTTTACTACAGGCCCACAGATTACTACTTTCGCCCCTTTCTTAATGCTCTGGAGAAGGAAACGATGATCCAATATTGCCCAAGTTGTAAAATGAAATACTGCCTGGGTCGTCGCTTGGCCAATAGCTACATTTACGATTACTGCCGTCAGTTTATGCAACGATTTGTGGCCGATCGCCCAATCTGGGGAATGTTTTGGACGAATCACTTCAGCCACGACGACGTCTTCATGCTGTCCGCAATGCAGCATAAGATCTTAAATGATCTCCTGAATTTTGAGAAAGATGGAGCCTTCGAGCATACGATAATGATCTTCTTCTCGGATCACGGAGCCAGGTTTGGTCCAATGATGCACATGAAGGAATCTTTCCTGGAGGAGCGTTTACCCATGATGTTCATTTACCTGCCTCCATGGTTCCGGGAAAAGTATCCCCAATATGCGGAAGCTCTTTCCCAAAATCAGAATCGTCTAAGTTCAAACTTTGACGTCTACAACACCTTGAAGCACATCTTAAATATTGAAGAACTAAAAGAGGATACCAAATGGTCCCACGACTGCCCCCAGTGTCAGTCGTTATTTTATTCGCTGCCCGATAAACGCGGCTGCTCGGAGGCTGCCATACCGGAGGCTTACTGTACGTGCCACAACTACGAGGAAGTTAAGGCGGACCCATGGACCTGGCAGATGGCCGATCTGGTGGTTGGTCGCATCAATCAGTACCTCCAGAGGAAGAACCTACAGAATCTTTGTAGCAATCTCACTCTGAGGGTGGTCAACATCACCGAAGAAAGAATGCTTGAGCTGGATGGAGACGTAAGCCCTATAAAGGGAATGCGACATTATCACACCAAATTCCAGGTTAATCAGAATAGAGCTGAGTTCTTTGCCACCACATCCTACGATAGAGAAACGGAAGATCTGGAGATCAATGTGGAACAGATTAGTCGTACTAATTGGTATGGTTCCGATGCTGAATGCGTTAATAATAAGATACATAAACTATTTTGTGTATGTTTATCAAAGTTATGGATAACAGTTTGATATTAATGATTCGATCGATACATTTTTTTTATTTAAGTAAAATGAAATGTATTTTTAAATTGTCTTTTCGTTTGGTAAACTAAAAATACAGCCAACATTTGTCACATACATACGCCTATTTATGAAATAAGACTAATAATCCCTCTTATTTTTGTTCCAAAACGATTTCCTTATCTGTGGAAAAGCTAATGGCAAACTTTATGTTAATTGTTATCTGAAATTGCCTTTTAAAATTGGTTTTTTCATTAATCATGAATTTAGAGGCGGTATTTGTAACAAACTGATTGCCATTTATGTAAAGTAGATTTGACCTTATCTTAGAAACTATTACACTCAAAGGAAATGCCTCTTTGGGTAGCAACAGAAGTTTGTCCAATATCCAATGACACACCCACAATTACACCCTGTGCTTCCCGAAATTACCTAGAACCTGACCTTGCCCAACAACAACAACAATTCCGAATATCTTTCAGATAATTGGCAGAGTAATGTTTAAGTGCGGTCTCGAGCTGGTAATTAGTCGTGTACGTTCGTTGTAGAGGTGGAGAAACATCGATGCGAACATCGATGACATCGATGTTTTCGAAACATCGGCAACATCGATGTTTACCGGAGGAACATCGATGTTTTTTCTTTTCTAAGGCACATTGATTGATTGGCGAATTGTAAGTACATATATAACTTAATTTAATGGCTACGCTTATAAAACGTTAGCTTAATAATACTTCTGCGATCCGGCATCTTCGTGCGAATCTGAAAGAGTTTTCAGTAAAGCTGGACAACTTATAAGTGAACGTCGCACGCGGCTATCATCGACCGTTGTCGATAAGCTCCTCTTTTTATACAAAAACAAAGATGTAAATAAATACACAGATACATATGTATATGTGTATATGTGTGTATGTGTATATGTATATGTATAAATATACATATATAGTAGAGTTCGGAATAGTAAGTATAGTAGGAATATCACATTATCCAAAAAAACTATTATTTTCTTTGGATCATGTATGTATATATTGAAACATTGATATAAAATTTGTTTTTTTTGTTATTATTTACAAACTAAGAATATGACAATATACCAAAGAAGTAGAACATGAATATCATGAACAGTTTTATTTTAATTTGTTTTTCTTTTCGTTTTTATTTAATAAGTGATTAATAAATTGGATATTTTTTGTTGAAAATTTGACTTTTAATTTTTAAACATTACAAATTAAAATAAAGTTTAAATACATTAAAATAACTGCACATTTTTTTTATTTAAAACATCGATGTTTCATCGATCGTAAACATCGATGTCCGTGAACATCGATGTTTCTCCACCTCTAGTTCGTTGTTCATTGTGATAACGAAATGTCATACATACGAGGTGTGTTCAAAAAGTAAGGTGACTCTTCAAATTTCGCGAATTTCAAATTTTTCGATTATCGAAACCTTTTAGAAGTTATACGAGGTGTGTTCAAAAAGTAAGGTGACTTTTCAAATTTCAAATTTTTCAAATTTTTCGATTATCTTCAGTTTTGGGAACAAGAAAAAGTCACATGGGGCCAAATCCGGTGAATATGGTGGCTGAGGCATTATTGTGGTGTTGTTTTTGGCCAAAAAATCCAAATCCTTTGATCCATATTTTTCGATAGCAAAAAATCGCCGAGCTCGCAAAACAACTTGTAACTTTACGCCTCTCACAACCAAACAAAAGAGGATGTTCCATTGAAACTTGGTACAGATGTTAGGGAAGAGTGTACCAATATAACAAAACAAAAAAATCGATAATCGAAAAATTTGAAATTCGCGAAATTTGAAGAGTCACCTTACTTTTTGAACACACCTCGTATGTTGGTACAATTCTTCTGTGCTCCGTGATTTCAGTTCAGTTGGAACGTTTATGTTGTCGAAGGAACACCATGGAGTCGCAATTTCGTTTCACTCATCCGCTCTACAAGATCCTTGGAATGCTTTACTTGTTGATCATTGTGGGTTATCTATTACTTCGGTCTAATAATCTTTCGTATTCGGATGTTAAACTTGTTTCAAAAACAACGCGATCGCGAGTTTCACTCAAGCCGGAACTACAGAAGTACTTTGTGAAAACCTCAAAATGTCAAATCCCCTTCGTGGATCCTTTTAACGATGAAGTGATGAAAATCTATAAACCACAAACCTTAGTCAGGTGTTCAAATGAGAGCGATCTCATTTGGACTGAATATAACAAAAACATAAAGCGTCATGTTTTGCACATTGACGATGAAGTAGCGTTTAAGTTACTCAATAATACCGAATCGGAATATAATTGCTTTTACCAGGAAATCAAATATGGGAATAGTGCGGATACTTATGATAAGTAAGACAAGTTCCCGTAATTGCAAAGAAATAGTTATCCAATGTTCCAATCGCATAGTCTCGGGTTAAAGAAGTACTTTACCAACGGTTATGTGGTGCCGCTGCATGTGGAGGGATTGATCGTTGAGTGCCAGACGGCTGAGGATCCGAAAGTGGTCCTCCAGAAGGACGCCTTCATGTTTATACAATATCGGCCGCTGCCCAAGGATCTCAACCAACCTCGGTCTGCCCGAAAGCCGAGTGTCATAATGTACGGTATCGATTCGCTTTCTCGGATTAATTTACGCCGCACTATGCCAAAGGTTTTCAATTTTCTCCAGGGTCCCGGTTGGTACGAGATGCAGGGATATAATAAGGTAAGCAATAGCTAAAGTTTGCAAAGATGGGGTTTCAACATATTCATATTTAAATTAAATATACATATTTAAATTAACTTCTTACTAAAAAGTCTAAAGAAACTTCCTTTTAAAACTTTCTCGGCAATAATAATATATGAGCTTTGAATTTTTCAAAAATAATTTTATTTTTAACACAAAACTCAGTAAACTAAGTATTTTTTTTATATTTCCAAGTCAAATAAATTAAAATATAGTGGCAACGCCAGATCACAAGAAAAAGATGAGTAGGCAAGGAAATGTCCACAAATAACAGTTCTCAAAAATCATAAGGGAGAGATAGACTATACAATGTTAAGCTCGCTATGCTTTCCCAAAAGCTTTGAGTGCTCGCGGAGATATTTCACTAGCAATTTTTCGTATTCCTCTTTCCGCCTCATTCCGTTACTAACTGCAGTATAATTTGTTCTTCTTTTTTCCTTGAAAACTTGCACCGGAAATAATTTGTTTATAAATTTCGTATGCAATAAAGAGTTTATTTCGCAGTGAATGATCGATGCGAGTGTTTGATTTAAATTTTGTTCGAGTCAGTAAAATAGAGTAATTAAAATGATCCACAAAACATGGACTCATTATTGAACAATAAAATAATGAACAATCCACTGGAAATAAAGTCTTAATTTGTATAAACATTATTTCACAATTTATCAACAAATTTAAGGCTATAAAGCCCTGCATGCGCATTACCTTTAGGTTGCTTTTGTAAAAGTGTATTTTCTTGTCGAATTTTTTCAGGTTGCGGACAATTCCTTTCCCAATATCCTCGCCATTCTCAGTGGGTATTCTATTAGTGCGGCCAGGGAACAGGTGTGTGATACTGACGTGAAGGGTTGTTTAGATGATATGCCCATGATATGGAAGTACTTTAAGAATGCCAGCTATTTGACAGGCTATGCAGAGGACGAGAGTGATTCGAATCATTTTAACTATATGAGACCCGGCTTCACCAGAAAACCCATGGACTACTACTTCCGCCCAATGTTGCGAGCACTTGAAAGCGAGATGGATGTGTATCGATTGCCGGAACATGACTATATGCGATATTGTCTGGGACGTCGAATTGCAAATCGTTATATTTACAACTACGGTCGCCAGTTTGCACAGCGTTTTGTCCACGAGCGTCCAATTTGGGGAATGTTTTGGTCAAATCATTTTAGTCATGATGATACTTTCATGCCGTCGTCCATGCAGGAGAAGGTTCTTGGAGACTTGCTCGATTTCCATGAGGATGGGGATTTTGAGGAAATGATTATGATATTCTTTGCCGATCATGGCACCCGCTTTGGTGAGTTGACTACGTTGAAGGAAGGATTCTTGGAGGAACGGCTGCCCATGATGTTTATATACCTGCCTCCCTGGTTCCGTGAGACATATCCTTCCTATGCTCAAGCACTGGAACTTAATCAGCACCGGTTAAGTTCCAATTATGATCTCCACAATACACTGAAGCACATCGTCGAGATTGGGGGTATTCCAGATGGGCCAGAGCTACCCAAGTCCTTCGACTGTCCCACATGCCAGTCGCTGTTCTATCCTCTGCCCGAGGATCGCACCTGTTCTCAAGCAGGCATCGTCGACCACTGGTGCACCTGCGAACCATACCTGCTTCTCAAAGATCAAGAGTGGACAGAACCCATTGCCCATAGTGTGATCGATCGGATGAACGAGTATTTTGTCCAAAAAAATCTAAGCAAACTATGCAGCAATCTAACCCTAAACTACATCCATAAGACTGAGATTAAGACGGGTCTGGATGTCAATTGGTATGACGAAATAAAAGAGGTGGAGACCTCTGTATATCGTATCAAGTTCAAAGTGGAGCAGAATAGCGCTGATTTCCAGGCCACCGTTGTCTATAATAATTCCACACAAAAAGCTGAGGTCGATGTGGAGAAAATCAGTAGAACGAACTCGTACAAGGAGGACTCCACCTGCATCGACGACAAACTGGCCAAACTTTATTGCATTTGTTTCAGTGACCTCAAGTCATAAATATCTCAACATAGAAATTTCTGTTTAAGTTATCATTAAGTGTAGACCAACATAGTTTTAGGGTGAAATGAACTCAGCTAATTTGTCGTCAAGTAGAATATACACTAATATATACCCTCAATTGATAGGTATAATGTAAGAACTTAGTAATGTTCTTGTATGTAATAATGGCAAGGCAGAAATCAATCTGTTTATGTTATTAAGGTAATGAAATAAGGATTTTGTAGGAAAATATATATTAAAAATCCATAGATTGGTTTTCCGCTAAAAGTTAAATTCCGACAAGACGATTTATATTTACCTTTTGGGAGTGATACTATTAGCTTGAGGATCAATTATCATCAAATAATATTAGTGAGAACAAGCTATTATTTTAATCATCATCTTACGTTGAAGAGTCTTTGCCCTGCATTTAAGGTTTAAGATTCATTATTTTGCGAAATTAAATTCAAAAAATTTCGAAAATCTCTTGATATTACAAAATATTGCTTAATACATATTTTCGAACCAAAATTTAAGAACAAAGTGAGTAACGCCTAACAAAGCAAAAGTAATTTCCTAAAATTTACAGAAAACAATCATGTTTCGATGTAATGGCCGAAAACTATGCCTGTGCTTGGTACTTCTTCTGGTGATTTTTATATTAGCAAACCAAAAGTCAAGCAATTTCAAAGAAAAAACTATAGATAAATCATGGCAGATCAATATCGAGCCGTTAACCCGGTTCAACTTTAATTATACTGAAGAGACTTTGTGGGCTGCTCCGAAAAATGTCTCCGAGAGCTTCTGCGTCCTCAGTCCCAATTGCAAGATGCTAAAGGTCAATCCGTTTGCAGAAGGCTACCCCAAGTGGGAACCTCTCGAGTTCAAAGTCTGCACAAATGAGCCAAGTTTGGTCAGTGTTATCTACGATCATGCCAAGCAACACTACAAACTGCATCTTAATGTGGAAGTATCTTTAAAGCACTTTTCACATTTTTCGGATTTTGGATGCACCTATACCGAGGTTGTCCCCGGACCAGCAGACGTTCTTGCTTAGTAAGATGGATGTTACAATCGAAAGGCAATAAAAAATTTACATTAATTCCTTTTCAGTCTTAAATCTCCTGAATACTTCCACCAGGACTGGATAGTTCCCAATCATTTTCTGGGTGTGATCGTAGAATGTCATGAAATGGCTAACAAGTCAAGGATTCTTCAACGGGATGCCTTCTCCTTCGTTCAATATCCAAAGAATCGCAATGAGAAGAACGATCGAGAAAGAGGTGGAGAGTATCCGAGTGTCTTGCTCTTAGGAATCGATAGTATGTCGCGCATGAACTTCCGGCGGAGCATGCCGCTGACCTCAGACTTTGTCAGCCAAGAGGGATGGTTCGAGATGGAGGGATATAACAAGGTTGGCGAAAATACTCTGCCCAATTTAATGGCCTTACTCACGGGTCGTACTCCAAGGCAATGGCGAAGCAAATGTGATGTGAGAGAGTCCGGTTGCCTGGACAGTCTTGTATTTCTGTGGAATCACTTCCACAGCGCCGGCTATCTAACAGCCTATGCCGATGACTCGACCTCCATCTCCACCTTCAACTACTTGAAGATGGGATTCAAACGTCCTCCAGTGGACTTTTATTTGCGACCCTTTTTGATGGCCATTGAACAAACCTTGAAGTATTTTGACTTTAAATATTGCATTGGCAGAAGGCACAGTTTTAGTTATGTTTTTGATTTTGCCAAGCAGCTGATAGAGCGTTTTGTATTTGAGCAGCCAAAGCCCCTTTTTGGTGTCTTTTGGACGAGCAGTTTTACCCACGATGATTTTCGTGGTGGTGCGAATTTGGATCGTCTATTTGTAGGCTACATGGAAGAATTCAAGAAGCTTAGACTATTCGATAGATCTATTGTGATACTTTTCAGTGATCATGGCTCTAAGCACGGACCTCTGGTTGAGCACTATACCGGCTTTCTGGAGGAGCGCCAGCCCATGTTGCATATTTACCTACCACCCTGGTATCGAAGGCGCCACCCATCGGTGGAGAAGGCTCTGATTTTGAATAGGAATCGTCTGAGTTCTAATTACGATCTCCATCTTGGTATAAGACAACTGATTAAGCAAATTCAACCAAGGCTACATTTTAGTAGACTTGTGAAGTGTAACTATTGCCGATCTATCCTAAAAGTACTTCCTAGTGACAGAAGTTGCTCGGATGCAGGCATTCCCGATCACTGGTGTACTTGCCAGCCCTTTGTAGGTGTTCAAGTCACTCTTTTCATCACGAGTCTTGCCAAATTGGCTGTTAGTCGGATGAACAAATACCTGAAGATGCTGAATCTCGATGAAGATTGCCAGAGTCTTAAGTTAAGTGCAGTTCTAAGGGCCGACCGACAGTTGCACTTCAATGAGTCGGGAAACGAAATGGCATCTCCTAATAATGTGGACACCTATCGGCTTGTCTTTACCACCAAACCGAACAATGCTAAATTCAGATCCACAGTTTATAGCAGAGAGAACAATGAAATCGTGACCATTCAGACTGAAATGATTAGTCGGCTCAATTCCTATCGCAATGAGTCTCATTGCGTACAGGATGCTCTGGCCAAGAAATTCTGTTTGTGCTACAAGGATCAGTTTCGGAAAGGGAAGGGAGCCTTAAAGGAAAGAAAATTAAGATATGTAATACAGGAGAACGAGGACGACTTTTATGACGAAACTAAATAGATTAATAATATTTAAATAATCTTTTGTATATTTGGTGGTTTTTTTTATACTATTCCGTTGACTTTGATTGTAGTTTTTGGTCCAGCGTTCGTTTTGATAGCTGTCACAATTTATGTAAAATTTCATGTTGAGCTCCGGAATATGATTAGACGCAAAACAATGATAAGGATTAGAAAGTTTATAATTATATTCTTTGCGCTACTTTTGGTGTTTATATGGTGTAATCATAATAGTTCCATCAGGAAAGAGAGCCATGTTGAGAGCGTTACTTTCGTGAAAGTTATTCCAACTAGTCAAGCTTTCCCAAGAAATATTGCCACATGGGAAACCCAACGATCGTCTATTAAGGAGAAAAGTGGATTCCGGAAGCTTAGACTTCCTTGAGAAATATCTCCAAGTCGATGAAGATCATAAAAGTTCCATCAGGGAAGAAAGCCATGTAGAGAGTGGTACCGTCGTCAAAGTTATACCAACTAATCAAGCTTTCCAAGAAACAACGCCGCTTCAGAATGCCAAGGATCGTTCATTAAGGAGGAAAGTGGATTTCGGGAGCTTAGATATCCATGAGAAGTATCCTCAGGTTGATGATGATAAGTTTAATGATTTTGAAAAACGCAAAATGCGATTACGAAACCCACTTGGCCGTTATTTTGTGAACAGTTCCAAGTGCCGTATGCCCTATGTGGATCCCTTTTCCAGCGGGGTCTTAGCTACCCTTGAACCTGTAAAATACAAGACGTGCAGCAAGGAAAGTGATTTCCTTACCCTGAACTTTGATTTAAATCTGCAGCAGTATAGTTTGCATGCAAATAAGGAAGTGTTATCTAAGTTTTTACCTTCTAAGGCCAAAATGAGCTGCCATTACAGAGGGCTTTCAGATGATATTGATGGAAAAGCGCTGAAGTAAGTTTATATTATAATATTTTGTTGCTTTTCACTATAAATTGTAATATATATATGTGATATGGCTAAGAGATATCCTTAATTTCAATGGTAGAAAAGCTTTCTTAGTTCTTAAAACCATGGCACGCCTTTTAGGTATGCAACATATTTTGTAAAAATCTGATATCTCATAGAACAATCATGTGACTAAGCAGTATTTTCCTCTTAAATTTATGATAAAAATAAATATTTTATCTTTTCATTTTGAATATAGAAAAAGCTTCCAGCAAACTGAGGTTTTAAGCACCAAACTAACTGGCATCATAACGGAGTGTCGCCTAGCTGGAAACACCTCTGAGATTTTTCAACAGGATGCATTTCCTTTGATTCAGATACCTAATCGAACGTCAACATCAGATTCCCAATTGGTGAACAAAAAACCTAGTGTTATAATCCTAGGACTGGACAGTCTTTCACGAATGAATTTCAAGCGCACGATGCCAGGAACATCGCAATTTGTGAAAGAACTTGGATTTTTCGAGATGGAGGGATACAACAAAGTGGGCGACACCATGTTTTCCAAATCTCTGTGCCATTTTTGCTGGTGAACTCTCGGGAAAGCAGTGCCTGGAACGTTATCCTTTACTATGGAAGAAGTTTAAGGAAGCCGGCTATATAACAGCATTCGCAGAAGACATCTTGCGATCATCGATCTCTGTACAGACTCCAAGCGATTATGAGCTTCGCTCTTTTCTAACACAGATTGCCGAATCTATGAGTATATATCGAAAATTTGGTACCGAATACTGCATAGGTAGACGCTTAAGCTTATCCTATTTATACGATTTTTGTATGCAGTTCACGGAGCGCATAATAGAGGAGCTAGATCACCCGGCCTTTGGTTTATTTTGGAGTTCCTCCTTAACACGTAACTACCCGCTGGGAGCCATTATCCTGGATGATAAGTTCATGGAGTACTTGGAGCTAATGCGAAAGCATAAGGTTTTTGAGCGATCCATTGTGATTCTAGTCAGTGATCAGGGTCAAAAGGAATCAGACTTTGTCAAACTTCCAAATGCTTTCCTCGAAGAAAGACTTCCCATGTTGCATATTTATTTACCGGAATGGTTCCTCATTGCATACCCAAAGTACGCCGAGAATCTGCATCTGAATCGCAATCGCCTGACTTCTCCATTTGACCTCCATAATACCTTAAACCATTTACTAAGTCTCAACACATCAAATACTAATGAATTATCTCCACTGCAATACTGCTCCACATGTCAGTCCCTGTTCCATTTGGTTCCTCAAAATCGCAGCTGTGACGAGGCTGGCATTGGAATGAATTGGTGCGCCTGCAACGAGTTTGTTCCCCTGCCCAACGATGACAGATCATACTTTTTGGGAAAACTTCTTGTTTTCCACATCAACAAATGGATGCTGAAAAGGCGATTCAATCGATTCTGCCAGAGATTGCAACTTCTTGAACTGGATTATATGGAAGAAGCGATTAGTAATGACGATGGCCAGGAAGGGACTTATAGCCTAAGGATTCGCACCTTTCCCATTCAGGGAGTTTTCGAGGCTACGATTCGGTATAGGGAGGATCTAAATGATTTTATTGATTTAAGAATGTCGGATATTAGTAGCATGATTAACTACCATAAACATTCGATGTGCATAAATGATAAAATGGCAAAGAAGTTCTGTTTTTGCTATCCAGACAAGTTAAATGAAAATATGAAGGTGTGGAAGAGCTTGAAAAGAAAAAAGTTCGCCAAACAAACTTCTTCTTTTCCTTCAGAAAATGTAACATTGGAAAATCCTTTAATTCCATTCCTTGATCAATCTTGAACTTCTTTTAGCTTTTATTGAAATTTAATTTACGGCTACCCCTAAGGCACTCTTAGGCTAAGTCTAGTGAAATAAAATATTGAATTGAATTCTTCTAACTCTTAATCTAGCCGGACTAACATACGCATTGGTCCCTCGAACCGCATTCGAAAATTCAACAAACCTTCATTAACAATACACGCTTAGTCTAGGTCCATTAGAAAACTATAAAACTTTGATTCCCTTGAGAATCTACATGTACGAATCAACCGGATATCTTTCGGCCTCCTCGAGCATATGCCGGAAATCAACGGGCACGGGTTGGCCTACCGGTCCAGTTCCGGGTCTGCCTGGAACATGTCCATTCATCATCTGCCCCTGATGCTTGCCACTGCCCAAGGCACTTCCTCGATTCTTCAGATGACCGTTCATCATGCTCACATGATGACTTATTGTGGGCACTGCTCCCGGTACATTGGTCTCCAAATCATGGAGAATCGCATCCGTTTGCTCGTTTCGCATCATTTGATCACCCACAGTGGCCGTGTCATCCGTGTCATCTGTTTTGTTCAACAAACGATGGATGTGACTTCGGATGAGGCGCTCGAATTCACGCTGTACAGATGGACTATCAGTGTCTCCATCAACCTGGTGGATAGGTTTTTTTTTAAATTTTATATTTTAAAGGTTTTACTCTTAACTAAACTTACAATCTGCAAACGATTGCTGGTATCGAGAATCTTCAGCATGGGCAGGGTCTGCTCACGAAAGAGCTCCAATCGCCGGCGAAATGAGGATACAGTGTCATCTATACGTCCTCTGCCTAACTGAAGTTTCGAGCAATCGAGCAGGATAATAGGAGGTCGTTGTTTGTACTAAAAAATAACCAAAACATTTTTAATATCTTTAAAAGTTAGTTTGATAATCTATAACTTACCTTATTCTCAAAGTACTTGACCTGCTGCAGGTTCCTGGGATACCCATCTATGATGATACCAGTTCTATCTCGTAACTGGCGAAGATTGGTTTCCAGCAGCTGGTTAAGGGATTTCTCTGGGGCCATATCCCCAGCGGCCAAAGCTTCCTTGACAGCAAAGCTTTCCGTATTGGCACGTGGTGCAGAGTCGGTAATATTGCGTAAGAGACGACCGACACTACAAAAAATTAAATAAATTAATTAGTTAACTAAATCTAAAAGTAATCACATATCAACCTACCTGATATGAGACCAGCCAGGATTGAGACCAACAGCTTTAAGACAAAGTGTGGCTTTATTGCTGCCCGGACCGCCGATCACCCAGATAATGGGTGGCAGGCCTGATTCATCTGATCCAGCATCCGGTCGCAACTTTGGCTGTTGAGTGATCACAACACCGCTGTCATCATCAGCACTGGTGGTTCCCGTTTTCAGGGTTGCAACACCTCCATTTGGTCCACCATCGATCCGTTCGATGGCCAAATCTCTGGCCAAAACGGTTCCCGTTGTCTCGGCATTGGTATTGGTCCCGTTGACTTCTGCAATTTGAGTCGCTTGTTGGGCTTGACTTGGTGCGGTGTCTACGCTAACTATACTGCCGGGTATATCATGTATCCCTCTGCCCATACCTGTAACTCCATTCATCACGGCCTCTTGGTTCTCGAGGGTGCTCAGTATATCGAGGACAGCGGTGCGAAAGTCTTTGTACACCTCTGTGGGAGCACGCTCGCCATTAACCTTTAAAAGTGAAACAAAAACAATAGAAATTAATAAATTTTTAACCGAAAAGAAAAGAATATTCTCAATACTCACGGCCAACAACATGTCGCTCTGATCAAAATAATCGGCAACTGGCATCACATTTTTAAAGAAATTTTCCAATTCCATTTTGGCTAAGGAGAGTACTACATGACCTAATTTGGCCCCATAATCGATTTGCTTCTGTAGAACCGATTGACGCCAGGATATTAGGATCACGCCATTCACGACTTGAATCTGAAAATAATTTCAAAAATCTATTAATCGAAGAAATGATTTGGGAATTATATTCTAAGGGTCAAAGAATATGTCCTTATATGCCATGGTTACGTGACTGGTTGTTTGGAACACCCTAAGTTCCGCCTGCTCCAAGTCTGTCCAATTAGCACTTGCATATATAATAGATAATGGCTTACTGTAAATCCATGGGAATTATGGCCGAATAAACACACTGTCGGCGACCATTTCCCAGTTAATTAGTTCAAATAGTTCAGCAGCAATTTACTGGGCAAATAAAGTGTGCGGTAACAACAACAACAAAAAAAAAAAAAAAAAAAATGGCTTCATAATAAATAAAAGAGCTGATGGTTGGTGGGGAAGACAGCGCAAATTAGTGGCGTATTGCCGTATGGGTGGGAAAATTACCTTCTCAGAATACTCGACAACGTCGCGCATTGAGCGTGGATATCCAGATATTAGGTATGCTTTGGCAGCTGGAGCCATTTTCATTTCCAACATCAGCACCTCAGTGACTGTTTTCGACGATAGTTGCGAAAAGTCCTGCATGTCTAAAAGGATTATAAAGTGAAATGATATGATATATGAAAATTACAATGCCTAAAAGTATGCAACACTATATAATTATAAGTCTAAAGGACTTTAGGTTTCACTTTTTCTTGTTATCAGATGCTCTTAGCCATCTTTTTAGGTGTTCTTAACACTATAATAAAATATTTTCCATACCATTGCCCATTGCATATTGCTGCAGCAGATCCATCATATTGATGTGCGTTACACCGCGTCGCTCCTGCATGAAAGTGTCGCAATGGGTGACCTTGCCACTACCTGGGCCGCCTAAAACAAATATCACTGGCACTTTGGGCGGATCGAATTTGATTTTTCCAGCATTTTGCATATCGATACCGCCGACATTGGTAGTACCCAAATGTCCTATAGCCGCAGCTGCCTCCAAATCGCCAGCATTTTGGGCATTTCGATTCCGTGTAAGACTCCAATCGTTGCCTGGTTCGCCGGTATCTTGTGCCGCGCTGGCATCTATAAAGGTTAGTTAGTTAAATTAGTTATCTATTTATATATGATATTATCAGATATATTTAAACTTCCTAAGACAGTCATCCTGACATAATAGTAGCGGTGGTTAACCCTTTTTTAATCTTTGCCTAAAACTTTTTTATTTTTTCCCCTTTTTTAACATTATTTATGGAAATCCCTTTGAAATTAGATATAAATATATTCTAAACTTTAAATTTAATGTGTAAAACACTTACAAAATCTTGCACTTCCGTTTTTAATAGCTAGTGACCATGATTTTCTCACCGTGTGGGAGCAACAGTTGAGCCTCGACTTAAGTGCAGAAATTTTTCAACCGGAAACCGGATGTGTTGGCAGGTTAGCGCAAGGAAATGCACGGGAGAGTGGGGAGGGGGGTGTAGAAAAAACAAGGGCAGCCGTAACGTGCCAAGTTGGCATTAGCCAGCCTTCATCGAGGCCGGAAGTAATTTGCCAGAAGTAGGAAATTAGTGACAGAAGCACACGCACTCAGCAATCAGAATGGGCAAAAAGGATCGAAGCAAATCGCAAACCCAATCATTAAAACATGTTTAACAATTATTTAATTGTATGGCAATGGTATCTAGTATAGTATGGCGTCACCGCTGAATTCATTCATGGAAAATCAGCTGCTACTTGGCGATTATATAGCTTTAGATATAGAACCCAAACCACAGCCAAACCCAATTGAAAATATTTTTGTATATTCAGTTAGAAAACCAGTTCAGCGTTGTAACATTTTTATTGATTTTCCTGCAGTTTTATTTAATTGACATGTTTTGTTATTGTTGCTATCCCTTTTCGTCTCGGGGGTTTCCCTTTTTATTTTCGTGGTAGTCAGTCGGTCGTGTTCCTTTTTCTCTTTTTTGTTTTTGTGAGTGACGCGCATTTCAGGATTTATGTGTATTAGCTTTTGGTGGTCAACGAACATGCCCAAGGACCTGGCAGCCATGGAGGCCAATGGGTCCAAGTTCCGATACAAATTATAGCGTTGGGCAAGGTCTCGATTTTGATATAACCCCCGAGTACATATATAAAATCATATCCCTCTATGCATTGCAAAACCGTTTTGTCACAGATAATCGCTTTTCTAAATGATTTTCAAACCCAAACTAATTGCAGTAATTTCAATTGCAGCTGTCCTTTGCATTGTGTTCAATTGAATATGTCACAGGGGGTAGGGCTTAGAAGTTCTGTTTAAATAATAAAAAGTAAAAATGATATTAATGTGGTTTGGTTTTGAAATTTCTTGTAGTTCGTGCTAATCTTCATTGATATGAAAAGATACGGCTGATATATGGGTAATAGTTTTTGTGGTGTAGCTCATTTTAACATGCATGTTTTACATGATTTTCTCATTATTTAAGTAATTAAGTTTTCGTATCTTTACCATTAATAGTGGGCTTTCGCTTAAATAAATGCTAAAAAAATGCCTCAGTAGGTCTCAATTTATTATGAACCCCAAAAGTATGCTAAAAAGCATTACTAGCCTTCTCCGATCAACTAAAAATCGTTCTTTTCCCCTCCTCATTTGTCAGAAAAATCGTTGGCAGAAAGAGAAAATAGCTAATGAAAACTTGTATATTGTATTCCCGCTGGCGTGTTCACCTGGGGCGACTCATTAGGGTTCTTTTTACTATCTTTGGCCGTGGAGAGGCAAAAGGCTAATCTTTGATTACAAATCTCCTGCATGTGGCATTACTCACCTGTGTCTAAACAAATACCCATTATCCATTCGGTGGCCAGTATAGCTGAATTTTCGCAATTGTGTTTTCCCTACCGCACACCGTACTCACACACACACACACACACTCGAGTTTACACACTTACTCCCTACTACCAATATAAAGTTGCTTAAATCGTTTGAAAAAATATTATTATCAAGTACTTTAGAGGGAGTTGTATATGGAAATTGGTAAAATTCCACAAATGTTTTGCACTTTGTCCATGGCTACGGTTAAAGGTATTCGCCCGATGTGTATATGGTAGATATATATATATATATATTATAAATATGTGTACATTTATTATTGGTATCTCTGGGATACTTGTTCTCGCGTTTTATCGTCGGCAACACGCACAACAACGAACTACTACATGACGCTGCCGGTTTTGGTGTTTTGATTCCTGCATTAGCCGTTCTGATTTACCGAGGGAGTTCATAAGTTCAACGAAAACGAGCACGTACGCCTCGACGAACGTCCGAAACGAAACTGAGTTTCGAAATTGACAACTGACTCGGTTTTTACCTCTACGGTTCTACTACGAGTTCCCCTGGTCACTTTTCCAATTAATGAATACTTTATGAGTTCCAGCAGTTTCGTACCCCCCGAATGCAGTTCCAGTCGCGTGGGTGGTTCTTTCGGTCGGGATTTCCTTGTCCCATTGGAAGACTCACGCACGACCTTAGAAAGGGTACACTTATACCCCTAGTGCCCTGTCCATCCAAAAATCCACCTCACATGTCTGTGTCATTCATTTCGGCGGGTGGCGCCATTTGTTTATGCGCTCCAAACAAAGTGTCCTGAGTCCTGGAGCCAGCGGTGCGTTTCTCATACATCCTTTATAGGTATGAACTCTCTCTCTCTCTCGCTCTTGCTCTTTCTCAGTGGTATATGGAACGTTTTTTTAAAACATTTTCCCGGTTTTTTGTTATTGTCAGTGCTGGTGTCCTGTCGTCTATGTTGTTTGTTGTTGTCAGTGGGGCTTCTGTTTTCTGTTGGAGCAAATAAATCCCCTGACTTGCAGCTGTTCAAGTCAAGAGGCCAAATATAAGAGTTAGGTGAGGCTCGCAAAAATAGTTACAGGTTAGATAGTAGATAAATAATTTAATTTTTAAAAATATATATTTATTTGAATTATTAGAAAACTTTATTGAAATTAGAAAGTAATAGTTTTTGGCCGTTTGGAAAGGTAAAAGTTATAAATTTTCTTTTAAATTTTATATTTATATTTTAAGTAATCTTGGAGAAGAGTTAAATAAGAAAGTAGAAAAGTTTCGGACTCTTATAGCACAATTTTAATCTTTTTAATATTCCTAAGAAATTTATGTTATGTTTTAAGTCCGTAAATCTTTCTCTATAGCTCTTATCTTAAAACGTATCCTTTAATTAGCTCAAAACCAACCCATTTAAGTATGGAAAATTTACGATATAGAATAAACATTTATCTTACAAAGATTTAGGTTCTGTTGAATATTTATAAAAGATTCAACTTCTTTCCTTTATAATATTCCTTAAAATAAATTTGTTAAATCTATAAAATAAAAGTTACTTACAATTATTTTTAAGAACCCGCAAACTGTTTCTAAAAAGGTGTCCTCCATTGCATTGTCAAAGTGTTCACCTATCATGAGTCTGCCATAAGGTATGTGTTCATTCTGAATTACTTTTCTTTGACTTTGATGGCAGAAAAATTGCGCAATCATGCCGCCACACAGTGACAAGAGCCCCAAATTGATAAGTCCCAAAGGGGGCTACAGCACACCTTTGGTGTTTCTTTCTAAACATTAGATGGGAATTAGAACACTGGACTGCCTGTCTGATGTGCAGTGGGCGAGCATTCAATTAATATTTCACACTATTAATTGGCGTTAATAATTAATTTCACTTCTAGTTGCAGTTCAATGAAATGGACTAGACGCGAAGTGGGTGTAGGACAGCTGTCAAAAGTTCCAAAATGTTTTCTATTAAAATTCAATTTGATTGGGTTTTTTGGGTTTTTGAAGTTGTGGGAGGTGAGAGGGGAAAGGTTACAGGTTGAGTAGGCTTACCAAGGACAACTAAAGAAGTTCAAAGCTCAAGGAAACTTCATATCGACCAAATTGGTCTCATATCGATCCATGGTCAACCACAGATGCGACGCCTAATTTGTTGGAATTTGTGACATGTCATGTGCCCGTCGACACAAGGACGGCAACAACAACAAAGATAACAACCGAATTGACCAGAACAACACTACCGATTGACATTGACACCCACACCTGACCACACCAATGGAACTGCTGTTACCTGGATTTCCTTTTCCAACTTATGCGTAAAGTAAATCCTTCGCAATGACCACCAATGACCACAGCAGTAGAAGCGGCTCGTGATCGTCCTTGGACGCTCCTAGGGCGGGTCCCTTTGGTTATTAAATCGCCTTTTCAAACTTAATTAAGACTACACGTTTTGGCCAACGTGTGTACACAATTGCAGACGCGGGCGCGGCCAGCTTAGGGTTAAGCAACTCGAACCGAACATCTGTGATTAAGGACACTGGCTAAGGACCCTCTTTGTTAGGTGTGTTAAGTGTGCTGAAGGATGGGAGATTATGAAAATATCATTCAATTGAATTAAAGATCCAATCAAATAAATTATTTAAATACGTTATTAAGGTGGGAAAGACCAGTGTTAGACATACAAAAACCGTAAATTATAATATTCAACTCTCTAATTAGTTGGTTTTTAAGGAATTCATTTTGTAGGTAAAGTCTATAATCTTTTCGAAAATTATTTGAAAATATGTTATTAGGGCAGCAGTTGTTTAAAGTAATTAATTTTAAATAAGTAATATTACTTAACAACTACATATTTTCAAAAATAAAAAGGCTGGAAAAGCGAAAATATCAATCTTAAAATGGTCTTTTTAATAAGTTATTTTACAGCTTTTTACTTCAAGAAATTAAATCAACAAATTTGTTAAATTTTTTTTAAAAACATAGCTTTTAGATATATATTTATCGATATACAAACAAAAAACTTTGTTATTATAAAAAAACTGTTTTCTTTTTTGTTTAAAATTGGCTTAAAATCCTGAAAAGCCTTAAAAATATTGTTAAAATTTTGAATAAAATTTAATTAATAATTTCATTTCACTTGTATTTAAACTAAACATATTTAAATCTAAAGAGCACTGTAAATCTTCTGACATTCGCTAGTATTTATAAATAGATATCCCACTATCGGAATTAAACCTGTCCTTGCCAGTTTATTAACTCCAACTCGTTGTCCTTCAGGGCCTATTTGGGCTAATGTGGCCATTCAAAGGTGATTAGGGGCTTGAGTAAAATATTTACACATCTCTTACCCGGTCCAAAATAAGAAGGCTAATTGGCTTACAGTTTTTCTTAGTGCACATGTACGTCGTTCCGTCCAACTATGGTCATCCATAAATTCTTAATAATCAACTGTAAAGTTCCCAAAAGCGGGTGTGTCAATCGAATTGAAAAAAAAAATAGGAAAACCCGAAGGCTGTTGTGGACATTCATGTTTTTCACTTCAAACTTTTAACTATGAATGAATTTTTGATCAGAATTCTTAAGCATGTTTTCAGTTTGAGAATAAATATTGATTAAGCCAAAGGACATTTATGAACCCTTTACCTGCAAAGAACTTGCACTTGCCCAGAATTTACCACGGAAACAAATATTTATTTAAGTAACACAAAACAATAAAATATAATATCACTGGTTATAAATTCTACAAAATTATATTGGGAAATTGGGGAATCCAGGGAGGGTAAATTGGCCTGATTCTAGTAGCCAGCGAAATTGCCCAAAACCGTTGAAATGCGCGAAGGCGAGTGTTGAATGTCATTTCCAGATTTATCCATATTTAGCCATTTGATTTTGCACTGGTTGGCAGTACGAAATTGACATTACGACAGCGTCAATGGAGGAATAGTCGAAGCTTAAAGAAGGCAAAAAGCAGTACGTAAATGCAACAGGTCAGGATTAGTACGCCAATGACTGTGACAAAAGCATCTTGGGGTTTCCTCCAATCAATCACGAAGTAGATATAAAGCATGCCCTTCCTAAAAAACAAAATGAAAATTGGGAATATTGTTTTTATACATTATTTCTGTAACTTACTTATTTACTCCTCCACACAAATGATATAAGACATGCACCAATCTCAGCGGATGTGTCACTATCCATAGATCGATAAACATGGAATTTGAGTTCCAAAGCTATGAGAAAATAAAAAAACGTTAATACAACTTGTTAAACAACTTGTTTGCAGGAACAACAACTCACCATTATATATGTATGTACATAGAATAGTCCAGTAGATAATGGTGACTACAATAGACAGCACCAAAGTTATGATATGCATACCCGAATACACTCGAAATTAGCTGAAGGTTTTTATGTTCAAGAGTTTATCTTTAAAATATATTAATACTTTTTAGTAATCAGTTAAGTTTTTTTACACCTCTACTTACCCGCGTATTCGAGATGATAATGCCAGACTGTGACTAGAACAGCACCCAATACGTTCGTCAGCATGCACATCCAGATGCCCGAGTTGCCAGACTAGATGAATTAAAGCCAATAACTGCTTTTTTCATTGGCTTCTGGCCAAATCGAGATGATTACTACGACCACAAAGAACAGGGCCATGAACCAGCGATAAAACAAGTAGGCCATACTCTTTGTACATGACTGCCACAGGAAAGTAGTACAAAATATTTCATAATTATGCATAATAATTTAGGTTTTTATATCTCTATTATTCAAAGTCATTGACCTTTGAACTAATAATTATAATATAACACATACTAATTATGATTTATTAGTGTTTATTACGAAATGTATATATATATGTACATATGTACATATATTATAATATGAGAGTATTTTCCTATTTATTCATCAAACTCTTTTTTAATATACTGTAAACCAGGGGTGCTAAAATTTTACTTACGGAACATTTACAGCCGTGCACTGAGAGAAAGAAAAACTGGTTGCCAATTCCACTCCAAAATAACCTAGAAAGTGCAAACATAAGCTATAAGGAATGATTTCCAGTGCAAGTGTTCGAGTATGATCCAGCAAGAAACAAGAACAACATATATTACAGTTAGCGACGGAATGAGGCGGAAAGAGGACACGGAAAATTGTTAGTGGAATAGCAAGGAATTCGAGGATGATCGAGGAAGAAAAAAAAAACAAATTGTATTACAGTTGACGTCGGAATGAGGCGGAAAGGGGACACAAAAATTGTTAGTGGAGTAGCTCCGGGAGCGCTCAAAGCTTATGGAGGCGTTGAGCATCCCTGCTGTAAGTTGTTTTTGTTAATACCTTGTTTTATTTTTCTTAATAGATTTTGTAACTTATTTTATTAACATTTTTGTACTGATTAACTTTTTGATACATTTATTCAGAAATATCTATTATTAGGTTTCCAAAAATTTATTATAGATAATTTATTCAGATTCATTATAATAGATTCTAAAGTACAGTTCGTTAAAATTATTTGACTTGAATTGTAAAAATAAATTTAAAAAGCCATTTAATAATGCCAACGTCTCACTATCTTTGTGAATTTTCGATCATATTTTCCACATGTCATCTACAAACATATTACACCCATATCTAATCCAAAATTTTAAGCTCTAAAGGTTAAAGGGCAGCAATTTAGAGAAGCGCAATTTGTTGTACCTGTCGCATGCCTAAAGTTTCGCTTGCGAACTGACTTGCCGCACAGTTTGTAACGGCTTGCTGCTTATGAATATTTCAATACTGTAATTTACAATGCAAGAGCAATCGGTGTACACAAGTCAAAGTGTACTGTCATATATATCAGTTTGTTCATATACGACTATATACTATATATTTGTACCCAAACAGAGCCCTGTTCCTATTGATACTGTGAATAAAAGAAGTCATCAAATATGCTCAAGGTAAGCCCAAGTAAAACGCCCAATGTCCTTTTAGCTTTGGTAAGGAGATTCGATTTGGCTAGGGATTGTATACAAATTGGCAGATTTTTATGAGGGAGAGGTGAAAATTTGAATTTTTTAATGATTAATCAAATATTATTAACTTAAAATTTTTGAATTTACTTAACAGATAACTTAAGATTGCAGTTTCTTTAAGTTAGTTACAAATTTTAATGCATTTACATTTACATCTTTAGCAACCTTCTCTAGATCTTTACCTAGATTAATCTTAATAGTTCTCCTATAGCCTACCCTAACAACCTACACTTTAAACTGCCCACTGTGTACATTGACCCGCCGCCCGAGTGCAAAACAAATAGAAACACACCTGCTCAGGTGCGTGCCGAATGGAGGCGTTTATTTTTTTTTTTTGTGGGCTTCAAGGACGCAGCTATTTGTACTGTCGTCAAAGTTTCATTGAACCATTTAAAATGACCCATCCTGTAAGCCCATCCTTACCTGTGACTTGACAAAATCATCGGACATATCGTGGTCAAAGCCGCAGCTCTTCCGCTGGAACTCCTTCTTCACTAGATGTACGATCATCTGGAGTTTGCTCATCTTGTTAGTTTCTGTTGGCTTTAGAACTTGGCTAAGTTGGGTTCACGTAAGTAGACAAATCTCACAAAAGGGATTAAGCAATCTAAAGCGTGTTTAGCGATGCCATACTCCGAGCTTCTGGGCGGGTCAAACATGGTGCCATACCCCCCGGTCTTAAGTGTAATTACTTCTCAAGAGAATGCAATCTGATATAAAGATTTCAAGAGTGCGCTGTTCATTGTCCCTGAACTTGCACGAATGCCGCCACGCTAATGAAACTTTTCAACGAGAAACCCAAAAACGGAGCTACGCGGGGTGGCTAATTCAGTTAACAAACTCTTAACCATCCACCTTGGTGGCGAAGACAGTTTGGAGTCATAGTTGGATACATATATCAGTCATATTATTGGCGTGGAACGCTCGGATGTATGAACATGTGTCACGATTGACCAGCACTGAACTTGAAGCCGCGGAGGTCGACCAATTAAGATATCCATTTAACAAGTACCACCCAAAAAAAACAGCTAGAAATTCTAGCTGATCTACATTTATTGAGGGCAGACATGTTCCCAATGCGTTAAGCAAAGTACGCTCTTATCTAATCCATCACAGGGAGAGAGCTATTATGCACTCGAAAACGGCTAATTAGTATTTAATTTAATAAAGCTTTAGATAAGTTTTGTACTTAGATAAGGGTTAGTTGCTTAAACTAATTTTGGTTCATCTGTAAACAGTAAGCTCAGCATAAGGTACCAATCGAATGTTCTATCTATGTTTACCTAGATTAAGAACATAAATTAATTAATGTAATATTTTATTAAATTCATTTTAACTTCTTAGTTGTTATCTTAGTTGTATTACTGAGATTTCCACAAATTTTTATCGCCCTAACCTGTCTGACTCTTAGACGATGATCTATAAAGATTTATGTAATATTTTAATTAAAATATTCCACACCTTTGCCTAAATTAGTGTAAATAAATACTAAATGCTAATGACAGCTCATAATCACGATTCATGTCTTATCAATGCCCGTTTACCATTTACTCACTTTTTCTATTCAAAATAAATTGCATATCTCAAGGCGTAAATGAGAATTTTAGTATATGTTTTTGTATTTAATCATTAATACTAATATTTTAATATTCTATGGTTAAACTAGTGCTGAGCTTCACAATAGAAATTAAAATCATATTAAAAAATGTAGTATTCAAGTATTTAGTATTTTCTCTAAAAGAAACACCCTGTTTATACAATAATCTTTATCACCGAACTTTTATTTCTTAATTGGCTATTTCACTTATCAGAGAACCAATGATTCATGAGCAAAAGTCACTTTTAAAAGTTTACGTCATGAAATGATATTTTTTCTAATCTTTTGGACATTCCCTAAAGCTTTTGCAAAATATTTGCTTAGAGTCCACTAGTTTTAAGTTCCATATACATACATATATAAATATATATGTATATAGACATATATATCAACAAAGCCTCGTATCAGTAATGGCAACAACGTCAATCACATTTCCTCCACTTTGAACATATGATAGACGAACTGCTAAATTAGCCAAATGAGTTTGTCAGAAAAGGCTGGGTTACTCTACAAAAGAGTTGTCACAAAGGTTTAAAAAGCTGGTGAAAGAAAAGAAAATAAAAATATAAAATATAATTTATATTTTAATAATATAACTTATAGAGCCAAACATACATTAACTCTTTATAGCACCTTTTGCTTACCAAAAACTGATTATAATTCTTTTTATATTTGATAGTGTATTTGATTAAGTCCTAAGGTTTCTTAGAAGTAGCAACAGTATTTAAAGAGCATTCAATCAAAATTGTATTTTCCTTTGAAGTTTGAATTTTGCTATTGTTGTTGTCTTGGCGGATCATTATCACGTCTGAATTTGCGGGGAATGGCTGGAACCGCCAGCACTTGACTTGTCAGGAAGGAAAAACCGCTAACACTTCAGGAACACGAGTGTTGGTTTTATCAATAAGTTTATGACCCAACTTACATATGCGAAAATTCCCAAAATAATGTTTAAAAATTCAGGGCCATTGATTGGCGTGGGTCCCGGCCCAATCTGTGGATATTAATGGGGCATGGGAAAAGTTCCAGTCATTGGCCGGCGTCTGGGTTTTTATTTAGTCTATGGCTCTGACCGCACTTGGCCACATCCACGTCCAAGTTGTTACCCTTATCAGAGGCGTACGCTGCCGACGAATTAGGCATAAACGGTACTCGTTCAGGTGATAAGGATCCAGATAATTGAATCGGTTCCTACTATCACAGCCGATTAAGCACGATTCAAGCCGAAACGATTTGCGGAAAAAATGGCCCTCCATTCAGACTATTTGACACCTGGGCCACATGGTTCCGTCAGTCTGCGATCTACCGGCAAGGAAGTCACCAGCTCTGGTCTCTTTTGGCCATCCTAGTTCAGCGAAACCGACGACGAGTTCATCCGACCACCGAAATGCGTGATAAGAGTGACGAGCCCTGCTGTCTGCCCTTGAAGGAGGAGTTCCAGCGATCTAAGTTCTCACTGCATCATGAAGATCCTGGAGTCTTCTGTCGTTCGCAATGGCAAAAGGGAGATCGGAATATCCTTTGGCTCTTGTACAGATGGATCCTGGCTGGTTTCTTTGCCGCCGGCGTCATTGGCAGCATGGTGGAGAGTTTCAACGGTGGTCGCTGGTTCATTTATCTCACGGATTGGGGATTTTCCTTGTGCTTTTATTGCTGTACCTATGGAGCTGTTATCGCCACTATTTACTTCATAAAGCCCTCATATTTCGGTGAGTATTGATGGGTATTGGTAATATGGTATTCAGGGTCTTATACTTTTACTTTCTTTATTGTTGATTTGTATTGATTTGTCAGGAATGAATCATATCACTTCAGTATAACTTTTTGTGAAGATCAAAATTTGAACCAATCTTTATGATCTTTTAAGTTTAGTTTGCAAAGTAATCAAGAAATAGAATATGAAATATTCATTGCCCATGTCCTATTAAAGCGATATAAACATCTTATATCCATAGTATTATAAAACATGATCTATCAAGAATATACTTTATCATATACACATTTCAGCTCCCGGCAGTTGGGCTTTGAAGATCTACTGGCTTTCCCACTACACAACTGTAGTTCTGGCCATGATGATTACATTGGTTTTCTGGGCTGCCCTCTATCCATGTAAGTTGTGCTAATGATTTATCAAAATATAAGTATTTTTGAAACGATTTTTCTTTTATAGCCATGCCAGGAATGGGTGCTGAACTCTACAACTTGTGGGCTCATGCGTTTAACTCCATTTGCATGGTCTTCGACTGCTTTATGGTGGCCTTTCCCACTCGGATCATGCACTTTGTCTACCCCTTCACCGCAGGTATTACCTATGGTATATTCTCATTGATTTACTTCTGGGCTGGTGGCGCAGATCCGTAAGTAAAACTAAGATAAAGAAATAACTCTATTTGCTCAAAGTATCATTTTTATAGAATGGGAAATCGTTATATCTACTTCATCTTGGACTGGGAGCGACCTGGTCTGGCAATTGGAACTGTTTGCGGTTGTGTGGTTGCTAGTCAGTTGCTTCTGTGTGCTTGTCTTTGGTCTCTACAGGCTGCGTATCTCGATGCACAAATCCTGTTGTAAAAAACCTGAGGAAATTCCAGCTACAACTCCACCAAAGCAGCCAGCTCAAACTGTTTGATTGAAGTTCTGGCAGAACTCGAAGTATGCAAATAAGTTTCTTGAGGGAGTTGTTGAGGCTCAGATCTGGAAAGTCTATAAACTTCGATCCTTACCTCCATAGAACTTTTAATTTCTGTTTTATAACCTCTTTTAAAGGGAATATTCTTAGAGCATTTTGACTAAGAAGTTAAGTTTTCAATCTATTATAACGCTTGAAAATTCGTTTACAATTTTCTACAATTCATATTGAAATTGTGAAAATAATTATCTATATAAAATGAAAAAGTTAAAAAACGAAATGAAAATGAAAGTATTTTTTGCAATTGGGTTGCAATCCAAAAAGATATATATTTTTGCTCAATTTCTCTTTGGATTAAATATGAAGCCAATTAATTAAAACCAATTAATTAAAAGTAAATCTGGAAACCATAGGCTTAGAAAAAGTGTTTCCTAAAAAGGTGAAAAATAAGGACTCTGATCAATGACTTTGAAATGTAAATCCTAATTAATGACTTTATATATCATTGCCAATATAGCTTGTTTACATCCATATTTTCATTTTAATGTTTCAAAGATTATCTACAAGTGCCAATGTACCTTAATACATCTATATATAAAAGTGTTTGATTTTCCAGTATCAATGGAAAAAAAACTATTGTAAAGTATTCATATCTGTAAGCGATTTGGTAGACAGGTCCGATAGCGGCTATAAAAGTGCTCACATTATAGCCTCTATCTTAACAACAGCTGCTGATAGGGTGTTTTTCATGATTCGTGGCTAAGGAATGGTGGCAGATCGACATTTTGATCAAGAATTCCCAATTATATTGGCAAAACGTTTTATTGCTCGGTGAAAATCATCCGACACTTGCCTAGGCTGAGAAGTTTTCACCAATTGTTTTATGTCCCACTAGCATATACGGAAAATCCCGAAAATGAGTTTATGAAATCCCAATAGCTACCACTGCGACTGCGCCAGATGGAAGATTAAAGGTATGCTACTCCCCTCGGAGCTCAATTTGGTTGACCGTACTGACCGACCTTGTCCACGTTGGGGGTCTTATCGGGGGCGTGGTCGTGAAGCCGAATAAGGAATGATAAGGATCGTGATAATTCACATGGTGTGTATCACACGATTACCACGATTCCAGTCAAATATGGCCCCCTATTAAGACTATGGAACACCTGTTCCTAAATCAGTCCGTGGTTTACAGTCAAAGCAATAACTAGCTTTGGTGGCAGTCCATCGAAATAATCCAAGTTATGAGTGATAAGGATAAAGAGGTCTGCTGTCCCTTGAAGGCGGAGTTTCAACGCTCTAAATTCTCGCTGTACCATGAGGATCCGGGAGTCTTCTGTAGATCTCAGTGGCAGAAATCAGATCGAAATATAATTTGGGTTCTGTATCGTTGGATTCTGGCGGCCTTCTTTGCCGCAGGAGTTATTGGCAGCATGAGGCAGGACTTTAATGGAGGTCGTTGGTTTATATTCCTCACGGATTGGGGTTTCACACTGTGCCTATTTACCTGCACGTATGGCGCTGTAATCTCTACTATTTACTACTTTAATCAAGCTTATTTTGGTGAGTAGTAACGAAATCGTGTTAAAACTGCCGAGGGTAATATTAAAAGGTTTCATATTTTACATGAGTATTTCCCCAACATGCTTATCAATAGTTGTTCTGCATTTCTCAACTAATTTTAGCGCCTGGTGATCGATCTCTTAAGGTTTACTGGATCTCGCACTATACGGCTTCAGTCCTCTCCATGTTAATTACCACAGTTTTCTGGGCTGCGCTTTCCTCTAGTAAGTTTGGACTTAAAATATATTTTACCTATATTAAGTAACCAATTATTTCCTTTAGCAATGCCCGAAATAGCTGGGGAGCTCTACAACTTGTGGTGTCATGCCTTCAACTCAATCTGCATGGTTTTTGACTGTTTTATGGTGGCCTACCCGAACCGTCTCATGCACTTCGTGTATCCCATCTCCGTTGTGCTTATTTTCTTAGTGCATTCCTTGATCTACTATTGGGCTGGAGGCACTGACATGTAAGCTGTGCTTTAATATATTATAGAACTTTTCTGTATTAAAAATTCCTGTTTTTAGGGACGGAAATCGCTTTATCTACTATGCTTTGGACTGGGCACGTCCTGGCCTGGCAATTGGCTTTGTGTGCGCCGCCTTGGTTCTAATCTGCTGCTTCGCCTTGGTGGCCTTTGGTATTTACAGATTGCGCATTTCCTTATACAGATGTTGTAACAAGGAGAAGGAAACAACATCCATAGAAGCTACTCCAAAAGAATCATCTCTAACTGTTTAATTTAAACTCTAGCATTTTTAATTGATTTCAAAGATATTATATACGCAATAGGTGCACTTAGGCCATTTTCTGGACCACGGCAAACTGCAGTGATTGAATTTGGTTGGACCATTTCTCCAGGGCGTTGTATCGTGACGCACTGCTGTTGATCTTGTCCAGCTGAAGCACTTGATTGACCTGATCGATGCGTCCCTTTATTGTGCTGATGATGCAATAAATGTTAGTAAAATTCTAAGTATTTTTAAAACATTAATCTTACTCATCCAATATGCAGGACACCAGCAGACTCTCCACCTCAGCTGGTTCAATGTTCAGCGCATTGGCTATGAAAGGTATTGCTATGTTCTTATAGGGCCTGATTAGTTTTATAAGCACTTGAGTGCGAATATTCCTTAACAAATCCTCAATGTGTTCCCTTATAAACTGATCGGCCATGATGTTACTTCGGTGCTGTCGCAGAATGGTCTCAAACTCATTGATGTCGTTGTTTTGATAGGAATTAACCAGATTGGTCATGGCGAGAATTTCGGGATCGTTCTTATAAGGCTTGGCTTCCTGTGAGTCAAAGGGATTTATTCCGGATTTCATCAACCTAAAGAGTATTTGAGTAGTTAATTACGCAAAGGGTTTATGGATTATTTTGTTACACCTACATGTTAGCCAATACCAAGTACTTTAAGCACGTAGTTCTCCTTGGCGATCCGCTTTCATCGTAGTTCTTGAACGCCTCAAAGAAGTCCGTGTGCGCCTTTTCAAACTCACCCTCTCGCAGGTGCATTTTACCGCCACATTCACGTATCACTCCCATGATCAATGGATGTGGAATGGCCGATTTGATGTGCAGCGACTGTTCATAGAGGGCTTTGAGCTTCTTATTGTTCTTCTGTACCGTATACATTTGAATTTCCAAAGCATAGATTTCCAGTAGCTGTGTACCCTTCTTAAGGTCGTCCTCGCCATCGTCTGTCTGGCAGCTTTGATGCAATTGCTTTAGTATCTTTTGTAGCTTAGTAAAGTCACTCCGATCAAAGTACAGTTTTCCCAGCTTGGTGTTAGTCTTAAACCAGAGGCGATCGTTCTTGGCATCCCTAAGGGCATCCAACGTGGTCTCGTAGAAGTTCTGCAGTAGTGCCATCTACAAAGAAGTAAATTCATTAGAAAAGTAACTAGAAACTAGAAACTTATATTAGCAGTCTTCTTAGGAAATACACATATTCCCTTCGCTTACATTCTTCGACGTCGATATATAGTCCAGGATTGAATTGATGCTCTTTTCCGAATGATTCCTGGTCACTGCGCTCTTAATGTATGTTAGGAGCTGCTTGTAGCGAACCATCATCTCATCGTAGTTGCACTGAAGGTGGTAAAATGTTATCAAAAGTTATATATCCACCGGTTTCAAACTTTCTTACCAATCTAAAGTTGATCTTGATCATTTGCTTCAACGCCTTAAATCCCCACTCTCCTTTCTCGCCATTTTCAAGATCGAGTACCTTCTGAAAACTAGCCAACGCCGCCTTGGGTTCCTCCTCTTTCAGAGCCTTGCTGTTGTAGTACTGATTCTCCAGATCCACATCCGGTTCCGAGTTGCTATCCTCGGAGTATTCCTATTAAGTTTGTGAAATATGGAAATACACAGAAGCCGGCTTTATTTGATGGTCTCCAAATCATCGAGATTTCTTTATTACTTACCAATCCATAGTCCTCATCATCGTCGCACATAAAGTCATCATCATTGTCGGACATTTTATTGCTTTTAATTCGTAAATAGAAGCTTATCAACAAATAAAGTACGAAAGGGAAAAACTTTTTTTGTGTTAAAAAACACAAAGCAAGAAAAGATGTGACCGTTTGGGGGATAGCAAAATAATGATGTTGAATGTGGTTATCAGCTGTTGCTCATCGATAGCAGTTACGATGATGGCAAAGTAGAAAGAGTGACTACAGTTATGTGTGATCTTAATTTTAAATCTGATGTTATATTATGGTAAAAATAATTTAATTGAAAATATTACTCAAAATTACGTTTTGCATTCACTAATATATACTGTTACTAACAAATACCGGCAGCGATAATGTTAGCATACGTAGCATACTTTAACAATTTTGTGACTCTATCACTGTTACTGACAAATAACGACTGCGATAATGCTTCCATCCCTAGTTTTAAACAGTGCTGCCCATCAGTCAAGCCGGTTTTTGCATTCATCCTTTTGTGCAAATAAAATGAGGTAAACAAATCGCATATCTTAACTTTGTATTAATTTAAATCGAAACAAACACAGCCTGACCAAACGTCTGCTTCACAGTACCCCTCGTTTAATCTTCCCCAAGAGAACGCATCCCTCGGCGGACCGCAACTCGCAACCGATTTCGGAGGCGTTACTTTCCCAAGTGGACAAAACCACCGAGAATTTGCAGTTGCTTGAAATTGGTTCGGGATCCGGACAACATGCAGGATTCCTGGCTCCACTGCTGCCAAACATCACCTTTCAACCGTCGGAGTACGAAAGGTTTCACTTCGGATCGATTTCCGTCTATGTGAAGGAGTGTTTAACCAAAAATATCAAAGAACCTCTCCTTGCGGACATCTCAAAGGAACCCAAAGATTGGGAAGTTCCCCCAACACCTGCCAGCTACGATTACATGTTTAACTCCAACATGATGCACATCACTCCGTGGGAATGCTCTATAGGCCTCTTTCGGGCTGCCGGGCAGCTTTTGAAAAAGGGCGGAAAGATGTTCACCTATGGACCATATGCGGAAGATGGCGTGCTTACCCCTCAGAGCAATGTCAACTTCGACTCTAGTCTGCGAATAAGAGATGAATCCTGGGGAGTTCGTGACATCAAGGATCTAAAAGTCTTGGCAAGCGAAAATGGACTGGAGCTGGAGAAGATCGTGGAGATGCCGTCGAACAATAAGTTTCTGACCTGGCTTAAGCTATAAAATAGTGCACTAGACTAAGGCTATTGGGCGGTTACCCCCTCTTAGATAACACATTGTTGATTTGAAAGTAATAAAATTTATTGCCATTAGAGTGCCTGCTCATCGAACTAGGCCAAGTGGACAGAGAGCGAGGTGAGACTCGGGGCGAGAGTGCAGGAATTGACCCTGAAAGCGCAGTTGATAATCACTCGATCGATTGGCTCGGACTCTATATAAAGAGGGATCTGATTTTGCACCTGCAGCACAAGCGATCGATCATCGGAGTCGCAGCCATGGCACAGACGATTCTTCAACTGCTTCTCGTAGGGATTCTCCTGGTGAATTTTAGTTACGGAGGCACTGTGAGACGACCTCGATTGGATGGACGCATTGTGGGCGGTCAGGTGGCTAGTATTAAGGATATTCCCTACCAGGTTTCACTGCAACGGAGCTATCATTTCTGTGGTGGCTCACTGATTGCTCAAGGATGGGTTCTCACAGCCGCCCATTGCACTGAAGGATCAGCCATACTCATATCCAAGGTACGCATCGGTTCTTCGCGTACCTCCGATGGTGGACAGCTGGTGGGGATCAAGCGGGTGCATCGACATCCCAAATTCAATGCCTACACCATCGACTTTGACTTTTCGCTCCTTGAATTGGAGGATTATAGTGCGGAGAACGTGACCCAGGCTTTCATAAAGCTACCACAACAGGATGCAGACATTGCTGATGGAACTCCCGTGCTGGTTTCCGGCTGGGGGAACACTCAGAGCAGCTTGGAGCCCACTACCGTTCTCCGGGCCGTAACCGTTCCCAAAGTCAGTCAGATGCAGTGCACAGAGGCATATGGTAGCTTTGGCAGCATCACGGATCGCATGCTCTGCGCTGGACTACCGGAGGGTGGCAAGGATGCCTGCCAAGGTGATTCTGGAGGTCCTCTGGCCGCCAGATGGCATCCTTTGGGGTGTTGTCTCCTGGGGTTATGGCTGTGCCAGACCCAACTACCCCGGTGTTTACTCACGAGTGTCTGCAGTTCGGGATTGGATTGCTTCAGTTAGTGGTATTTGAGATTGATGGATCAATAAAAACGATTGTAATTAGATAAAATAATTTTAAAATATATTGATTTTTCAATTTGATCAATTAAATCACAACATTAATTAAACTTTCAAATAAGTAATTTAAGACCAAAAACTAACAATTTCTAAGATATTCTTAACTGATGAATAAAGAATCAACGAATTTCTGTTACTTCCCTTGCAGCAGCTGCACTTTTTCATCTTCATCATCGCCAACGCTAGCAATTGACCCAGAAAACCGCCATGTCCAAATGTTGACACAGTCTGTAAGGGGTAGTGGAAAGGGGTCAGATGACCACAGCATATCAATAACTGCAGACAGACAGAGAGACAAAGATCAAATTTACCTAATGATTGGCCCAAAGGCAAACACAAAAGTTCACAGGACCGAAGGAAAAGCGACCGAAGTTGGCATAGGTAAAGTGAATTGATTGGTTAGAGTGGCATAAGTTTCCATTTTGGAGTCCTCGCAGTACGTTTCCGCCTCTAGATATTTTTCATCTTCGATTGCAGTGTTCTCTGCTTGTTTTTCCTTTCGGTCTTTCCCAGCCATTTTCCATTTTCCTGGGCTCACTAATTGTTGATTAAATGCTGCAAATTGCTGCGAGTGTTCACCATTGTTGCCTTTCTTCGTACAGCTGGCCTTTGCCGTTGACGTTTTCGGTTACCTTTCACCATCTATGGTTGTCGTAGCAGTTAGCAGTGGGAACCACAGGTGCTAAAGGGGGAGTTCTGGGTGGCGGAGAATAACCCGGCAGGTGTGTCCTTTGGGTCATTGCAATTTTGCACGTGAACTTGTTAACAGCAAGGAGCTGCAAAAAAAAAAAAAAAAAACCCAGAGGTGAACTAAACGAAGCCAAGACATGAACTGCAAATTGAACGGTTATGTCGGGAGATGGGTTACAAGGCAAACTTGGCGTTGCAATTTTCAACTTTCAAATGAACTCAAGTGGGTCACAATGTGTAGCATACTTTCCGGCGTATCATTTAATCTACGGTCGGGGGAGCAACCGACTTTACACACTAAAGTTTTGTTTAGAATCAGTACAAAATTCATAACCTTTTTTAATTTGAAATTCTGGTTATTATAAGATTTCTTGAAAATATATTTCTAAAATTACTTTTATATATTATAACTATTTATAAGAAATTGTAATTTTTCGGAGCATTTCCTTTAAAATGATGAACTTTTTTTGTCATCTACACATTAAGCTTATCCAATAGCAATATCCTTTTAATTCGGTAATAAGTAACTAGCCTGTACACTAATCGATAACAGTCTTAGTATAGGAATACTAATAGTTACAAAAATCCGAGGAGAAAAGCAATGGAAGAGCTCATCTGAATGATTCCTCCTCCTACTCTCCACTATGCAATTAGGATGCCTTAAGCTTATCCTTTAAAGTTATCCAGTCCCTTCTTTTTTACGGAGTGGCGACCTAGACTAACGACTTGTGGCAGTACTTAAGCTGCTTTTGTTATTGTTTTTCTTGCTGAAAATTCCCCCCTTTTCCTTGTTTTTATTTTTTTCCTTGTTTTTCATTGGAACCAGCGAGACATAGAAAATGTAAAATTTGTTTGTTTCCTTTCATTGATGTTGAAAGTTTTTGCAGCTGCTGCAGACAATGCAATGAGTCGGTTCCTATATTCCCGCCCCTTCCCTATATCCTCCTCTGACTCTAATTTTATCTGCTGGCATTCCAAGGGGACTGTCTTATTATTATAGTTTGTCGATTTGTTTGCATTGTAGTCCACATTGTTGTTCTCTTAGCCAGGCCAAAAGCACACACATCTCGGTATGTGTGTGAGTGTGCGTCCAGATGGTCCAACAACAATCGATTGTTATAAATTATTTTGCAGCTTTTGTAATTTGTTATGCGAACAACAAATATTGTCGAGAGTATAAAAAATCTATTGAGTCCTTGTTTTTTGTGCAATAACAGAGTGCATATTGATGAGGAGACGACATTCAGTTTTTAGATGGGAACTCTTCCTTTTTATTTATATTTTTTGAAAGTATAAAAAAGGGTTAATTAAGTTTAATAATAAACTTTTTACTTCTATCAACTAATACGTAATGTATTTTCTTTGAAAATTCTATAAAAACTGTAACTTGTTTTGGAAATTTTTGTTTTTTTTTGAACAGAAATGCTACTTTTCTTACCTACTTTGCCTTTCTCTTATTTAAATTTGTTTATATTCCGCACTAGCAGTTAGGGCTGAAGTTTAATGGCAATATATATATTCGAAAGATTAAATACATCTGCCGGGGGGCCATTGCGAGTTGTCTATGACTCAGTTAGGTGGCCCACGCGGCGTATGCTTGATCTGACAGGAAGCTGCCGCAGCTCGCTCTTTCTTCCTAGTGAATATGTATGTATGTTTTTTATGGAAATAATATTCTTGTCAGGATTAAAAAGGATACGTGACCGGAATACGAGTGCAATGTGCATGCGGAAATGTGGCCAGGATCTGCGAGAGAAGCGGAACAAAAAAAAAAAACAAAGGAAAAAATGGAAAGGGCAGGAAACAAAAAGCGGAAAAAGTAGACAAACAGGAGCCGCAACAGGACTAAAATGTATCTGTCAGACTCGTCGACTTTTGCTATCGTTGTCGCCTGTCGCATATCTGTATCCATGTTTGTATTTTTCTTGCCAGCTCTTAGCCACTTCCCAACCTCCATCACCATCATCATCATCATCATCATTTCGATGCTTATCCTTGCTTATTGTCCTGTCGGAAAGAGCTCGCTGCTACTGCTTGTTTTCTGTTACTTTTTTGCTTTTTAATTTTTAAGAAAGCATATTGTAATTCTGTTGTTTACCTGTTTGGACACTCGGATACACGTACTTTTTAAATCTCGACCGCAGGTGATCTCTTGGTTTTTTGCTTACCAGATTGGAGTGCTTGCTCCTTGCTCCTTCGTCCCTGTCTTCATCCTGTTTTGCTTCCAATGCAGTCAGTCATTTGTCCTGTCATTTGTAATATTCCCCCACGCATCCTTGACAGCGGCTTAGCATCCTTGTTGTTATAGCTGCTTAGTTATTCGTGGCATGTCCTGGGCATTGGCCACGATTGTGATGTATGATTTTCAATTCCACCTACGGCAAGTCCTCTTCTAATTTTGTTTATATAATTCGTTGGTTTAACTGAAGAAAAAAAAACAAATGAAATGGAAACATTTTTGTGGGGTTTTTTTCGGGGATAAGTTACTTGCTTTTGTGCTGTTGTTTTTCTTAAATATTTGGAATTATTTATATATAAAAATGTTTTTAATTTTGATTCTTTATAAGAATTTATATTTTCGGTTTCTGTAATTTCCGTATTTGGGCTTAAGAATATTATCTTTAAAAAACTTATAGAGTATCTTATCTTGACCGAAGCAGATTACTCATACCAATACTCGTCCTCCATATAACATAATAAAGATATATAATTCTTGGGAGGAGAATTCAGTTTAATTAAGTTTCTTTATTACTTTGCAATATCAAAGCTACTCAAAATGGGTTACGAATTTATTTTATAAGTTAATACATAGGAAAAATAGAAGTACAGACCAGAACATGATCTATAATTTGTTTAGAATTATGAGTACTTATTGTCTACATTAGGGCTGCTCAAAGTCGTTTTACTGCAGAGCATTTACTAACCCAAACACAAGAAAACGAGCACATTTTTAGTGACGCTTTTGTGTTGTTTTGCAGCTGTGCACTGAGAGAAATTGCTAAGCAATTCATCACTTATTTCAACTCTCATGTCGATGGTCTATTGTCGAATAAACTCTAAACTTTAGAATCCAGAATCTAGATATTACTCAATCTAATGCAACTTTCTCGGAGAAATGAAATAAATAATATATATCTCTTGTAACAACATTATTTCTAAACTAATATCATTGTGTAATAGCTATCAATATAATATATACATTCATAGACAGACTTATCTGGAAATATAAGCCAAACATTGAGCTATTATCTCCTCTATCATTAACCATTATGATTTATGAACCGTATCTCTATAATATCTCTAGATACTATCAGCTGTTAGCAATCAGAATGTTAGACATAGGAAATAAAGAACGTATTGCTTCCACGAAATATAAACACTCTTATAATGATGTCACTCTTTATAAACGGATGTGGAAAAAGTTATAAAATCAGCGATCAATATGTTTGCTTTTTTGTTGAGGCTATCGCTTTGGAATTCAGTTGATAAAAGTATTCCCCAAGTACATATAGCTAAACTATAAATGCATCCCATCGACTGAAAACCCCCTTACTATAGGGTTTAGTCAACAATTGGCCTGACTCAAAATGGGTTGAAGCACAAAGATAACCAAATCTAATCTTTATAGCCGGCATAAAAGCCGCTTTTATGATGGTTAAATGCTGGCCTACAAAATGAGCAGCCATCGGCTGCACTTGATTCAGTTTCGATCGAGACAGCTTTGTGCAGAGTTGTGTTTCATAAATTAAAAAATAAAAAAAACTTTATCCCTATCAAATATGTGGAAGAAAGTGATTTTCTGTGTGGTCCTTGTGGCCTTTGTAGGCGTGCAGTTTGGTGAGAAATATTTGTGTGCCTTCCAACTTGAATCTTTGCTAATAGAACTTATTTTTAACTATTAGCTAACTCGCTGACCTGCACCAAGTGTACAACTCCTTCTGGCTGCAAGAGCCCATCATCGGAAACCTGTTCGAATTCCACGGCCAATGCCAATAGGGAATTTTTGGGAACCTATCACAGCAATGTGCCCACAGTCAACGGAAGTCTAAGCTTCTCATGTGCCAATCTTACTTACTACCATGCAGCAAGTATGTTTTTTAACAGATTTTTCTGACTTAAATGGGTTTAAATAACTTTATTTTATCAATATTCCTTTAGACTACACTCACACCTCTGAGTTCCTGGGCTGTGTCTTCAATGAGACCAATGTCTGCTCTCTGACTTTGACCAACACGGCGAGTGGATGGTCAAAGAAATGCTTAGAATGCGGCACCGATTACTGCAACCCGGCGGGAACTTTCAGCGGAAGTGCCTACACCATCGTGGGCTCTGTAATTGCCCTGCTTTTGGCCAAGTTCCTAAGCTAAATTGATGGTCTAATGGAGGAGGAGCTCTACTGCTTAGCTTATCGGAGTTCTATGTGTATAATATTTATTTACTTTATGTTCCTTAAACAAGAAAGTCATTAGAAAAACAAAAAGATTTAAAATAGACCATCTTTGTACAAAAACCTATATGAAGTTTTTAATGGACTTTGGGAGTAAAAACTAGCATTGATACCCTGATGGATCCCTGAATTAGGTAGGAATTAGATCTTTTTAGAATGGAATCACTTTGGGAATATTCCGACTTATGTTACTTGTTCCATGACATTATCTTATGACTCACAAATCTTATCACATTTTACTCAAAACTGTTTACTTCAACTTTTATTGGTCTGTTTTCAGGAGGTTTGTTTAATCGATTTATAGTTTAATTATATTTATTTATTATTTGACATCATAAAAAGCTTAAACAGCTTTGAGGAGCTCAATATTTGTTAAATAAGAAATAAAAATAAATAAATAATATGAATAATCAAATTGAACTTATTTCCAGTTTTGAATCTCATCAAATATGAGTCAATATATAACTTTTAATATCGGTTAGCAACGCACTAAACCAACTTCCCCTCTTTAATTGCTACCAATTGTACGCAGCTGACTTATCAATTTATTACCCTATAGTGTTTCATATTGATATGGCGCCGACTTAGATAAGAGGTACTTAAAAGATTAGCTGGTGAGAAAAAGCCCTACCCTTTAGTCGGGTGTGAAATTGTCAGGCTGTGAGTAATACTTGAAAGAGTGGGCTAGGTCTGAGATAAGTGCCAAATATCATTGCAAAGTACAGAAAATGAAAGTTAAAGCTTATATATTGCTTCTTAATTACTACATTAATGAGTAAATATTAAAAAGCCTTTAAGTTCTTAATAAAAAGTGTGATAGGCAAAAGGATCAAAGCTGTGAAACCAACACAAAAGCGTCACTAAATGGGTTACTAAATGCTCTGCCGTAAGACGAATTTGAGCACTCCTGATATACATAATTACACCCTTTCTATTTCTATTGAATGAATATCAAAAGGGGAAACCCTTTGCTTTCCTCCATTGAAACCGTTTTGATAAGCTTACTAGGCTATAAACGCTGCGATAAGTTAATCAACGAAAATACTCATGCTTATCTGACAAGAATTGAGTAAAGTGCGGAATCTGAGGAGAAACGCTTTATAAAAGAGCTCCCGAAATTCCCCGAGAGTTTAGTTTAAAGCGAAAAGGCGACTAAGAACGTACAACTTACTCTATAGTTAAGTGTGAAAAAGATTTATCTAAACCAAAATGTATAAAAAGCATTAATAGCCAGTGTATTGGTGGCCTTTGTCTGTGTGCAATTAGGTGAGTCAGATGTCTAGGAAAATGGTTTTCAAAGTTAGTAATATAACCTATTACATAGCTGATTCTCTGGTCTGTTATACCTGCGTTACGCCAAAGGATTGCAAGAGTCCCAAGAAGGTAACCTGCACAAATGCGGCTGCCAATGAGACCAGCTATTACCTGGGTGTCTATCATCAGGGAGTGGCTAACCTGACTAGCTCTAGATTTGACTGCCTGGCCCTGCAGTACAAGTGGAGTAAGTAGCTTGGTTAACCAATATCAACTTAGATAGATTTCTAAAACATATCTCCCATATTTCCAGATAACGATGTGATCCATCAGCTCCATGGCTGTGTTCATCCAAACGTTGGAGCCTGCAGTCTGAGCCTCAAGCCAGCTTATGCCCATTATAATAAGACCCTTTGTAAGATCTGTTCCGGCGATAAGTGCAACAAGAATCCGGCTGGAAAGATGAGCAGCAGCACCATCACCATTACGGCAAGCATTCTGGGTCTCTTGCTGGTCAAGATCTATGCTTAGAGTGTGACTATTTATAGAGATGAGTTAAGAACATAGGACCGTAGCATTTTGTAATAAATTATTTTTGTCTTTAGTAACTTTGTTTCTTATCAACTTTTGATTAGATTGGACTTTCCAGTCTTTCACGTTTTCTTAATCGGTTCGCCTATGATTAAAATTTATGACTCTCTTTAAGTTCTTTTTAGCTAAGTAAAGTCTCAGGTTAATTACAACCGACTAGACTGATTGTGCTTGGTTAGCAGAGCTCTTTGTAAGAATTATGTAGTCTAGCATTTGAGTTAAGTTGTTAGATTGTTAATTACTCTATAGGAAACAAGTTATAGGGCATAGATATCACTCTTTTATTAACTGTGCAACTCTTTCAGTACTCATGTCGATTTAAAATGGAAAATCTATGCCACTATGAGAAGACTTATTTCCTTTTTTCCCCTTCTAGCCCCATCTTCTCTTCTCATGAAAAATCTGTTTGCTGCATTAGCCATCAGGGGAACTCTAAAAATTTCAGTCTGTCACTTAAGTTGGCAAACTATCCCAGGGAAAGCCGCCGTGTGTTGGGCTAGAACTTGCCGAGAAACATGAATAAATCTTTAATAGTGTTGCCGGTTTGGCTAAAAGGCAGCCTCAGTTTTGCATGCCGAACATTATCCGGTGGGTCATGTCATGGTTGTTGTGGCTCCGTTTGTTTGGAACTGCAGTCAGGCATTTAATTGATTGATTGTTGCTCGTCTATGTCTGCATCGATTTGGCCGTGTTCACACCGCCCACCCCCCCTAAACTCGTCCATTCTCCTAAAATCCCGTTACAGCTCCACGTTTCGGATGTTTCATAACCCACAAACAGGCTGCGTGGAGAGGGAGGCATGGTCTATATACCGCCCATCATATCCTGCACCGTTATCAAATCGACTTCCTGGCCATATATGAATGTGCTAGCGCCACGTTGTTCCAGCTGCCAATTAGTGTTGGTGCGTCATCTGTGTGTTAGTGTGTGTGCGGGTGTGTGTGTGTGTGTGTTCACGTCATCAATTAATTTTTGTATTGTTGTAACTTTGTTTTTTGGGTGGGTTTTTTGCTGCACTCCACCCACCTCCCTGTTGACTGATTGCTTTCCTTTCGATTCAATTGTTTCATCTGTGTGCGTGGCGATGGATGTGTTCGCTAAACAAAGTTATGGTTATGACTTTGACATCTGGAGATGAGCTATATGAAGTTTTTTGCATAAAAGTAAGAGAGCTTGTACGTTGAATTTGGTTGAAAGTTCAAAGGTTTGCCGGGTTAATCATCTTTAAACTAAAAACTAATACTAAAATAAACATTTATGTTGTGGAAGCTAACAGGTTTGCGGGTCAAAAATGCTTGAAAATGTTTGTAAGTCCTTTAAGCATTACAAATTATCACGTTTGCTTCAAAGATATTCAAGAAGCAGATTCACTTGCTAACTACATCTCTTAAAAAAACATTTACAAAACTTCAAATTATTTAGACAAAAATCAAAGCACCCTTCCTATACAACATTTTCCTAGCATCCTCTCAAAGTCCCAAGACCAAGGACCACCCCCGATTTTCCAAACTTGTGCGGAACTCGGAGAAACTAAATTAAGTTTAACTACAACTACAATATGTACATTTGATTTATGCATTGAGAGACCATAGACCTCCTCCTCTTCCTACTTCTCCTCCTGAAGCACCAGAAAATTTCCTCCTGCGAAAACGTAGACGGGAACCCTCTGATAACTAAGCCAAACCTATTCAACTTTCACGTTCGCATTGTTTGCACGAGCACGAAAAGTTATTAAGATGCATAGACGTGATTTTGCATGTTTTAAAAAAGAATACATAATGCCACAGATTCTGTGGAGGAGGGTGGAATAAGAGACCTAAGATCTTGACTTGCACTTTAAGTACTTTTAATTTACTAAACAAATTTCCATTATTCGCGACGACCGAAAATGTTGCATTCAAGAGGCCAAAAAAGAGAGGCATAAAACTTTGGGCCACAGACCACCAAACACGCCCACACGAAGGCAGGCTCATTGACATGCCTGAGACAAGAATTGAATTAAAAGTTTCAGCTTTTCCGCGGAAATAGAATAACGAGAATTTTCATTGTTTGGCTGCTGGAAAGCAAGGAAAAAAGTTTGGCGCATTTAAATTGATTTGTAATTCGCGGTTAATTTCGTTTTTTTTTTACATTCAGCTCCTTCTTTGGTCACTTTTATTCAATTTTACATTGTTAGTTTTTGCCTCTTTTTTTATGGGATTTTATTATTATTTTAATTTGACACGGAATGCCTGACAGTTATTTCAATTTTCCCTTTGTATCTATATACAAAGTCATATACCCCGAACGAATGTTGCAAATTAAATATGTATTAAAATTTTATATTGTCGCAAAATGGCTGCGGTATGCAGCTTGATGCTTTGTGAATTTCGGAATGCAAATCAAAGAAAGGCAATTTGAATAATGATGCTGAAATCAGAATTAAATAGGAAATATGACATGCTCATATTAAAGGCCAAATATGGTGCATAAATTTTGAATTGCCTTTTGCCATAAACATTCAGTTTTCATTGAATAAATAAACATATTTGAATTAATCACATTTCCTTTTAATTTTTCTATGCAAATGTTTAAGATTGAAATTCAAATTGATTTCTATTTGCATAAATATTTTAGCTTAAGTGAATTGTTTTAAAATTGCGTTGTTAAAACTGACAAAAATTTATAAATAAATAATAATATTCCAAGAAATAAATTGCATTTCTGTTTAAGCTGATACCATTTTGGAAATATTTCATGAGATTTACCAACATCCATCCCCAGTGCCCATTTAAAGAGAAAGTGTTGCCAAAACTCAGCACTAGGCTAAACGCAGTGCTAGCCCATAAATCTAAAAATTAATATGTAACAAATAAATCAGAGGCAAATACAAATAAACAACATTTATACATTTGCTTTTTGTTTTTAGAATTTTCTATATAACTATGCACATACACACATTCGCAGGGAATTCATAATTTACGAGTTGCAGCTAAAGTGTAAACACCAAGAAATTCTAAATGAAAAGTGAAAATCCCCCAGCAAAAGAAGGGGAAATCTGGTTTAATGCAGCTTCAAATTCCTTGGCCACAAACTCTGTAAAACAGTTTGAAAATTATTATTGTAATATTTGCCTAAAACGTTTATCACATTGTCACAAAATGCAGCATAACGAGCCGAGAAAGGGTCGGATTTGGGGTTTTTGTTGAGAGATTAGCAAATGTCTTTGGTCCTTCTGCTGCCAATGTAACTTTGGCTAAGCTCTGCTTTTGCTTTTGGGCTCAGTTTCGGTTTGGGACTTGTTTGTCAGTAATTAGAAAGATATTTGGCTTATTTGTTGGTGGTTTTGTGTCGACCCAACATCTTCATTATTATGGTAATAACGATGTGGAGATGGAGGCAAGTTCAAGCTAATGATTTTCTAATTTCGGGCATTGGGTTGAAGTGGCTGAGTGGCTTAAATTTGTGTGGCACAGTTAAAAGAAGTCATAACATGACTTAAGTTTAATAATTAGTTACATAAATGATTAGTTTTTAAAAAGGAGTTTGTTGTTTATTTTTAGAAATATTTAATTTATGAACTGCATTTTTATCAATTTTACTCATAGAGTTTTAGGGCATATTGCAGTCGTTGAAAATCATGAAACTGGTGGAAAATAGCATTTTCAATCCTATAAAGTATGGGCGAAAGCAATAGCCTGTAAACTCTTACTAATATAGTAAATAGTTTATTAATCAAAATTTTGAAAAACGGCGGCCAGAAGGTAACAAAATGGGCTAGGAAAGGCTGAAAGTTATATTGAAGTTGATTCTCTCTGTAAAGGTATCTCATAGTCGATTGTTTCTCATATAACTTTGTTCTTTAACCATAATTCTGTAATCCCACCTACTGCATTAAATGCAAAACCATTTCTCAACCAACTCAAGTCCCTTCCCGTTGCACAACTTGCAGAATTTATGCATGACATCAGCATGACTTAATCCCTGCGAGGCGCCAACGTGAGCTGTCAGTTGCTGTAGAGAAAGTGCGAGAGATTTTCCGGGGACAGGGAATTTGGGTGTGTCGTGTTTGTTATTAGGCAACAATCGCTGAAGCAAAACAAGCTGAAACTGCAGTCCTCCTTCGTCTGCTTATATTATTATTAACACCAAAATCTGAAACGATAAACAAAAACAGAAGGACAGAACTGCCTTTAATTCAAACGAGTAAATCGTTGCATTTCAATTAGCCTGAATCCCTGAATTCTGGCCCTTCAAAATCTCCACTCAAGCTGAAAATCAATCATTATTTGCAACGGCAAAAGTGACACTTAATAAAGTTATTGTTCTTTTTTTCTTCTGCCGGATTTAAGCATATTAAAAGTGAAATGCAGGAAAAATTAAAATATTAAGATAGACTGAGAGGGAGAGAGTGAGAGAGCGGAAAACTCGTTTTATTGGAGGCGACAATGAAAAATCGCTGCCGCATATGTTGGACAAAAACCTGACATTATTGACTGTTAATATCCTGGAAAACAACGGCAGGGGGATTACGTTAAAGGGGACATTTCGTTGCCCTTTCGCTGTGTAACTTGTAATATGGAATTTCTTATAATATTTTCTTTTTTAGTACAAAAGTGCACTGGAATATTATTGTTCTTATGGTAACTAATGCTATGCATGATACTCAGGGCTACCTAATTAGGTCTTCCATTTTTATTATTTGTTGGAAGGAATCATAACCTCTTCACTCTGCCATGATACCCCGATCCATAGGGCATATATAAATCGATCTGGGTGCAACATTTCAATAACTGAAACGCCAATTAAAATTGTACAATGGCTTCTTGGTCAGGCAGTGACTCCAAACAAAAAAACCAAAAAAAAAAGGAATACGGGGGAGAAGGGAAAAATAACACTGGACGAATGTCAGTTAAACGAACAAACAGCAAAAAACAAACACAAGCAGACATCTGCATTGGCCATGGTTGACAGACAGAAACACACACACACGCACCCACCATGCTCACCCACGTGCATATATATATCTATATGAATA